TAATTTTTTAAATAGAATTTATAAAAACATAGTCTCAGCTGAGCCGTACATACATTTTTCTATAAAATTTATAAAATAGGATCTCAGGTGAGCTTACATTTTTGTATAAAGCCGAGTATAAATTTTAACGTGGGATTTATAAAAACAGAATCTTAGGTGAGCCGAATATAAATTTTTATATGGAATTTATAAAAAAAGTCTCAGCTGAGCTGTTCATACATTTTTCTATAAAATATAAAAAAACAGGATCTCACCTGAGATTCAAAAATTTATAAAAACAGGACCTCAGCTAAGCCGTATACAAATTTTTGTATACAATTAATAAGAACAGGATCTCAGGTGAGAGCCGTATATAAATGTTTGAATTAATTTTTATAAAAACAGGATCTAAGGTGAGCCGAATATAATTTTTTATATAGAATTTATAAAAACAGACTCTCAGCTGAGCAGTACAAACATTTTTCTATAAAATAGGATATCAGGTGAGTCTACATTTTTTTATAATGCCGAATATAATTTTTTTAAAGAATTTATTAATTTATTTAACAGTCTCAATGAGCCGTAAATACATTTTTCTATAAAATTTATAAAATAGAATAAGGTGTGCCTACATCTTTGTCTAAAGCCGAATATAAATTTTTGTATAAAATTTATAAAACAGGATCTCAGGTGAACTGTATATAATTTTTTATATAGAATGTAAAAAAACAAAATCTCAGCTAAGTCCTGAAAACATTTTTATACAAAATTTAGATCTTATATAGCCGTATATAATTTTTTTCTTATAATTTATAAATCCGGATTAATGTATTATTAAAAGGCACTAAAAATTATGCTAATATAAAAAAATGTACAACTGTTTAAAAAAATAAAAGGGATATCACCAGAAAGTAACATGTCAAGTTTTTGCCCACAGAACAAACTTCAACAAGATAATTGATGTTCAAAGTGTATTATTACAGAAATCAAATAAAATGCGCCCATTAACCATCAAATAAATTTATATTTCACAAGCGATTAATTCCAAACCATACAATATAACAGCATAATGGTAGTGTATTATCCACCCTATTATAGGGTAAGGGGTGCATTGTATCGCTAAGTTGCCTATAATTGTTAACAACAGATGACTCTTCACGCATGGTCGGACACGTTTAAAATGCCCATCAATCTTGTAACACGATTTTATTTCTCTGGTTCGGTGTTGGGGCCCAGCCAGGCTCCCAGCATTTTTATTGTGGTACGATGGACTACCTCAATTTAGTTGCTGCCAAAACCGGTAGAGATCATTGAAATTAGTTTATTATATTTATTTGGTCTAAGTGGATTGTTATTGTAAGATTGTTATTCAATGTGTAAGTGATTTTCTTTGTTTTGTTTCAAATTGTGGTTTTCCACAAAGAAATAAATTTTGTTGATTTCAAAGGTTTATTTTGCAAAATCCATGGATTAACATAAAGTCTGGTTAATATTTGGTTCTTTATCAAGATTTGATGGTAAAATCTTAAATTGAAGTAAGAGCTCGAAGGTAATTTAGTTTTCTAAGGCCCAATTACTTATTATTCAAAAACTCATGAATGCTCCTCGTTGTAAATAAATTTTGGAGACAAAAAGGCTTAAAGCGGCTGCAAATTCAAATTATGTAAAACAAGGTGTTTAAATATGTTAATAAATGTAATTACGAATTACACTCGGCGTATCATTTACGTTTCACCAAAATGACCGAGGCAATTTGCGAATTTTAAAAATTGCTTCCATTAAAATTTCGCCAGGCGTATTACACGGGCATTAAAAGAAAAATCCATATATGGCAGCTGTAAAACGTATGATTTGTGGTAATTAACAGTTGAGGGGAATATAGGTACGTCTACCTTTAAGGAGGTGCAACCATTTTTTTAATGTTTTGCTGCAAATTTGCATGCTAAAATGCAAAAAACTTAAGTGTTAAGTGTTAAAAATAAATAAATTACAGTGAACTTTCGATCCATAAATATTTTAATAAATATATGGTTGATTCTACAAAAGTTGGACAACTTGATGTCATCAGCCAATAGAGTAGGTATTATAATATTTTTTGTAAATAAATATTCATAAAATATATTCACTTTACCTTAAATTTTTCAATTTCACTACAAACTATAAAACATTAAACAACGTATTTTTTATATTTTATCATAGATTCAAATAATAGCAATTTTTTAAAAATTGATAATCTTTGTACTCACTTTTACCCGTCAGTTCTGTGTCCAATGTTAAAATTCAAAATTCCTGCGAAATATTGAAGTTTAAACGCCAAGTCTTCGTTTTAACTCAAGTGTTGGTAAAAAATTACCTACAGAGCCCGCCCTTTGCACGACAGTCATCTTGAAAACAATGCAAGCGGCGAAGTTGTGGTGAATGCACGTATAGTTCAAGTCAAAATTTCAGTACTGTGGTGAGTAGTTATGTTCTTACGTATATATATTTCATTGTAATTTATATAAGGCTATATGTGATTTGTTAATAAGTAGCATCCACTAATAAAAAATATCAGTAAAATACTTAATTCCGAATTATAATCTTAAATTTGTATCCCATTCATCAGTACCGTGTCGTCAGTTCCATGTTCGATGTTTCGGTTATCTTTTTTTCGCAAACTTCAATTTAAATTCTGCTTGCGCAGAACTTGTTTATTTAATGTCATTATAAACTCATGTAAATTTGGTGTGGGTCCCATATCTAATAATTGAGATGTCGGTATACCCAAAATCCACCCGCCGCCATCAGCTGATGTGTGGTATTATTTGATTTTAAGATATTTAATGTATAATATGCCCAAAGTTGCAATAAATCTTATATTTTCCAATAAATTATGTATTTATGCATTCAAATTTAGAAGACACAGATATTTCAGAAACTGTTTGAAAAAGTAACTGGCCCGGTCTGGAACAGTATATTTATTATATTATCTATGTTCTCATAACAAAATACTGTTTAATTTTCTCCGAAAACTATATAAACAAAATGTAGTCAAAACTTGCCCAACTTTTGTAGAATCATGATTGGGTGCACCCATATGATACAATTAGAATTTTTTTTACAATATTTGTAGATATTAAATTAATAATACAATGTTAATAATACCGCGTCTAAGAATACAAATCATTAGATATCGAAATATTTTTTCTTTTAGAAAAAATGTATTTAAAATTTGTAATCAGCGACCTTAAAAACAAAATCCTGCCAAATTTGAGCGATATCAGAATTTTTTTTTGCAAAAATACCCGCCATATTGGATCCGCCATTTTGTTTTTGGAAATTTAAAATTTGTAATTAGTGACCTTAAAAACAACCTCTCACAAAATTTGAACAAAATCAAAACATTTTTTTGAAAAATATCCGCCATATTGGATCCGCCATTTTGTTTTTGGAAAAATAAATATCAAATTTGTAATCAGCGACCTTCAAAACACATGTTGCCAAATTTGAGCGAAATCAGAACATTTTCCGGAAAAATGGCCGCCATATTGGATCCGCTATTTTGTTTTTGAAAAAATGAATGTCAAATTCGTAATCGACAACCATAAAAATATCCAAATACAAAATTTCATCCAAATTGTTAAAGCCGTTTCCGAGAAATAAATTATATTTAAATTTATGCAATTTTTTTTTTTTTAGAAACTAAAATGATTTTAAAAAGGTCTTATCTTGAATGTTTGATATCATTGAAAACTTAAATTTCTTAAAATTTTGAAAATCCTGTAAAATGATTTTTTTATTTATCCCATTGTGCCAATTTTTTCCCTATTTTTTCATTTTTAAATTGTTTCCCACTGTGCGAATTTGTCTTACCATTTTTAATTCATGCCTCTTTGCCATTTTATTAAATGCATGGAAGGGCAGTTTTTAATTATCCAATCACATTTTCAATAAATTGGCACGGTGTTAAGCTGTGACGTCACTTCCGTCCCGGCTAACTTACTATCAACTTGAAACTTAAATATTCTCATTTTTGACCGGCACAATTTCTTTCAAAAATTGAATTAATTAATAATTAAATAATAAATATGGTAATTATACACATTACTTTTTATGTAAGATATTAATTTACCTGTGTTAATTTTAATTAAGGTAATATTTATTGCCCATAAAACTGGTTAATTATTAATTGGCGATTGTACCTACTTAAATTATGATTATTGACAATCCAGTATCGAAAAAATTGCGTGAGATTAAAGAAGTAGGTTAATTAAAAATGTGTGCGTAATATTTATTGGCCTGTGTCATTATATACTTTTTTTTAAATAATTATACTTACAAGGGTGCCTAGTTTTAATTTATTACTGTTCACAACATTTATTTAGGATGCTTCAAAAGCAATAATGACAGTAAATATTATATTTGACATTTTTAATTTATTATTTGATATTTATAAAAAAATATAAACACTCATCAACGCGTCTATTATTATTAACAATTGCAATACAAATTAATAAGCATTCATAAGCGACTTTTAAAAATATTATGCAACTGGCAGTCATATCATTAAACTAATGATTTGTTCGCTATTTAACCGATTATTATAATCAAATTAAACCTATTAGATTAATAATTCGTTATTAACATAATTTATTGGTTAAATAATCGTTACATTCTATTTTATAGACCAAATAGACTGCATTAGATACTATACATATTTTGATTTAGTTAATAATAAATGAATGATTGATGGCATTTAATAATAATTAACTCATTAATAATGACCTATTTTGTTTAAATTAGAAGTCAATTCATCTAACTTAAAAAAAATTATATAAAAATATTGTATTTGACGTTTATGCAAATGAATACAATTTATTAACCAATTAAGTAATTAATTAGTAATACCGCATACGTTTTGCAACACTATTGCCATCTATGGAGAAGAGGCTTAAGTGTGAAAAGCAATGATAGCGACACCTATTGGTGCAATTTTAAAGCAATCTTAAGAACCACTGGTTTAAATTGCAGAAATTAAGTAATATTGATTCAGTACAAATAGGACTATAAATTTAAGGTTATGTTGAAGATAATGTCGGAGTTTGATATAAAACAGGGTTTGAGAGTGGTTTTGAGCAAACTAGAGGAAGCTAGCCAACGCAGAAAACCCGTAAGTAACAAACTTAAAGTTTACCCCCCTTGTTAATTTAATTTTACAGGAGTTGCAATGTATTAAGCCGACTTTAGTTGCTGTAAGCAAAACAAAACCCGCCAGTTGCATTATAGAGGCCTACGAAGAGGGGCAAAGGCATTTCGGGGAAAATTACGTGAACGAACTGGTTGAAAAAGCAAATAACCCCGACATTCTGGAAAAATGCAAGGACATCAAATGGCATTTCATTGGTCATTTGCAATCAAACAAAATCAACAAAGTTTTGGCCTTGAAAAATATCCACATGATTGAGACGGTTGATTCGCAAAAATTGGCCACCAATTTGAACAAAAGTTGGCCCAATTTTGGCCCTCCAGACTCCAAGTTGAAAATATTTGTCCAAGTTAATACCAGTGGAGAACAAGGTATACAAAAAAAAGGTTTATAATGTGTTGTGTAATTGTTGATAAAATTAATAATAATTAAGTATATATTTACTCAATAAGATATATGGAAAATTTAATTCTAAAAAACAAAATTTTTTTTTTGTAATTTTGAAAGGGTAAAAAAGAATATCAAGCAATTAGGTATGACATCACTATTACGTTTTCAGATAGCAATGTTGTCAGATGTAAAATATGTTTGGGGAAGATTAATATGTAACATTTGTGTGATTAGGGATATCATTTTATATTTAGTCTTCTTTAAACAATTTTTTTACTTATAATGTAGGTGACAGTAATACAAGCTGAATTTATTTTTAAAAGCATATGCAGTTGGCAACAATCATAATCTTAGCATACTATGATATTAGGCAACAAAACCTACAAACATGTGTAACACCAGTTGCCTACATTTGCCGTAGAAAAAAATGGAATTGAACCCAAGGAAGTTGGCAATTTGGTGAAGTTTATTCTAAGCGATTGCAAAAATTTGCAACTTCATGGCCTGATGACGATTGGAAAGTACGGCTATAACCCCGAGGATGGCCCCAATCCCGATTTTCTTAAGCTGAAAAGTTGCAGGGATGATGTTTGTAGTAATCTGGAGTTAGATTGGAAAAGTGTCAACCTATCCATGGGCATGTCGGACGATTTTGAACAAGCTGTGAGGATTATTTTGAAATAATTATTTAACAAACTAACGATTTGTTTTTAGATTGAATTGGGTAGTACATATGTGCGGGTGGGATCTAAAATTTTCGGTTATAGACCAAAGAAAAATTAAGTGATTTTATAAATTTAACAACAAACACAATAAAAATGTATTGTATAATATATGATTCTGTATTTGTGTTAAATCTTTATTTTTGTTTAAATAAATATATTTTAAATACATTTTGTATTGCATTTAAACTTTTTATCGTTAATAAATACTGTTTTTTCTTGAATAAACATTGTGGATAACAATTACACAAAAACCTATAAATAAAGAAATAATTTAATAGAACGTAAAACACAGTAACAATGATGTTCATATGTTTGTGGTGCATTTTCATCATACATGTTTTCTTTGCGAAATCTTTTACAGAAGAAGGTTTATTTTATTTTTATTTAAAATAGTTTAATACTTGTATTTTTTGTAGATTGTGATAATCCATTTAAAAAAATTCGCTGGTGCAATCTAGGAAACAGAACGTACTATTGGTATAGTGTCACAAATGAGTGCAAATTGCAGCTGTGGTGGGGTTGCGGACAATTCAAAACTTTGGAAGAATGTAGGACAGTGGCCATACCAATATGCACCGAATAAACAAATCTGAAATATAGTCAGTTTTTTACTGTTAATTGTTGTACTAAATTTAGCCTTCTACAAAAAAGGTTATATGAGTCACATCTCAAAAATTAATATTTTTTAGAGATAAATGAACTTAAAAACTTTTGCAAAATATCCAGATTAACAATATTTTTGCTAAACATCAACAAAATAAAACCTTGATATCAAATTTAAGTATTTTTAAAACCTATTAAAGTCAAAAGATCAACTTTGGTTACGTTATTATTTTGCCATTATTTAGTTGTTAAATAAACATGTCGATGTTTCTAATATTGTTTTGCTTAATATGTTGTGGCAAAGCTTTTGACATAGAAGGTAGGTAAAAATGTTAATATAAAAATATACCTACTATTTAATATAATTTTAAGATTGTGGCAAAGATGTAGCGACAAGTTTTTGGAGGTGTGTTGTGCAAAGTCAAGTATATAAGTGGGACATTGGTGCAAATGATTGTATTAGTACGTATTACAGTGGATGTGAACCCTCAAGAAACTTTTTTTATAGCCTAAGCAAGTGCAGAGAAATTGCCTCACCGATATGTAAAAAATAAAAAAAATGCGAGTTATATTTAAGTATTGGAAATAAATGTTTACATTGTTTATTGTGTGCCTATTGGTTTGGCCAAAGCATATCCTTTTCAAATTCTCATATTCCGGTGCTGCCAGATTTTCAAAAATTCTCATAAGATGGGAAATTTTTGCAACGTTGCCATATTTACAAAAAAACTGTTTTTTTTGGATTTTTTTCTGTTGCCAAATTTTCAAAATTTTGCACTATTTATTTTAAAACTTTCGTAAAAATTTTGAAATTGACAAAATTTTATATTTTATAAAAAAATACACCAAAATTTTCTAATATTTTAAAACATGATTATGACAAAATTTTTGGCGTTAAGGGCCTTGGGCTTGGGTTTTTGTATTAAGCTCGATAACAAAATGCGACGTTGCCAATTTTCCAAAATTCATAGAATCTGGGATTAAAAAAAATATGTTTTGCCATGTTGCCAACTTTCCGAAAATTCCCAGAACCTGCCGTGGGCTTAGGATTTTGTATAAAGCTCGATAACAAAATGCGACGTTGCCAATTTTACAAAAATTCATAGAATCTGGGAAAATGCGACGTTGCCAAATTTCCAAAAATTCATAGAATCTGGGATTTAAAAAAATATGTTTTGCCATGTTGCCAACTTTCTGAAAATTCCCAGAACCTGCCTTGGGCTTAAGATTTTGTATAAAGCTCGATAACAAAATGCGACGTTGCCAATTTTCCAAAAAATCATAGAATCTGGGAAAATGCGACGTTGACAATTTTCCAAAAATTCATAGAATCTTGGAAAATGCGACGTTGCCAAATTTCCAAAAATTCATAGAATCTGGGATTAAAACAAATATTTTTTGCCATGTTGCCAACTTTCCAAAAATTCATAGAGTCTGGGATTAAAACAAATATTTTTTGCCATGTTGCCAACTTTCCGAAAATTCACAGAACCTGCGATTTTTTTTAGGATTCCTTCAGAAAGACATTTTGCACTATTTATTTTGTAAAATTTTAAATATTTGTCAATTTTTTACATTTTGAAATTTTACAAAATTTTCAAAAAAAAATATTTTAAAACTTCTGCTACTCTCTAAAAATGAATTAGTCAAAAATGACTAATTTAATAGTAATTAGTGGCTGTTTTTCACTTGTACCATGGTTAACCATGGAAAACCATGGTATCCCAAAATTTAACAGCCAATTCTTATGTAAAATTGTCCCCTGAATCCGAATATACCGTCAAAAATTATGAAAGGGGAGCAGTTTTTGAGATATAGTCAATTCCATATTAAAGGGAAAATAGACTATATCTCAAAAACTGATATACTTTTTTAACTTTTCAGGGGACAATTTTACATAAGAATTGGCTGTTAAATTTTGGGATACCATGGTATTTCATGGTAACCCATGGTACAAGTGAAAAAGCAGCCACTAATAAACTATTAAAAAAGTCATTTTTGACTAATTCATTTTTTAGAGAGTAGAGCATTAGAACTATCACTATTTTGTGAAATAAAAAAATGATATTTGGTTTGCTGGGAAATATATATGTAGAAAAATGAAAAGAAAAGCCAATCTTCCAAATTTAACATTTACTATTGATACCTGTTAAAACTCTTAAAAATTAATATGAATGCATGTCATGAAGACTTTTTGTATACAATTATAATTTAATATTAGGGTTTAACGTAAACTTTTAGATTAAAATTGTAGCCCCTACCAAATTGAGATTGAAATTTGACGGTTACGCAATTATAATCAGGTCCTCCACTGATGATACTGGCCATTCCGTTGGTTCCATCTGTCCAATTGTCCTCTACTGTCACACATTTTATTACTTGTCGAGGGTCACAAGTACAGTATGAGTGCTAAGCAAATTTCAAATATACATTATTATAATATAGGTAAACAGTTTTCTTATAAGATATACGGTTTGTATACCGTATTTTCACCAGTATGCATCAGAACGCATTGAGAGAGATTTCCTGCATCATTTACGTTTTAAATTTCGGCTGGGTACACCAAAAATGAAAATACGGTATATACGGTTTAAGCGTTAGTATGGCATTTTGGCGACACCTTAAATAACTATAATACTTACTATTTCTTCAATAGTCTTCATAAATGTGAAATCGTCCTTTATGTCACGGTTATATTGGAGTTCAGCTCGATGACAAGAGCCATATTGTAAATCAGTACAACTAACTTGACACACTACCACCATACAAAATATAATGAAAATTTTCATTTTATTTGCAATATTAAATTACCTTTGAAATGATGATTTGTGCTTACAAAAATTAACCTGTGCACATTCTAAAAACATATGAATATATGTATATATATATAAACGGCCTGGTTCAAAAAGTTATCAATAATTTTTTTTTTAATATTTATATGCTTTAAATGTAAATACTTAGTTACTTAAAAAATAAATTACACAGAAAATCCAAAAGATACAGTGTGAATTACTCATATTTTTGAAAATAAACACGTTGTTTAAAAACTCTCTAACATTGTCTAAAATTATATTATAATTTAATATTTTTATATGTATATTTTTTTAAATTGTTTTTAAAATTATTGATTGTTTAAACCTTTATTATTAAGAAATAAGGATTTTTATAATTTATACAGAGTGACAACTCTGTATAAATTCATTTTCCAAAAATTGATAAAATGTTATATGAAACGTGATATCTTGGGTTATCAAAATGATTTAATAAATTCTTTGAATCGTTACTTAAAACTTCAACTAACATGTAACATTTTTAAATTAATTCAAGATCGATGAATCAAATTTTTACCCAATCCAAATTTAAACTAACAAAAAAACTATGCCTCATTTTTATTTTTAAAACATTTTTATATGGTTTTATTGTGTGCATATTGGTTTGGCCACTGTTAAACATTCTTCCAAAGTTTTAAAGTTGTTTGGGGTTTCACCGCAACCAAAAAACATATCCTTTTCACATTCTTGCTTATGATGGTTCCAATGATACCTAATGCTTCCTAATTTGCAAGACTTTGTTTGCAATGGTCTTTCACAATCTAAAATAAGGTACCTATTAAAAATATATAATATTAAATAAGGATATAAAATAACACCAACCTTGTTCTGAGAAAGCTTTGGCAACTAAAATTTGGTTTATTAAAAAGCAAAACAAAAATACAAACTTCATTGTAACTTTTTTATTTTCAACTAAATGATTATTGAAAATATTTCTTGTTTTATAGGCTTTTGTTTGGTGTTTATAATACGAATTTGCGGAAAATAATGTGAATTACCGATAAAAAAGTCATAAATTTATATATCTTAATAATAAACCTGTACAAACTATATAAATGTTATGTGGTAACATTAAAAATAGAAATGTACTTTTTTCCATGCCGGTAAGTTATCTTCCAAATACGCATTGAAGAAATTAAACAATAAATCAACTTAAAATTACTTTTATTTATTTATAGCAAATAATATAGACTTGTTATTGAGTGCATATTGGTTTGGCCACTGTTAAACATTCTTCCAAAGTTCTGAAGTTGTTTGGAGTTGCTCTGCAACCCCAAAACATTTCCTTTTCACAAACTTTTTTGACATTATTCCAGTGATATCTGTTGATTCCCACATCGCATCTTACTGTTTGCAATGGCTTATCACAATCTAAAATATAGAAAACTTATAAAAACTATTTATCACAAATTAAAATAAAAAATAAAACAAACCTTCTTTTGTGAAAGCTTTCGCAAAGAAAACTTGTACGATTAAAATGCACAACAAAAATATGAACCTCATTGTCATGGTGTCTTACGTTTAACTAAATTATTTTATATTCGTTCTTTGTTTTATAGGTTTTTGTTTAACTGTTTGTGTGTGTGTTGTGTGTGGGAGGGGGTGGATGGGCATTATTGTAATTAACTGTAATTTACACGGTTTATTTGAGAAAAAAATATTGTGAATTACCGGTGGTGACATCATTGTTTCTTGATGATAAAAACTTCAAGGATTAACAGTGTCCTAATATAAAAATTAACATTTATAAGATGAAATAATCCGTATCTAACAGCCGTTGTTATGGTAACAAACCGAGTAAGTAAGAGATATCTGCGTAATTTAGGTCAGAAGGTAGGTATTAGAAGTTCTATTTTAGCCATCAAAAATAAAAAAAAAAATTGTAAAATAAAATTTTATTTTTTACCACTGTAGTAAGTTTTAATAAATTCATGTTCCAATTTATTTATCAAAACTAATAAACAAAAAAAAAACTAGATAAACCCTAACCTAAATTCAAAATCCTTAAAATTGAAAGTAAAAGCTTAGTACCTATTTTGAAATAAAAAAACAAAATCTGGCTTTTATGTATAAAAAAATTAACATAATTTCACATATTTTATTTTTTTATTTTAATTTTCATATATTTTTTTCTAATTTTTTACATGAAATAAAAATGATGACGGGGTTATAGATGTCCCCCAAGTGAAAATGTTTATAGATTCACGGAGGATAGGATTTCTTATGTTTTTTTTAAACATCCCTTTGTATATTTGAAATAAGTTATTGTATCTTTTGACACCTTAATATTTTTTAAAAATACATAAAATATTTATAAAAAAAATCTACTTACTGAGATATTACACTTCACGGTGGATAGGTTTTTAAATAGCAAATTAATAAACATGCATCAATAATGTCGCAAACAGAGGTTTTTGCTTATTTAAAATGATTAAAGCGCCATAAAATTTAAAGCAAAAACAGATTCACGGAGGATAGAATCAATTTTTGTAACACCTACATAAATGGTTATAAAAATTATTTCTTTTAATTTTTAATAATATTTTATATTTGATTCGATTGCTTTGGATGTGTTTAATTTACTTAGTGAATTGATATTTTTAGTATGCTTTTACTACCTACCTCAGATATTTGAAAACATATAGGTTAACCTAGAAAGAGTAACAGTCACGGAGGATAGGTTTTATACTTTCGTATATTTTTGGTGTTTTTTTGTCCCATTGTCAAAATTTGTATTTGTTTTTTTGACATATATTTTCTATAGAGATAATTGTTAAAACAAAACCGTTAATTCAAATGCAAGTGATCAGTGAAAATAAATTAAACTTGTAATTAAATATTAACTTTACTATATTACATTCATATATACAAATTATAAATTAAAACAATAAATAACTTAACATTATTAAAACGATTGTATAAACACTTGGCGATATCATTATACCACTAGATGTCAGTCCAAAGAAGAATCCCTTCTTCTTTCGTTCTACAAAAAAAAAAATTAAACATAAAAAATATAAAATTCAATGTTCACCAGCTTACTTGATTTTTCATTGGGGTCTCTAACCCCGCATTGCTTGTATGCAATTTTAACTTTCCGTTTTTCATTGTAATGCCCTGGAATGTATAGACTAGGAGACTCCAGCTTTCCCGTCGACATAAGTTTGCCGAAATCTTGTTCCAATCTAGTGGCAATGGGACCCTTAAAGTGCAACAAAAGCTGCACGCAGGCGTCTTGATGCAGCGTTTTGGTTTTTCTCGTATCAACTGTCAAAAACCACTCGGGGATTCCCATAATGTCACGCACGTCTTCAATAAATTGAGCTCTATATAGAGAAATAATTAGTTATGCACTGGGATAAAAAAACTCTTAAAACTCACACCACAAATCTTGGAGGTTTTTCTATGTTCGCATATTTAATGATGTCGTAGTCAGGCTCTATGTTCGCGCATGCGTACCGCTCGCCACCTTGATTCGGCCCTAGGATCACTATGGATCTACCAATGGCAGTGACGGAACCTTCCAGGGGAAAGTTGGAGTCAGTGAAGACTTTTCTTTTCAGACCTATGTCTATGGTTCCCAGCCGGGCCGAAAGGTCGCCCACGTGACATCTCAATGGGTTTTCCGGACCACATTCTTGTCGGTAGAGGTCATGCTAAATAGAGAAATAATGTGTCTATTCACAATAACAAAATTAATTACAAAACACTCACATTTAGTGGATCTGCCAGTTGAGTATAGAAAGGGTTCCAAACATACCCACCAGCAACGCATCTAGTCGCCGTGGTTTTCACAGCTGCATCCACGCCCACTGGATTGACGTATATGGCCCAATTGTGGTTCCTCGTCTTAAACAAAATAAAAACATAACCACTCAATCCATGCGTTTCTTAATGATCACATACCACATTTCTATCGTTCTTCCCAGGATATCTCAACTTGACCTCGATTGTAGTATCACTGCTGCTTCCGTCGTTATATATAAGTTGCCTCTGGAAAAAAATATTAATTTTTACTGTAAAAACATCAAGTTTAATATAATACCATTTTCATGTAACCATAAGCATATCCCTGTGGATGATGGAAGGAGGAAATACCTCTTAACTCTCTTGCTTCGGAAGGACTATAACCTCTCTCAATGGTGGAACAAGCAGCTCTACTAGTATCCTAATAAAATCGAAATATATTAATTTATAATAATCATTTAACATTTACCTTTTTGTGGATGACAACAGATCTGCCCAGTATACTTCTAGGTCCAAATAGAGGCAACATACTGTCATTGTAATGGGTTTTGTAGATCGTTTGGTTATCCAGAGAACCGAATTTCCCACTTAAATCGCCCATTTCGTATTGGTCCGGCGTACCAAGGTAACTTCTTGGCGATGAAGCTGCATCCACATTCAAGGGGTTCCAATGATTGTATAGAGTTGTTTCTTCACAGGGGAATTCCAGAATTTCTTCAACAGGAACCTATATTATAATAAGTATGTTGAATTAGAAACATTTTGGAGAAGAAATACAAAAACTTACCACATGAATGTGGTAACCGCTGTAATCCTTTAAACCTTCAAGCCCAACTTCCACATTTGTTATGTCATACTCAGTTTGTTGGTAGAATTCTATTTTCCCTTTCACTGATAACTCGTATCCATTGGGAAACCAATCTCTCACCACAGCCTTTCTTCTATACACACCGCCAATGCTAAAAATTGTATATAACGTATATTGTTTTGTTGATTGTGTTTTACATCTTCTTACATTGAACATGCAAGTCTTTCTCCTCTAGCTTTGGGACCGTGGTCATCAAATATAACAAGGGACTTTCCAATCACAGAGTATGGTCCTGTTAGAGGTAGGAACGGATCTGTCCAGAATTTTCTGGATATTCTGTCACTATCCACAATTCTTCCGGAAATTTTCAAAGGTCCGTGTCTTTGGGAGAGGTCTCCCAAGCGACACAGTCCAACTTGGTTTAAAGTGCATCTTTCCAAATCTTCTGCAGATTTATTATTGAAGTCGATCTAAAACAAAATGTTTTAGTCCAAGTTAAGTGGCAATAAACATCTTACATTATAGGGGTTAAATATTGGCCCAGCACTGACACACCTCGCGGTCCAATTGTAAAAATCCTTCCCAGGTGGGTTTTCGGTAATAGCCCATCTATGTTCAGCGGTGTTATTTAACTGGGCTCCATCGGCATGCACCAAGTATTCCATCATGATTGTGGTGTCAGACCAAGGTTCATCCTTAACCTGCCTTAAAACCATCCTACCCACGGTGGGATATCTGAAGAGAACTTGAGCTGTGAACATTGGTTTTTGGTATTCGAAATTTGACTCGTACAAATGGATTCCCCCGCATATCCACGGTTCAGTGAGGATGGCCGAATTTGGATACTGGGTGTTTCTAGAATAATAATGTAGTTTGTTTTTGTGTTAGTTAAATTGACGCCTTACTTGTAGATAACCAAGGATCTGTGCACAACAGAATGCGGCCCTTGCAGAGGTAGATAAACATCCCAGTACGAACCAGTTAACTCTTGACTTCCAGCAAACGATAACGTAGCATTATTTCTGTTCAATAGTTTACCAGAAAGATCCCCTATTGAGTATTGATCCTGAGTACCGAAACCTACGAAAACAAAACATAATAACAGTAAATACTACCTGTTTAATCTTTATTGTTACCGTTGGGTGGCGTATTGTTTACATCGGTATTTTTGGGATTATAGAGGTTCTTTGTTGTGAGGCAAGAATTTTCGTTTTGTCCTACGGTTTTGGCCGGTTTTGTGGGCAGCTCGTGTATCTTGTAACCCGCCACCGTCACACTGTACACCAACTTCGTTTCTATGTCACCTCTCGTGGTGGACAAGTTGAAGTTGAGGAACGTTGGCTCGAATTTGCTGTGCTGGGTCATCTTTATGTCCCCTTTGATACCACCTGATTGGATGATGACTCTAAAATATGGTATTGATGAGTATGTAAGAGGTTTAATCTAGAAACTTACTTGGAGTGTATGGGGTGGTTGTAGCGAATTTTGGCGCAGGCTAGAAATACATCGGGGTGTTTCTTCTCGAATACCACCAAGTACAATCTTCTTTGGGGGCCATTTAGATCGCTGGGAAGCAAAATAAGTTCCTTGTCGCTGTAAACATTCTTGAATTTGTTTCTGTTGTAGTTTGTGGAAATTTTGACTTTACCAAGCCTCGAGTCGATATCACCCAACGCTTTACCTTTCTCTGCGTTCGAAGGATCAAAGACTAGTTGAAGGAAGTTACAGTTACTTTCAGATCGATCATCGTCGTTTTCCAGGATGTCTGTCACGTAAATTTTCCAGGAGTGTTCTGTGAATGTTAGTCTTCTCTCGTACTTTTCTTTTGATCTTACGTGGTACAAATCGGTTGATAACAGCATGTCGCTGTGGTTGTCTTTGGTTGAGTACCACCGGAAGTAAACATTACCAAACACAGGCGTTGTGAATTTTGCGAAGGCTATTTTCTCCTGAGTCTTATCCACCATGGTGATTGAAGCACATATGGTTCGTCCGGTCTCCTTATTCTCCAAAACCAAAGATTTACCGTATAGACCGTTGATTTGAATGTCTTCTGTGACGAACTCTGCTGTCTGATTATCCGGCAAAATCAAGTAACCAAAAACCTCGTCCATGTTCACTGTGGATTTCCCGAGGTTTTCTGGATCGCATCTCCCCTCCACAAGGCTGTAATCTACGGGTAATTCCGCAACGTTCCACGACCATACTTGCTCAGGGTACTGCAAAGTCGGATTCAAGTCCGTGGTGATCACAATGGAGTTTATCTCTTTGGTGAATGTTATGGTTCCGTGTAGACCCTCATCGGAAAAATAACTTTTTAGCTCTATCGAGGTAGTTACGTGTATATCTGGAACAGATGTCATTTAAATTAACGGTTTCCTTGGCAACAGTCGTGTGAGCAGGTATAAATATATTATTATAAGGAGTTTTTAATTGCACTTAAGTGTCGTGTTGATAATTGCAATATAAACATGGAACGTTGGGCAAATTCTCTTATTATTTTAGAGATATAAAAGCAGCTGTCTTTTACTTATTAAAATTTAATATGGGAATTATAATTAATTATTACGTAAGTTGCTAGGTCACACACTAAGTACTTCGTTACATTAAAAAAATATATTCATATATACATTTTAGAATATAACGACTATTTTACAAAATACAAATATTGTGAAATAATGTGAAAAAGTGTGCAGAACTTCTGCAGAAGCAGAGGTCCGTTAAAATACTACATTTTAGAATATAAAGACTATATTACAAAATACAAATATTGTGAAATAATGTGAAAAAGTGTGCAGAACTTCTGCAAAAGCAGAGGTCTGTTAAAATACTGCTATAAAATCTAACTTTAATTAAAATTAATTTATTTAAAACTAAACTAAGTTTCCCTTTTTGATGTACTGTTGATATCTCCAATATATACATAATATGTTTATTATGGTGGATATTATAAACAATAAACATTTACAGTTTAAACCCATACGTGTAAGGAATAAATAAAATACTTCCGCAAAACAAATGACAATATGTTCCGAACTTACCGAATAACAAAAACGCAAAAACTAGAACACTCTTGTACAAGATCATTTTCTATTTGGTATAGGTGCACAATTAAATAAAATATAAATTCAATTCGTATGTCACATGGTGGAACTTTCTGTTTTCTTTTTAATGCATTCAGGGCACTCGATTTCTTGCAGACTTTGTCCACTTCTTAATGCAGTCGAAGAAATACTACTCTTCGATAGAAAGCGGGAATTCGCTAATGCGGTCTACCTGAGAGACCGGAGTGTCGAGAAAATCAACCGTCGCCCATTTTTGTTGATATGCAAGTTTTTAATGCGGATGTAGGTTGATATTTTTTTTGCATAGTTGTCCGGTCTCTGGTTTTTACCTCTGCGACTTAGTCATTGAGGAACCGCTTCAAATGAAAGACAAGGTTAACAATAGCCAGTACTGAACTTACCAGGTGTGGTCTGTTTTTGTGTAAAATCAACGATTTGAAGAATTTTGCGATTTTTTTATTTTGTTATTTCAACCCTCCCTTTGAATAAAACGTTTTTTTTCATAAGTTATATTGTTCGATTTTAATAATATTCTTTAGTCACGGGCTAAAGTTAGTTATAGGTACTATTATGGTTCTTGTGCAATAGCAATTAGCAATTTGTTAATTCGTAGTCATCCTGTAGATTTCATAATGATAAAATCCTTTTTTCACAATAATTAAGCACTTTAAAAGAATAAAATTTCGAAGGTTGTTTATAAAACTGTTTATAAAGAATGAATAATAAAGTTTTCCTAACTGTAATCCACTGCATACTATACACTATATACTATACTTGCATCAACTTGTAAAAACATGAATTATATTTCTATACTCAAGCTACCTGGGTTACAGTTAAAAATTGGGCAACTCGTGTCATAATTACTACTCTTGGGGTATCTTAGGGGAGGGTCCCTACAAGCATCCACAAATATTTCTGTTTTCAATTGAAATCACAATGCGAAACGAGAAGATGCGTTAATAATATAAGTAGTCATGAGAGCAGGTAAAAATAGTTTTGTGAGACGAAAATAGATGTGGGAATTTTTAAAAAGAAGATTAAAAAATACCAAGCAAATTTTGACTTTACTATTAATTAAATTCAATCTGTTTTATATTTACTAATAATTATATCAAAAAAATCTATTTTTTATAGGTTATTGACCACTAAAAATAGTTTAATGAGTAAATGTGAATACAGTGGATTCCTACCTACTCCATTTGGCTTGCGACGAGAATAAGCTATTTTTAAAATTGGATACAGAACCTAGATTCTCAACAGTAATAAAATGATTAGAAATGCATTATTTATTTCATAATTCTACTCTCTAAAAATGAATTAGTCAAAAATGAATAATTGTCATAGCGAAAAAGCAGCCACTAATAATTATCGTCAATAGCAATTTGTATCTTCCATGTAAATTTTGAGATATAGCCAATTTTCTATATAATATGGAATTGACTATATGGCTGTTAAATGTTGGTGATACCATGGTATCCCATGGTTAACCATGATATAGTAACCAGTCATTTTTGATTAATTCATTTTTAGAGAGTAATACGTTTTCCTTGTATTTACTTCATAATTAATTGGGTATTTATTTCCAGTCTAAAAAGAATTCTGGGAAAAAAATCTTTATCGTATAACCCTACCCAAATGATAATTATTTTTATCTACTCCTACATTGACGAGCTGTGACTTTATGGCGTTTTATTGACGGGCTGAAGTTAACAACAGTGGCTTTTCGACATTTTACGTCACGGGCTGAAGTTAGCTTTATTATAAATTGGGTGACAGTTGACAGATGTCAACATTTTAACAAATAAAATTGGCTTTAAATTCTGTTTTGTGTTCGTCGTAGATAAAGTATAGTATGCAACTCGTTTATAAACTTCTCTAGACACTCATTTTTATTAAACACTCGCTCGCAAGCTTCGCTACTATAATATACTATTTAAACTTTTACTATTTTTTTCGTAGACTGTAAAATTCCCTGCAAGCATGTGACATGTCTATTAATAAGCGAGTTGGAATTGGAATTTTTATTATGTAAAAAAGTACCTATTATTTAGGCAGGATTTAAGGACAAAATTGTTTTTAAACAAATAATTAATATAATAAGTAACATAAAAAGAGACATTAACAACTTGTAAAATTCAAAAAAAAAAATTCTATTATTGACCTCTTATTATTTAAATGGATGTTTTTGCAAACAACTCTTAAAATACAATTTTTGTAAAGCCTAAAATTTCAAAAATATGTCTTTCATATTGTTGTATCTCTACTAATTAGCGAGTTATGAATATTTTCTTATGTCATTAAAATGTTTTTTTTTCCAAAATTGTTTTTAGACTCAGTGTTAGATGACACCCAAAAACATGGGATTCATAATATAATTCATATTGTGAATTATATCTGCCAATTTATTAAATGTTTTTTCAATATTAAATAATATTATTATTATTGTTATTATTATTATTATAAGTAAGTATACTTAATAAAAATCAATACCATGTTTATTGAAATGTTATTATTATACAAGAGAATAGTATTTCAGTGCAAAACTCAGAGAGGCCTTCTATTCCTGGTGGAACCTATATAAGGTGTGCGCCGTATCAAACGACGCCCAGCGTCTCCACGCGTCGTCTCAGTACGAAGCAACGAACTTATTTAAGACGGAGAACCGCATTACAAAAGTCAGTCGAGGGTGTTTATTGGAGATTGACATCATACGACAAAATGGTAAGTAAAAACCTACCTAAATACACATAATGGATATGTGCGTACCAAACAAAAAAATCTTTGTGAAAAGTGCCCGTGAAAGTGCTCAAAATGAAATGAAAGTGTTGAATTGTGAAAAAATTTAGAAAGGATAACTTATCTTTAATACTTAAGTTTAGTTGCAAAACTGTATGGATACTCCCTAAAAATGAATTAGTTAAAAAAGACTAATTGTCAGCGAAAAAGCAGCCACTAATAATCCTCGTCAATAGCAATTTGTATCCCGAACATTTAGCAGTCAATTTGCATTTTCCATTTTTAAGATATAGTCAATTTTTCATATAATATGGAATCGACTATATCTCAGAAACTATTCCACTTTTATAATTTTTGACGGTATTTTCGGGTTCAGGGGACAATTTTACATAAGAATTGTCTGTTAAATGTTGGTGATACCATGGTACCCCATGGTTAACCATAATATAGTAACTAGTCATTTTTGAATAATTCATTTTTAAAGAGTAGTTTAGTGTACATTTTGCATTTCTATTTTGTTGATAATGATTTAAGACGAAAAATTTAAAGTAAATCAAGTTTTCTATACACATAACATTAATTCAAAGTAAGATGTTTGGTAATAATTTAATAGTTTATTTTGGGCGGATCAAAATTTGACTACAACCTATTCTATTTTTAATATTTGGCCAGAGCTTGGCTGGATTTGGCATAGTTCCAAAAATAATCTGGCGACCTACTATGAATTGAAATTCGAGATATTTTGAGAATGATACTTAAATAGAATTTTCTTAAATTAGACAAACATAATTGGGTTAAATACTTTCTATAAATAAGTTTCAATAAAACTCTTTTATCTCCACGCGGTCTATAATTTAAACTTTATTGTTGTCAACATTCGATAAAGAAATACCTTGTTATGGCCTGGGCAGATAAAAAATTTTATGAGGGAGATAATTAGTTCGATTTTTTCTCGCTAGGGGTATTGTTTTGACAAATTAATCCTTTTCTAAGAAATTAGTGCTTATTATAAATAAATTAAACCAGTTAACTGGTAAAAGCAATAATAATTATTGTACATTTAATGTAATCTTTAGCTAATAAATAAATGAGATTCTAAAAAAGTAAGGTTAGGCCGCTTTGATGTTGAATTAAATTGACCTATGTAAAGTGCTTTGAAGATAAAATGTTGTATGCCATTCGGCCAAGAAGTGCCTTTTTGTGCTTCGCTCAATTGAGCTTAGCTTTTTTAATTTTTTGATAAAATAGTGAATTTTGACAAGCAAGATATATCTATATATATATATATATATATAATTAGGTACCATCTTATTTTGGTTTAATAGAAACAACATTAATGTAGGATTTTAAGTTTTGACAACGATGATGAATATATATCTGACATTCTTGTAGATTGGTTATTTTTTCTGCAATTAATAATATCCATTTGTATTAAAATCATTATTAGCTACCACAGCGTAGACTTACTTAATACCTTAAAAACGTTTTGGCGATGTAGCAATGCATAACCAAGACTTTTTCAATAGGTAGTCTTTAACATCTTAACGACGTTTTAACAACGTTTAGCAACGACTTAATAATGCCGTTGAAAGGACATCTTAAAGACGGTGTGTTTTGTAAACTGGACGTCTTAGGGATGTCATAAACGTCCGAGTCCGACATCTTTAAGATATCTTTAAGATGTCTCTGTGCTATCTGGGACATAAATATTACACTGTTGTTGTTTACAGGCGGACAAAGAAAAGAAGGTCAAGAAGAAGAAGAAGGAAGAAGGAGGTGAAGACGCCCCAGCAGCGGCGCCAGCCCCGACCAGAAGCTCCTCCAAGAGCTCATCGAAGAAAGCCAAGCGCTCCGCTTCCAATGTCTTCTCCATGTTCTCCCAGGCTCAAGTTGCCGAGTTCAAGGAAGCCTTCCAGCTCATGGACCACGACAAGGACGGCATCATCTCCAAGTCCGACTTGAGGGCGACCTTCGACGACGTCGGCAAGCTCTCCAACGAGAAGGAGCTCGACGAGATGGTCAACGAGGCCTCCGGACCCATCAACTTCACGCAGCTGTTGGGTCTCTTCGGCACCCGCATGGCCGACTCCGGAGGTACCGACGACGATGAGGTCGTCATCGCCGCCTTCAAATCCTTTGATGAAAATGGTACCATCGAAAGCGAAAGGTAAGCAATTTGGAAAAGCTATTGATTATAGAAAACTGGGGTCTATAATCTCAGGGTGTTTCAAATATATCATCTTTATACTAAATCAGTTTCTCATCTTACCAAATTTTCTATAGTTTTGTTTTTATTATAAAATATAGCTATAAACATTGTTATTTGAAGGATGTTGGGGTCTATAATCCAAGGGTAGCTTAAATGTGATGTCTTAATCCCAAATTAACTGCTCCTCCTGCTAAACTCTCTAAATTATGTAATTTGGTGTCAAATTTGGAAAAAGCTAGCACTGAAGTATTATTTATGGGAAACTTGTGTCTATAATCTCAGGGTAGGTTCAATGAATGGTCTTTTCATCAAATCAATTACTCACCCTGCTAAACCATCAATTATTTTGTTTTTATTATAAAATATAGCAATATACTTTGTTATTTAAAGGATATTTAGGTCTATAATCTCAGGGTGGGTTAAATGTAGCTTCTTAATTCTAAATTAACTGTTCCTCTTGTCAAACTGTCTAAATTTTCTAACTTGGTGTCAAATTTGGAAAAGCTAGCACTGAAGTATTATTTGTGGGAAACTTGGGTCTATAATCTCAGGGTAGGTTCAATGTATTGTCTTTTTATTAAATCAATTACTCACCATCTTTTAATTTTGTTTTTATTATAAAATATAGCAATATACTTTGTTATTTAAAGGATATTTGGGTCTATAATCTCAGAGTGGGTTAAATGTAGCTTCTTAATTCTAAATTAACTGCTCCTCTTGTCAAACTGTCTAAATTTTGTAACTTGGAGTCAAATTTGGAAAAAGCTAGCACTGAAGTTTTATTTATAGGAAACTGGGGTCTATAATCTCAGGGTAGGTTAAATGTATTGTCCCTATATTAAATCAATTACTCACCTTGCTTAACCATTCATTATTTTGTTTTTATTATAAAATATAGCAAAAAACTTTGTTATTTAAAGGATTTTTGGGTCTATAATCCAAGGATAGGTTTAAAGTACCTTCCTTATTCTAAATTAACTGTTCCTCCTGTTAAACTGTCTACATTTTGTAACTTGGAAAAGCTAGCACTGAAGTTTTATTTATGAGAAACTGGGGTCTATAATCTCAGGGTAGCTTAACTGTTTGCTTGAAAGAAATGTTTGATCACTTTTATATTTTTCCTGTTAACTTCAGATTCCGTCACGCCCTTATGACCTGGGGAGACAAGTTCACCGCCAAGGAAGTTGACGACGCTTTCGACGCGATGGAAATCGATGACAACGGCAGAATCGACACCGGCGCCTTGATCACCCTCCTCACCGCCGCCCAAGAAGAAGAAGGCGAAGCCGCATAAGCGATTCATCGTTAAATGAACTTCATCTCACATCACCAATAAGCATTCATTCAAAACAACCTGTAACCTCGCGTTATACTCATCATCAAAAGTTAAAAATCATCCAACAACACCGTTGATTTTGTTCGTGGTCTCCACAGTTTGAACAGCTCGACTAAACGTTTTTAAATTATTTTGAACTCGGAACGTCATTCAACACAAAAAGTATATAAAATGTGTATTAAAAGATAATTTGGTAAACGTACCGCGTGTCCCGGAAGTCAACAGGGACACGGAAATAAATCATTAATTTTATATCATTTTGTGTTTTATTTACTTTATCTTTTTATTTTCTTGTTATTTATTTTTTAATTTAAGTTTACTTCCAATAATTATTAAATAAATCTTAAAAGACCAATTATTTATTTTTATTATCTATTTTCCTATATAGGTAATTTATTATTTGAAAAAAATATATTGCAATTATTTAAATAAAAGTTATAATATAATTATAATTTCGCAGAAAGAAATATTTAAAAGATTTGGGTTTTGTCTCTTGTGGTGTGCGTATTGTTCTATGGAATAGTTGGTAAAGACTTTACGACCCACGGTGGAAACAATACGCAAATGATTGATATATTTTATATATTATAACCATTGAGTAAGATGTTCTTTACTCAATGTTATAACACATCAGAATTAAGGCTTAAAAAAGCAAATTTGATGGCAGTAACTTTGCAATTCAAAGTTGGTAATGCTGACGTCATTATATCGCATCTGTTTTTAAACAAGGGTACTTATTGATCCTCCCTCGTAACGATTTTTTTCATTAATCAAATCTGCCGCGCTTAATGAAAACGCCGTAACCAACAATTTTGCGATTTTTGTTTTACGGCATTTTCTACTAGAACAATTCATCCTGCGTCTATCCCCGGTACTCAAAAAACCGTATCTATATATATACGGTTTTTGTGATTACCGGGGATAGACGCAGGATGAATTGTTCTAGTAGAAAATGCCGTAAAACAAAAATCGCAAAATTGTTGGTTAAGGCGTTTTCATTAAGCACGGCAGAAATCTAGAACAGTGTGTTCAAAATTCAATCAAATTTTTGAGTTAACGAAAAATTATCATAGCCATTTTGTTCCTCTGTTTTATTTATTAATAGATTGGCAGAGTATTTGATTTAAAATAAATTATCGATTACCGTAAGTTGAACCACATTAGGTAATAAATTGGATACATATACAACATCTAGGATAAAATTTACAACAGTCAGATTGGCCGAGCGGTCTAAGGCGCCAGATTTAAGCTCTGGTTCTCGAAAGGGAGCGTGGGTTCGAACCCCACATCTGACATACTTTTTTTACAGGATAGTTATGCTTTTTTTAATTGTACGAGTAGGGTTTTATAATTTTCTGAAAAATTGAACCGGCGGAAAAAAAACGGAAAAATTGGGAATTTTCAGAAAAATCGACTTTTGCATTTTTTCTTCATTTTATTCAAATGGCAATACGAACAAAATGCAAGTCAATTTAAAAGTAAATATTGAATAAGCACGCGACACTTTGTCAAACACGTGTTAAATTAAACTTGAATTAAAGTTATAACGCGCGGACCATATATTTAGTTTTAATTTTTTTTGGTAATAAAGGATATTTTTTTTCATTTAAATAATGTTAAGTTGTTGATTATTACTTGTTTTAAATGTGTATATTTTCCAAAAGATAAAGTTCAATTTTTCCCAAAAAAGGCCATTTTTCCAAAAAAGGTTTTTTACAATTTTTTCGACACTTTAAATTCCTAGCTACGACGCAATATAAGGAGTAGTTGCCAATACATTCGCTATTTGTTTACCAAATGCCATGTTTAAAATAAAATTGGCACGTCTAAAAAAAATCACGAAGGGAAAGAAGGGTTTGGATGAATAATACACTTGATTAAAAAAGTATTTATATTTATTTTAGTGGTATCATAGTCACATAAAATCAATACAAAACTAAATTCTAATACCTAATACATAAAATAAACTTTTTATAAGACCATCAATCTGGGGGCGATATTCATCGACATCAGCTCTTGGAAGAGCAACTTAGCGGCGTAAGGCAACTTGACCTGCGAAATCTGCGTCTTATTCTTGCACCCCTTGCACTCGAACGTGTTGTTCCGCAAGTTGGCGATGGCGATCAGCCCGCAGAAGTTGCACACGTGGATCCTGTAGGGATCGGACACCTCGAACAAGCGCTCGCGCAGAAACTGCGCCGCGCCGTGCGAAATCTGGCAATCGCGCTCCATCTCCCCGAAACGCAGGCCCCCGTCTCTGGCGCGACCCTCCATGGGCTGCCTGACCAGGATCTGCACCGGGCCTCTGGCCCTCGAGTGGATCTTGTCGTCCACCATGTGCTTGAGGCGCTGGTAGTAGGTGGGGCCCAGGAAAATCTGCGCGTTCATTTTGCGCCCCGTGTGCCCGTTGTACATCACCTCGTTGCCCCTCAGTTGGTACCCGTACTCTTGCAGGAGAGTGGAAATTTTCTGCACGTTTACCGCGTCGTTAAACGGGGTCGCGTCCCCGATCTCCCCCTTATTCGCCGATACCTTACCTTGAATGCATTCAATTAAATGCCCAATCGTCATACGAGATGGGATGGCGTGCGGGTTGATGATGATATCCGGGGTCAAACCCTCGCACGAGAAAATCATATCCTGAAAGAATCAAAATGAAAACTCGCCGCGTTACATCGACAAACGACAAAACTAACTTCCTGCCGGTACTGTATGCCGCAAGTACCCTTCTGCCCGTGACGCGAGGCGAACTTGTCGCCGATCTGCGGAATCCTCACGGACCTCACGCGGATCTTGCAGAACTTGTAACCCTCGGAGTTCAACGTCAACATCACCTGATCCACCACGCCAGTCTCGCTGTTACGCAAGAAAGTACTGGCGTCCCTCTTGGTGAACTTCTTCGTGTTACCGTCCAGCTGAAATAATTAACAAATACCCTAGTAGCAATTTTGGAAAAGCCTTGTCCAAGCATGGGTCAAGATACTTGTTGATCAAGAATTGTACAAGAATTGGTCCAAATTCTTGATCAAGATCATTGGGCCAGACTGTGGCCATAATTTGTCAAGAATTTGACCAGAAGTCTGAGACCATCTGTTACTAAAGTTAGGGAGTATCCTATAGAGTAGAGGTTCTCATTTTACAGTAGTTTCATTCACAATTCACAATTGTCGTCTTTTCAGTTTCTCGCGTAAGTCTATCTCAAGACTCTGGTCAAATTCTGGTCAAGTCTGGAGCCAGTCTGCATAAAGAATCTTGGTCAAGTGTCTTGATCAAGAATTGTCAAATTGTGTATAAAGTGCTTCTCGAAGTATCTTGCTGGAGAATCTTGTCCAATTCCATTGCTTCTTCTTCTTCTTCTATACTTTTTATTCTCTCTTTCGAGAGAATTGGACTTGAGCCGATTAGGCTCTTACTGCCCAGTTACTAGTTTTATATATAACCTTGAAATTTATAAATTCATATAAATTCCTCTATTCCTTTAAATAAGGACAAAACGAGGAATATTATCTAGGACTGGAATCCGATTTTGTCCTCCCTGAGTCAAAGTCAACTATATTTCACACTATTTCATGGAGCTATGCACGAGCGATGCGCTTCTCACCGAGGATAAAATCGAACTCCATTCCATTGCTACTAGGGTAAAACACGTACCTCATCGTCGTTTTCCGGGAGCGTCATGGTTTTGCCGATGACGACGTCGTCCCCGGAGACACGAATACCGGGCGAAATGATACCGTCGTCGTCGAGTTTGTCGTAGAGCGCGTTGCGCATGCCCTGGCAGGTCTGCCTGGTCGGCTTCTCGAACTGCTCCTCCTGATCCCCAATGCGCTTGGACTCGGCGTCCTTGTACGAACGATAAAACACCGACCGGAAGAAGCCTCGTTCGACGGCCGAGGCGTTTAAAATGACCGAATCCTCCTGGTTGTAGCCGGTGTAGCAGGCGATGGCCACGATGCTGTTGATGCCGGCGGGGAGCTCTCTGAACCTGAGGTACTCCATGGATCTGGTGGTTACCAACGGTTTGTGAGGGTAGTAGAGCACGTGCGCTAGCGTGTCCATCCGCACGTGGAAGTTTGTTATGTACACGCCCATGGCTTGTTTTCCCATGGCGCTCTAAGAAAGGACAAGCGTTAGCTGTGAGTCCAATTTGGACTCATCAGAGCATTCAAAGGTTTTCTTCAAATTCCAAAGTGGACTGTTAAAATAAATGTCAAAACTCGCGGCACAGAGAAAAATTTTCTATCGTCCCCTAGCAATTTTTAAAACTCCTACGTTAAACATAGACTTTCTTTATTTTTAAATTTGGAATCTCCACTGCTATCAGCACGCCCCTTTTTCTCTGTGTCACGAGTTCTAAGATGTATAAATTTAAAAAACAAAAGAAAAAACATCAAAATCCAATAAAAATCATTTTCTTATATCCCACTTCTGATAGAATAATTTATTGAATTTTTTTTCGATTAACAACAAAAACAAAGATGAATTTCTTTGGTTCTAAATTTTAAAAAAATCAAAACTTCGTTTAAGTTACTCCACAATACACAAAAACCGGTATTCTGACGTGAATGTTATAGCTATCTCTCTCGCACAGTGTGACGTCATGTGCGAACCAAAAGCTGGCGGGTATAAATTTTAAATACTGAACAAAAAAACATCAAAATTCAATCAAAATCAATTTTCTTATATCCCACTTCTGATATAATAATTTATAATATTTAATACAGCAACATGAAAAAGTATAAATTTTCAAAATTGCCGACGAATTTATTGAATCCTATTCGATTAACAACAAAAACAAAGATGAATTTCTTTATATTTTTTCAATAAGATTGTAAAACGGAAATATTACGTTCGTTATGTGAATAATGTTCTACTGTTATGTTTTTATTTAATAATAACGGAAAAAAAGAAAAAAATTAAAACTAGAACTAAAAGGACCTACTTTTTTAAAACTATACATTTTAATGTACATTAAGGCTAGTATATTCTTTTTATATGGTATATTTACCTACCTTTAAATTTATTAGACAGCTAACTGTCAAAGTTACAATTGTTGTAACTATGACAATTAAGCATTAGGTAAATTTAGTAAAGTAAATATACTGACACTTAATTTTTAATTGTCGCCAAATCAATCGGTTAAACGTTATTAAAAACGGATGCATGAAAATTAGAACATTTCTTTTCCGACGATTTTATAGAAAAACGGACAAACGGATAACGGAAAAACGGATACATGAAAGTAAAGCTTAACTGGGTTGGAATGTTACATATTTAAAGCAACAATTAATTTTCTACCTTTTCTACCGTTTTTTATTTTCATTTTAACCTTTCCCTTGCATGCATTGCAAAACCATTGTGCGTTTAAAAAACACAATAATTTCGGAAAAAACTCAAAAGAAATCATAGTAAAACACCCGCGCATAGCCTATGCAAAACTGTCCATAATCAGCTTACCGGTTTTTATGTATCGTGAGTTGGGAATAGAACAAATAGTCAAATACCAAATAAATTTGATTATCCCAAAGTGTACCTACTTGATAGGTGTTCCTGGGACTTTGGTTGTGATCGGGGAACGGGATAATAGACGCGCAGACTCCCAAAATCATGGCGGGATGAATTTCGCAGTGAGTGTAAGTCGTACAGTAAGCGCACTCCTTGTCTTGTCTCAAATCGTCAGGGGACATGGCGATCATCACAGTTTCTTCCTCTAGGGTGTCAATGTATTCGACAACACCTGAGGCTACCAACACTTGCCAGCCATAGTTGTTGTACTCTCTTTCTTTTAACATGTCGATGTGTTCTTTTTTCAGTAACAGGCTGCCATTTTTAGCGATCAATAAAGGTCTGCAAATACGACCAGCATCCGTGTAGATACGGATTTCGCGATCGCGGATATCACGGATCATGGATACCTCGGATACGATAATATCCATCTGGCGGCGTAGTTTCCTCAAAGTCGCCGTCAATTGCTCCGGATCCCTGTGAATACCGACCCAACACCCATTGACAAAAATCTTAGTGGCGTTAGCGATAGCAGACGGCGCTATTTCCTCCAAATTCTCCATCGACCACTCCTCCAAGAACTCCAAGATCGGAGAAGGTTGCGAACCGACGGAAATGTAAGCCATAAGGGCGAGATTTTTTACCAAACCCACCGCAGCGCCCTCTGGCGTTTCCGCGGGGCAAATCATGCCCCACAAAGTGTTGTGCAACTGACGGGGTTTAGCTAATTTACCATCGCGACCGATGGGCGAGTTTACGCGCCTCAAATGAGATAAAGTCGAGGCGTAAGTCAGTCTGTTCAATACCTAGTCGAGAAATAACACAAATTTATTTTGTTTTGTTTGCTGTGCGATTTATTTAGTACCTGCGACACTCCGGCTCTGGCTTGATGGGCCTTTTTCTGGTCGCCCCAGTTACCGGTGGCAAGAGAGTAACGCAAACCGTCGGTGATGAGTTTGGTTTTGATTGCCAAATCCAAGTTGAAATCTTTTCCTCTGTCGATGAATTTTTGGGCGTACATGCGCACTTCCTTCATTAGGTTTTTGAAAAGACTAAAACATTAAATCATTCCAAACATAATTCTTCACATATTGTTAATTTTTGTCGAAAAAACCTTTTTTGACCAAAACAATGGGGTACTCTTGGTGTAACAGTCGTATCAAGACTTACAAAATTTAACTCTGAAGATGGTGAAGTATGAATGAATAAATTAAGAAAAAAGGAAGAAAATAATAATTTTAAAGTGCTGTTTTTAGAATTTTAGGACAAATCTAGAATTTAAGGACATTTCAGACAAATTTAAAATTTGAAAACTTTTTATTAGATAGAAATTAATTATTCATTAGAGAACAAAAACAAAATAAAAATATCCAGTTTTTTAAAGCTTTAATTCTATTACAGAGCTGTTCCTTCTTCACAGTATTCAATAGATTTCCGATATTCACATTTCCCGTTTAAATTAGCTGGTTCAAATTTTTAATTTTGTTTTGAGGAGTCAATTTGATCATCCAACATAGAGTAGGCAACCCAGATCACAAACTAAAGTTTTGGTGTTTTAATCATGACAAAATCATGTGACAGGTGGTTTATGTTGCAATTAGGTATAAATAATAAACAAAACAAAAAATGACAAAATTTAGGACACAATGCTGTATTTTAGGACTTTTAGGACATTTGAGAGCCCTGTGATAGTGATAGAAAATACACATAAACTGATATTAAAATGAACTATAAACAATAAGAATGTTTTATGTGGATGATTCAACTCTTGATAAAGAAGAAGACTAACAGAATATGTGTATGCTAAAAAAATAAGAGACAGGAGTACAAACCAATATAGAGACCTTTTTACTTGTTGCCATCAATAGCGTATTTTAGTATTAAGTTCTTAATGTACTATTTTATCTATTTTGCAAAAATTTATACCTTAAATTTAATTTGGTAGAATTTTACTTTAGATAGTTGGTATCAGTCATTGGTTTGACAGTTAATGTCAAAATCGATTCGCCATGCCGTCCTTAATTTACATATTTACAATAAGCGTCTGTTAATGTTAAAGAAAAAAAGGATTTTCTTTGGTGTTAAAAATATTATAACCAATATGCAAACGATTTAAATAATTTGAAGAATTTGAACATAACCTAACATAAACAAATGTTGGATATTCTGCTACATAATTAGAAAAACTTATACAAGAAAAAAGAAGTGTGGAAATACAAATAATTTTAATAGTGATAGAAAATAGACATACATTAATACTAAAATAAACTATAAATAAATGATTTAAAGGAGTTGTACTTAGATTAGAAAAAAAACATAATTAATTAAGCTAAAGGCCATTACCCCTAAACACAGTGCTCTGAGATTGATAAGGAAGAATAGAAAACTACATAACTCACTTATAACTTCATTCGTAAGTCTTGACACGTCTGTTACACCAATAGTATCGTGACGTCACGCCACTAACTAAAAATCGATATAATAATAGTACTCACCCTCTGAACAAGAAAGCCAGCAACGGCCCGGCCAAATCCAACCTTTTGTTGCCGTAATGATCCCTGTCGTCTAACTCTCTGCGCCCCAAAGAGGCTAAAAGCAGCCTGTGCACCATGTACCCCAAGAAATACGCTTTTTTGGTTTCACAGAAATCGGAAACTCCTACATGCGGCAGCATTTCCTTCTGCAAAATTTCCCTGGCGTATTTAACACGCTTTTCCCTCGTTACGCCGGGCCTGGCCCCTCTAGCACCAATAAAATTCAAGGCCACACCCTGCTCTTGGATTACAAAAGCCTCGTCTAGGGACGGTTTCACCATCTCCATCATTTCAGGGTCGTCAAAGTCATAGATGATGTGTTCGAGGATGTCTCTGTCGGCCACAAAACCTAGCGCTCTGAATACGATCATAATGGGTATTTCTTGCTTGATATATGGTAAAATAGCGATGATTCTTTGCCCGATGGCTGCCTTTTTCACAGCTTGCCCGCCACGAGCCATCATATTCACCCACAAAGTGGAGGTGGGGCGCGAAGAATGCTCCAAACACGACCTAATCTCGGATTTAAACGCGTATTTCCCGTCCTTCATCGAAAACACATACACTGTGTTCGTAGCCATTTTTTCCTGGGCAATTAAAACCTTCTCCGACCCGTTTATGATGAAATAACCCCCGGGATCCAAAGGACACTCGTTTAACTCCGTCAAATCACGATCTGTTAAGCCGCTGAGAAGGCAGTACGTAGACCTCAACATAATCGGGATTTTCCCTATGAAAGTCTTCTGGTGTTGGGTCTCGACAGGATCTTCGCCCTCCTTAACGATAGTCTTCGTTATGTCCACGTAAAGAGGTGCAGAGTACGTCAAATTTCTCAGTCTGGCCTCGTTGGGCATCATTGGGGACGGGGCCCCGTCTTTCTCCCAATGCGTGGGCTTAGAAAGGTAAATTTGCTCGAATTTCAGCAAATATCGCGGGGGGTTTTCCACTTCTCCCGACGTGTGCTGCGCCTCGGCCACCAAATCGATTTGCGGGGAATCCTCCACGATTCTCTGCACAGACATCTGAATGAATTCGTCGAAACTGTCCAATTGTTGCCGTACCAGGCCTTTCTCGTCGAAATACGCGTTTATAACGATCCAACAGGCTTCCTGCCACAATTCGGAACTAATTTCTTCCGCGTCTTCCTCCTCATATTGCTCTTCATCTTGATCATACATCTTTAAAGTCACAAAAATAAAAACACAAGCACAACCGCCGAAAAGCGATTTAATCTGTCATCTGTCAAAAAAACCCATCGATAAAGAAGGACACTGTACCAAATCACAATAAAGCCTTTATGGAATAGTTAAATAATGTTAATTATGCACAATATAGTATCAATACCTTATTATCGCACATAAATATACATAATTTTAATATATAATTTAATTTTAGGATGTTGAATCCGTAGATGACAATAAAAAATATATATCGATAAAGAAGAACTCTCCACAACTAAATCGCAATAAAACCAAATAACATGGCATTTGTATTTTACACTTAGATCATACAAGGGGATGATCTAAGATTTTACATATTATTTATGCATAATAACGTAATATTGCGCAAAAACATAAATAAAACATCAATCATATTTATTGTGGTACTTTGATGTCGAGTCTATAGATGGCAGTAGTGTGTAGGTGACGTTTAAACGTCATACGGTAACCTAAATTTGTAAAACATAATATTTTGAAAAAAAAGGGTAAATCGACGACAACATGGCAGAGAAAAAATCCAACCCATTGGATATAAATGGGCCGGGTTTTAACTCCAATTTGTACCTAGAAAAGCTCTTCAAAGTAAGTAATTACGAAATTTAATAATGGGAAACATGTTGTATTACTTGTGTTTCATTGCAGGAAAGCACCCTTAAACAAGTTATGGATCATGAGAGTGAAATTGTCAAAGACACACAAACTTTGCATTCCGATATGCAGACTTTGGTTTATGAAAATTACAACAAATTTATATCGGCCACTGACACAATTAAAAAGATGAAAACAGACTTTAAAAAGATGGAAACGGAAATGGATTTACTGGCGTCAAATATGTCTTCGATAACTTCTTTTTCAGACCAAATTAATTCAACTTTACATGACAGCAGGGAAAAAATTTCAAAGTTGTCCGGTATTCATACTTTGTTGCAAAGGCTGCAGTTTTTGTTTAAACTTCCAGCCACTTTGAAGACTAGAATGGAAGAAAAAAACTACATCCAGGTAAAATATAGATTGTAAAATTTTAAGTTTAAATTTGGCGTTTTTTGCATTACAAAATAAATTAATTCATAATCTTTTGTATTCTCTTTCTAAAGCTATTTATACTTCTTTTCTTCCTCCAAAAAATTCAAATTCAAAAAAGAAATACACATTATACTGTTAAAAATAATTAATATTGGATATAAAATATTCTTTATAAACAATACATAGAATTTTTGTTTTAAATTGTAACATAAAACATTTTTTATTTTTTAAAATATACCTACTTTGAAATCTGAAAAAAATATTAAAAAAACAAAAAAGTCACTTCACTCAAAAAATACATACATACCTATGTCAAAAATATTTTTTTACATTATAACATAAAACATGGATTTTTTTAAAATTAACTTTGAAATCTGAAAAAATATTAAAAAACAAAAAAGTTACTTCACTCAAAAAATACATATACATATATGACCAAGAATATTTTTTTTCATATGACCAAGAATATTTTTTTTTATTATAACATAAAAAATGGATTAAGTATTTTTCAATAAAAACTTTGAAAAATGAACAAATATTAAAAAACAAAAAAATACATTCACTCAAAAATATGTGAAAGAATATTTTGTTTACATTATAACATAAAACATGTAAAATAAACTTTGAAATCTGAAAAAATATTAAAAACAAAAAAGTTACACTCACTTAAAAATATGTCAAAGAATATTTTGTTTACATTTTAACATAAAACATGTAAAATAAACTTTAAAATCTGAAAAAATATTAAAAAACAAAAAATATATTCACTCGAAAAATACAAATATGACCAAGAATATTTTTTTTTCATTATGATATATAAAATGGATTAAGTATTTTTCAATATAAACTTTGAAACATGAACAAATATGAAAAAACAAAAAGTTACATTCACTAAAAAATATGTGAAAGAATATTTTGTTTACATTATAACATAAAAAATGGATTACTTTTTAAAATAAACTTTAAAATCTGAAAAAATATTAAAAAACAAAAAAAGTTAAATTTACAATAATATGTCAAAGAATATTTTGTTTACATTATAACATAAAACATGTAAAATAAACTTTGAAATCTGAAAAAATATTAAAAACAAAAAAGTTGCGTTCACTCAAAAATATGTCAAAGAATATTTTGTTTACATTATAATATAAAACATGTAAAATAAACTTTAAAATCTGAATAAATATTAAAAAACAAAAAAGTTACACTCACTTAAAAATATGTCAAAGAATATTTTGTTTACATTACAACATAAAACATGTAAAATAAACTTTGAAATCTGAAAAAATATTAAAAAAACAAAAAAGTTACATTTACTCAAAAATATGTCAAAGAATATTTTGTTTACATTATAACATAAAACATGTAAAATAAACTTTGAAATTTGAAAAAATATAATATTAAATTAAAAAGTTAAATTCCCTCAATAATATGTCAAAGAATATTTTGTTTACATTATAACATAAAACATAAAATAAACTTTGAAATCTAAAAAAATATTAAAAAACAAAAAAGTTACATTCACTCAAAAATATGTCAAAGAATATTTTTTTTACATTATAACATAAAACATGTAAAATAAACTTTGAAATCTGAAGAAATATTAAAAAACAAAAAAGTTACATTCACTCAAAAATATGTCCAAGAATATTTTGTTTACATTATGGATTATTTTTTAAAACAAAGTTTGAAATCAAAAAAAATATTAAAAAACAAAAAAATTGACATTTTTACTCGATTTTTAATATTTAAATTTCTTTAAGTATAAAAAACTTCAAATGAAACTTCTTTAAGGCAACACAAGACTACTTACATGCTCAAAAAGTCTTGCAGCAGTATGGAGACTTGCCCTCTCTCCATGGCATCAAAACCGACTGCGAATCGATCTTAACGGAGCTGAAAATCGAGCTACGCAAACAATTTTCCAATCCGCAGGCCACAGCCAAGGAATTGGCCGAATCGGTTGATTTGCTGCTGCAATTAAACGAACCCGCCAACGAATTGTGCACGGAATTTCTCGCTTGCGCCGAAAAAAGACTCAGCGTGCAGTTGGTGATGTTGAAGGACCAAAGCGAGCAAAGAGACATAATCGAGTTTGTCGATTTGGGCTGCACTGGGTTTCTGAGCGACTTATGTTTAGTCGTGGCCTCTTTCCACGACATGTTTCTCAACAGAAGCATCAATTTCGAGAATGTGGAGATCTTCGAAAATTTCGGCGCCTTAGAGTTGAACACTTTCGTCAAAGAGAACATGCGCAAGTATTTCGAGTTGGTTCAGAGCAAAGTCGACTCAGAGCACGACGTCGGAGATACGAGTGTTTTGGTGCAGGCTTTGGACAGGTTTTACAGGAGGATTGAGAGTAATAGGCTCTGTAAGGATATTGACTTTACAAGGTAAATATATGAGTTGTGTAGAATCAAGTCACATTTTTGACGCAATAAAATTAAAATACGCGTTTCGTTCTTCTACCATTGTACAGGGTTATTTGCAGAATCTGCATTTTTGCAAGATGATGTGGCATTTTGGGTAGAAAATTCGGATTAAGCGTCCCAAAAACCTTAAAAATTAACAAAAAAATATCACACCATGGCAAAAATTAAGGTAAATGATTCATTCAAAATGGAAATGATCTCAAAATCATACGCTATAAAATGTTTAACTTAAGTTTTATTAAAATAGTTTATGAAACAACACTTAATATTTAAAAATACACATTTATGGGCTTTCCAATAAATATATCAAGAATTTAAAAGGATGTAGCTTTTTGGTTAGAAAATTCGGATTCAGCAACCCAAATACCTTAAGAATTAACAAGAAAATCTTACACCATAACAAAGATTAGGGTAAATGACTCATAACTAAAATGGAAATAATATAATAAAAATGTTTGCCATTAAAATTGTTCTTGTTTTATTAAAATTGTTTATAAAACAACAACAAAAATATAAAATCGTAAATTTTTAAAAAATTAACATTTATTGATGAAATTAAAAAGGATGTAGCTTTTTGGGTGGAAAATTCGGATTCAGCGACCCAAAAACCTTAAAAATTAACAAAAAAATATCGCACCATGACAAAAGTTGAGGTAAATGATTCATAACTAAAATGGAAATGATCTCAAAATCAGATGTTATGAAACAGTTAACGTACAAATCCTTTAAATTTTATTAAAATAGTTTATGAAACAATAGTTAATATTTAAAAATACACATTTATGGGTTCCAAACAGAGCTGCAACAAGTCAGTTTTAAAAAGACTTAAATCTTAAGTCTTAAGTCAATTCTAAAATCAAAATGATTTAAATCTTAAGTCAATTCTAAGATAAAGTTCAAATGATTTAAGTATTAAGTCTTTGAATTAAATCATTTTCTTTCAAGTCAAGTCATTTTCGCAAATTCTTAAATCAATATAAAGTGATTTAAGTCATCTTATGACTTAATTCCTTTAGTAAGTCGTTTTTATGACTTAAGTCTATATTTTTTATTTAAATCGTGATCTAAGAGTTAAGTCAATAAAATGACTTGAATCAAAAATTGTGATTTAAATCAAAATAATTACAATACAACGATTTTTTAAATGTTAATAATAATTTTATGGTATTAATGATACTGATATTATTAATCTATTGTAGATACAGATGATAATAAACCACTATGTTAAGAATTTAAAACGATTTATTTTCAGAACACTTACAAACAAAATAAAAACTTAAAACACATTTTTTGAGTATATATTAGACAATAAAAATAAAAACTTAAACCACCTTTTTAAGTAGAGTAGACATACAGGGAGGCTACTTTTTATATACATAAATGGATAACTTCTAAACGGTAATAGATTCAAACTCTGTTAAAATAGATAAAAGTTGAAGCATTTTTCTTAAAATCGCTGTATTTCAAAAACTGATAACTTGTTGTTTTGTTAACTTTTGTTAGCTGGTTCAACATCCATCTAGAAAAAAAATATTCCTCCCTTAAGGGAGTAATGATGGGAAGTTCCAAACTCTCGATTCACGACCGCTCAGATTGTTTTCACTTTGCACTAATAATCACAAATTAGACATAACTACGCACAAACATGACGAATGTTGGCAAACAAAATTATGAATCCCCACTTTTTTTAATTCATTTTAGACAGGACATTTTTTAATGTAGCCGTCAAACGATTCCAAAAAGCTAACTTTACCGCGGCGGTTTTTTTTATCCACTAGCGGTAGCAATTGTAGGTAGGAAATTAAAGGAGTTTTTGATCTGCTGCCGCGTGAACCTCTGGTAGTTCAAAAGAAAATGCCGCTGTTAAAAATTTATAAAAAAATATATGAAAAATCTGACTTAAATATTTTAAAATTCTAAAAAGACTTAAATCTTTTTCAAAAAGACTTAAATCTTTTTTTGACTTAAATCGTTTCTATCTGACTTAAATCGTATGTACTGATTTATAAATGACTTAAGTTTTTTCTATTTTGAAAAAAATATTTAAGTCACAAATCATTTTGAAAATTACTTAAATTTTAAGTCTTAAGTCAGTTTTAGAGAAATGACTTATTACCAAATGACTTAAGTCATTAAAACGATTTAAATCAAAAAAAGGATTTAAGTTTTCTGAGAGCTTGCAGCTCTGGTTCCAAATAAATATATCAAGGATTTAAAAGGATGTAGCCATTTGGGTAGAAAATTCGGATTCAGCAAACCAAAGTCCTAAAGAATTAACAAGAAAATCTTACACCATGACAAAAATTAGGGTAAATGACTCATAACTAAAAGGGAAATAATATAATAAAAATGGTTGGCATTAAAATTGTTCTTGTTTTATTAAAATTGTTAATAAAAAACAGCAAAAATATAAAATTGTAAATTTTTAAAAAATTAACATTTTTGGGGTTATATTAAAAAATAAAAAGGATGTAGCTTTTTGGGTGGAAAATTTGGATTCATCGACCCAAAAACCTTAAAAATTAACGAAAAAATATCGCACCTTAACAAAAATTGAGGTAAATGATTCACATATTACGGTTCGTAGTCCGTTATTTTTCAATTTTGTTAACTTTATCTTTAGTTTCAAAACCGGACAAGTCCAGGTTTTTGTCCGCTATTGATTCTACACAACTCAAACTTAAATGTATGTCCTGTGAAAAATATTAAAATTAAAACGTTTTTAGCACTGCCACAGATATTGTGATAAAGGCTGGCAGAAAACAGTGCAAAGCTCATTTGCAGATATTAAAAATGCACTTTGCGGATATTTTGGCCAAGTTCAAACAAAATTTAAGTGCGCCGAAACTCATCAGTCAAGACGACACCTCGAAGAATCTCAGCGACATTTTGACGTCTTTGATCCTCACCATAGTGGAGAAAATCAAGGGTGTTCTACAGGATTTGGTCGTAAGTATTATAATTTTAATTATAAATAAAAAAATATTATACATACATAAATGTTTGTTAGGTTTTCATTCAGCCAGAGCTGACTTTTGCTCAAAAACCGCAATTCAAAGACAGTTTTTGCGTTGATAATGTCAGAGAAGGTCTCATTGTGTGCTTTTTGCACCATCTCACGGCAACCGCGCGAAGTTTTTGCGCACCAGGCACAATAGACCTGAAATCACCGCCAACCCTGATTTTACTATTATCGAAGTTGTGCCTCGATTTCGGGAACGGAAGCGTCAGATTTTTGGTGAGAGAAAATATCATTAATAGCTGATAAAACAGCTGTAGGACATACAGAATTGTTGGTATTTTTTTTAGTTATCCCAAACAGATGAAGTGTTTAAAATAAGTCCCAAACATGCGTCCAGTTTAACAAATGAAGCAGAAATAAACAAAACCATGCAGTTATCAGCTCAAGAGCTACTTAACTACTACGTTAGAATTCAGGGATTAAACTGCTCCCAGGTAAGTAACAACAACAATAAAACACAAAGTGCTTAAAGTACTGAAATTTTAATGCTAACCATTTTTATTAAATCATTTACATTTTAGTTATGAGTCATTTACCCTAATTTTTGTCATGGTGTAAGATTTTCTTGTCAATTCTTAAGGTCTTTGGTTTGCTGAATCCGAATTTTCTACCCAAAAAGCTACATCCTTTTAAATTCTTGATATATTTATTTTGAAGCCCATAAATTGTATTTTTAAATATTAACTTGTTTTATAAACTATTTTAATAAAACTTAAAGGGTTTTTACGTTAAAAATTTTATAGCGTCTGATTTTGAGATCATTTCCATTTTAGTTATGAATCATTTACCTTAATTTTTGTCATGGTGCGATATTTTTTTGTTAATTTTTATGGTTTTTGGGTCGCTGAATCCGAATTTTCAACCCCAAATTATACATCCTTTTTAATTTTTGATATAACCCCATAAATGTTAATTTTTTTAATATTTACAATTTTAAATTTTTGCTGATGTTTTATAAACAATTTTAATAAAACAAGAAAAATTTTAATGCTAACCATTTTTATTATATCATTTACATTTTAGTTATGAGTCATTTACCCTAATTTTTGTCATGGTGTAAAATTTTCTTGTCAATTCTTAAGGTATTTGGGTTGCTGAATCCGAATTTTCTACCCAAAAAGCTACATCCTTTTAAATTCTTTATATATTTATTTAGAAGCCCATAAATTGTTATTTTTAAATATTAACTGTTGTTTTATAAACCATTTTAATAAAACTTAAAGGGTTTTTACGTTAACCATTTCATAAAATCTGATTTTGAGATCATTTCCATTTTAGTTATGAATCATTTACCTCAATTTTTGTCATGGTGTGATATTTTTTTGTTAATTTGTAAGGTTTTTGAGACGATTAATCCGAATTTTCTACCTAAAATGCCACATCCTTTTTAATTTTTGATAAAACATTTTTAACATATCACGAAAGTTGTCATACTTATCTACAATTTACTGACAAAATTGTTTTTAAAGATGTTACGCAAAAGTGTAGAGACCAGAGACTGGCTTCACACTATTGAACCTAGAACAGTAAGGGCTGTAATGAAAAGGGTCGTGGAAGATATTTCAGCCATTGATACAACAGTTGCATTACTGTATGAAGATCCAGGTACAGCTACTGAACATAGCAGCGATTCCAGTAGGAAGACACACAGGTAATTGTTTATTTTGAAAGGAGTACTGTGTCAATTAAATGTTTTAGCATTTCTGTGTCACGACATCAATTTAAGTCGAATTGGTCCAGCTATACCCCAAGTCATATGGATTCTAATTTGGTTTCTAACATGCACAAACTGTTCAGTGAAAGAATCGAAATATTTTCCACGGTAGATTTTAGTAAAGTTTCGATTTTGACCGGGATTATTAAAATCAGTTTGAAGGTACACATTTTGTTTATATTTTTGTATATTTTGATGAATAAATGTTTTTATTTATTTTATAGACTTTTATGGAGTGTGTCAGACTCAAAACATTCAGTAAATATGGTCTCCAACAAATACAAGTGGATACACATTACTTACAATTGTACTTATGGCGTTTCGTTGCCGATGAAAAGTAAGAAGATAAATTAAATATTTCTTTATAGAATATTTTTAATTTTTTTTAGTCTTGTACATTTTCTATTGGATGAGATTTTGGGTTCTGCAGTTCACAGATGTCTTGAACCTGTACTTATGGAACCAAGTGTTGTGGACATTATTTGCGAAAGGGGTTAATTTATTTTTATATTGTGATAATTATTTAATTTATTGAATATATTGTATCTTCTTTAATATAAGTTTTAAAACAAAATTTTGTCTTAATTCAACTAAAACCACTACGCAGTTTTTAATTTTATCGTTGTATTACTTTTGATAAATTAGAAACGTCCGAGTGTTTAGTAAAACAAGTGTCTAAAAAAGTTTATAAACGAGTTGAATACTATACTTTTTCTTTTTGAATAAAGCGGCATCTATACAAAAATAGAGTAACCAGTTGATGTTAGGAATCTGTTTTGCCGGCTTGTCAGATTTTACAGTGAAAGTAAAGATGTTTGAGAAAAGAAATGGAATATTTTATAAAATTTAATTATTTTTCTTATCGATTTATCTAAACAAATCTAAATTTAAAAAAAATGGTTGTTTTTTAAATTCAGATTCTTAGCAATTAAGAAAATTGCGATTTTATACTGACGACGATCTATTTCAAGTGATTAAGGCTCGTCAACGTATAAATAAACGGGTCAGACTCACCAATTCAATTCAAAAATTGAGTAACATGGCTTCAAAATCCGTGGGACAATAATTCCACTTATTGTTACGTGTCAGGAGGTTGTTTGTTCATTCATTGCGGCACATTCATACCGAATGCTCCGAACAGTTAACGTTAATTGAATTATGGTAACCATTCAGTAGTCTGGATGATTTTCGATGGTAAATGATGGTCAAGAAGGAACAAGTTCATTCATTCTTTCGTTAATGATGCAACGCCCTGATAGATATACGGGCACAGGAAGGAGGCCAAATGAGGAAGTTCGAATTAAAAAACAACAATCTGACACCCCACGCTTTTTCAATAGGTGTCCACCGTATTTTCAGATTTAAAACAAAAATTTTTCCCTTACTATATAGTAATATATAATATATTTGTCTCAAACCTGTTTTCAACTTATCTAGACATACTTCAATATGAATAAACTGTAATAATGATAATGTTATTAATGATTTTTATTAAAAAAATGTTTAAGATTAAGAAAAATGACATCCTCTAAACCTTTTTTAAATTTCGGCTTCAAAAAGTGACCTGAAATTGTTATTTCTTAACCTTCCACATACGCATTTAGTAGAAAATAAAAATAAATTAAAAGTCAAAGTATCAGGTCATAGAATTAAAACAATGTAGCCTTAACAGGATTTTAGTAGACACGGCTCTTCCCAGTCAAAAAATAGACCCTTAATTTAAATTGCTTTTCAATTTATGTGGGTTTGACTTTTTGAAAAGTAAGAATAACATTAATTTTACATGGCAAAAATCAAAATGGCAATAAAAATGATATTCTGGGGGTTTAAAATCAAGCAAAAACTTGTATCAAGAATTTTCTTAAATGTAGAAACTGTAGATATTGTAATTAATTGGGTCATGTAGTTTGTTTTTACTTTAGGGTTTCTCTTTTTTTAAATCACGAAAAAACTTGTTTGCGAAAAAATCAAGAAGCATGTGACTCCCCCCGCCAACTAATAACTGCAAGCATTATAGACAAAACAACAAATAAAAACACTCCATCTCTAGTAGTTAAGTTAACGTACATAGTCGCTCTATGACATGGGCAATCAAAGAATTAAGACTGGCAATTTATTTATTTATAAGTTTGAAAAAGTTATATAAGCAGAGGTGATTTCTTTTATGTATAGTAATATCGCTATAGCGATGGTATACTGTGGAGAGCAAATGCAGCCGACAATAGAATAATAACTTGCACAAAGGAAACAATCTCTTAATTTAACTTAAATTAACACAGGGATGTGGGCCTTACATATAAACCCAATTGATCCTTATTAACAGGCAGTTGTGGATAAACGCGCGTCATGTGAGTAGTTCTGTTTATAAGTGTATAACGCATCATCTCCAACAAGAAGGAACATGATTAATCATGATACTTGAGATTATTTATTAAGTCTTTAAATTACAGGTATGTATTTATGTTTAGTTTAATTATTTTACGTATTTTTTATACAGAGGTTTTGTTAAAAACACCCTGTACCTAATAATGATATAAATCGTTTCTAAAAAATGCACTGCAATCCATGGATTCTTTTTAATCAAAAGCCACAGAATTTGTAACACCCATCCGATAAAAATTTAATGACTAATCGTTATAACAAATAATTTCATAAAACCATATTATTTTGAATAAATTAATCGTTATCTATACAATCATACCTACTTTACAAAATCTAGACCTTTTTCAAAGTGGAGATTCAATTAGGTTCATATAATTTATCATTTTAGTTAGTTTATAAAATAAATGAGTTAAAAAGTGTTGTGTCTAACTGTGACATCCCAGTATATCTTTTACAGAACGCTTCTCCTTATCGGTAACCTATGACCGCCTTCTCGATATCGAAGACCCCAGATTGAATTTCTTCGGGTTTAGTAACGACGCGTCGGAGAAAAGTACAAGTTTTCAAAAATTATAGTGATTCAAATTTTATATACCTGGGTGAGTGTGCTTTTTTAAAGAATTCTTTGATTTTTGTATACGACATGTTTTTGAATAGTTTCATAATTGGGGAATAAGAAAAGATGTACCTATCAATAAAAGACTTATAAGGCTTAATTATTAAATAAATTGAAACGTGGTACGTAATTTTAAGAAATTTTCTCTATTTGTGTGCGATATAAACGTACACCCTGTATAGCAAAGTATCAATTAAATATTTCAAAATAAAATAATAAAAAAATAAAAATTAAATTATTAATTATTTACCAAAAAAAATCAGTTAGGTACGTAACTATTTTAAAAGTTCTGTTAAAGCTAAAATAAATATACAGGGTGTTTACAAAAAAAGTAAAGCAGATTTTGATACTAGACCAACAAAATTAAGTTATATTAAAATTTCGTTAAAATTGTTCGAATAGAAAGTGAAATAAACAAAGAAGTTCATATGTACCGTTTAAAAATAGTGAACTGCTGGGGTTAAATTTCATCCTGGGGCGACCAAACTTGGTGTGTACAATGTTCGTGTTAACATTGAAGTTGTATTAAAATTTGGTTACAATCGTCATACTAGAAAGAAAAAAAACTATCGGCTATTTTTAATTGTTTTGACGTTTTCCTCAATTTTGACAGTTGTAAAATAGCTAGACCATCCAAATTTGGTTGGGACATTCTAACTGCGCGAATTAAGGTTCCATTAAAATTTGGTTAAAATTGCTCAAACAGAAAGTGAAATACACAAAGAAGTTCATATGTACCGTTTAAAAATAGTGAACTGCTGGGGTTAAATTTCATCGTGGGGCGACCAAATTTGGTGTGAACAATGTTCGTGTTAACACTGAAGTTGTATTAAAGTTTGGTTACAATCGTCATGCTACAAAGAAAAAAAACTATCGGCTATTTTTAATTGTTTTGACGTTTTCCTCAATTTTGACAGTTGTAAAATAGCTAGACCATCCAAATTTGGTGGGGACATTCTAATTGCGCAAATTAGGGTACCATTAAAATTTGGTTAAAATTGCTCAAATAGAAAGTGAGATACGCAAAGAAGTTCATATGTACCGTTTAAAAAAAGTAAGTTGCTAGGGTTAATTTTTATCGTGGGGCAACCGAATTTGGTGTGAACATTATTCGTGTTCATATTAAAGTTGTATTAAAATTTGGTTGAAATTTTTCGAATGGAAAGTGAGATACACAACGTAGTTCATATGCACCATTTACAAATATTTAACTACTGGGGTTAAATTTCATCGTGGGGCAACCAAATTTGGTGTGAACATTATTCGTGTTCATATTGAAGTTGTATTAAAATTTGGTTATAATCGTCAAACTATAAAAAAAGTTATCGACGATTTTCAATTGTTTTAATATATATTCTCAAAAAAACGAAAAATATTTATCGAATGCAATTTTATTCCACTTATTTAAATGTACCCACATATTCCACATTTTTTTACAAAACTTCGAAATAAACCCTGCAACAATAGGACCCCTATGCTTGACCTCCATTAGGGTGCTAACCCCTATTATATCTGTTAAAATTATTACACCCATATTTAATTGGGTGTAATTAATTTTGGAGCCGAAAGAATGAGTTTTTAAGGAAGATTCACTTTAAATGATTCATTAACAGATGCCGTTGGTACCGAGAATTTTACCCCGCTAGAAATAAAATTTTTGATGCAAGTCCACCAAGTTTAAAACATAAATTTAAATAGCATTAAAACACTTTAGCATAACTAACAATAACTGACGCATTAATTATTCATAATCCAAATAAGTGACCAAGTATACACCTAATTATTTATTTATTTTGTTAGATAATGTAGCAGAGTATGAATTGGTTCAGGAATCCAAAATTCGTAGCACATAAACATGCATTGAATGCGGACAATTAAAACTCCGCAGACGTTTAATTTAGATGAGGTCGATTCACTTAACCTGCCACGAAGCACTACTCAATGAAAAATGTTCGAGTTACGATTTGCAAGTTCAACCAAAGGTATACAAAGTTTTAATTCCTGTAGGTATTTTACTATAATAGTAGTATAAACTAACTGTTTTTTATTTTTTTTTAGATTTCTTGAGGACTTGTGGATATTTTCAGAACTGTCCTGTTACTAAGTACTAGTGCCGCAGGAGTACTTAAGACCTCCTGCTGCTCAAGTGCTTATCAATGGGAACAGAAATGATCGACTTTACCAGAATTTATTTTAAGGAAAATGCAATTACCTATATCTATTTGGGCAAATTAAACCAAAATGCATGATCTTTTAAAATTTTAATTTTTAACAAAAATCTTTGCAATTAATATTAACAATTGTTTCAATTATGTTATTATTTTTATATTTTATTATATTCATATATTTATTATATTCATACTCCATACAGCCTTTTTTTTTAATATAGAATTAAATTTCTCATTAGATTAAACCAAAAAAAAAATGTTAGTTTTGTAAAATTAATAAAACATAAAAATGTTGTATTTAACCATACATTTGTAAAAATTTATTTTTTCAATAAATCTTAAAAATATTAAATTGTTTTTTCCACTTTGCCTATATGTCATTTTAATGATATTCTAACTCGCTAATTAATAGACATGAAACAATATTAAAGACATATTTTTGTAGTAAAATGTACGCTCTATAAAAAAGGTCTTTAACGTTTCTTTGTAAAACCATCCATTTAAATGATATTTGAGGTCAAAGGTCAAATAATTTAGATGACATCCAATTAACAAAGATAATGGCAATTCTTCATTTTGATTTATTTTAAATGATGGTTTTTGAAAAAATTGTTTTTTGAGTAAATGATATCTAACCAAAAAAAACTCAAATTCAAGATCTGTTTACGTCATAATTTGTCAGTTGATAATGTATCGCGTAATTATCCACCATGTTTACATTCTGTATATTTATAATCATTATAACAAAAATAAACCTCAAATTAAAAAAAAATGATAACAGATGTATTAACCTTATATTTATAATATAATTTATCCATGTTATCAACGTAAATTTAACAACAATATTTAGGTGGATACTATTTTTTTATATCGAAAATATTGTTTCAAATAACTTTAAATTTTTACAACTCGTCTACGCAATTTTGTATCATTGAATCATTTTATGATAAATCTACAATTTCAAAAGTTATTTAAGGTACAAGTTGAAGTTATTTTATTTTTCCCAAATTCCTAATGATAAAGTGTTAAAATATACCCAGTAGTTTGTCTTAAAATAAACTGAGATATATCAGAAAAACAACTTCATTATTCAACATTTTTTAATCAAATATAAAAAATAAATTCACACACAATATTGTATAGAGGGTTGTCTTCAAATTAAAACAGATTAACAACATTAACATCCAGTGGAAAGTTTTTTCTGCCCCTCAATGTATTTTTCTGAATTTTCTGAAAACAGTAAGATAATAAAAAATGTCCATAAAGGAAAACGTGTTTTATTTATTAATATTTACCTTATTGAATGTGTCAGCTATTAACCTACTGGCTTGATGTAGCTGTTGCTGCTTTTGATTAATTAACTTATTTTGCACTTCCGGTAATTTTTGGTAGTTTTTCCTTGTTATTTCTTTCATTTCCTTTTCAGTGAAAAGGCGATTTTGTTCTAAAAATACAATTTCTTACAAAAAAAGTTTTTTTTTTATAAAAACATTCAAGTTTGAAAATCTCAATCACGTTTTCAGATTCAGAGCAATGTTGCTGCTATTTGACTTACATGCTTTTTAAAATATAACATTTGTGAATAAAATCGTATTCGATCTCGTAAGAAAGCGATTCGCTTTGGTTATATAAAATATCACAGGCTGGAAATGGTGTTTTTCTTATTTTGTTAAAAGTATGGTATTACTTACTCATTGGTAATTGCCTTTCGTTTAAAAATTGCAATTTTAATTCATCTCTTTCATCTTTTTCAATCCTGTTGTTCAAAACAGTTTGTCTTCTAAAGTCCGCTGAATTTATGAAGTCTGGTCTATTTTGGCGGAGATATTCCTAATAAAATTTATTAATAAAAAGTGGATGCGAATATGTATATTAATACCTGCAAGGTGTATGAAACCTTATCATCATCCTTGTCCTTTTGTTTCTTATTATTCTCCTGTGACTTTTGAGTGGTGCTTCTAGACTTCCCATCATCCTTTCTAGTTTTATTCTCCTTGTTTTTGAAAAGTTTACTGCCACTGCTAGGTACCCTCATCTTAATCTCCTCCAACCTCCTGTAAACCTTTTTCAGGGACTGAGGAGAGTTCTGTGAAGGCCCGCCTTTCTCCAAAGTCAAAGTGTACGCGATACCATTCTCGGTTTGCACGGTTTTCCTCAACTTCCTCTCGCAATAGCAACAATAGTTGCTGCGGTCAGCCCTGCCAGGGTTTTTGCACGCGCAATACATCTCCCCCAGTTGATCGATGGTTTTTTGCAGCTCGCGTAGCATTTCCGTTTTTATCAGCGAAAAACACGTGCACTTGTGATTTTCCGCGAGGCGTTTTCGGCATGGGTTCCTTTTCAGGCACTGGCGACACAAAGAAATCCGGTCTTTGCTCATTTTGCGACTTACACGCGCCGCGTTCTCCGATATGATTTTTTTGCAGCAGTAGCAATACGATGAACTGGTTGATGAGGATTTTTTTCGGTTTATTTCTAAGAATAAAATGTATTACTTACGTGTTTTTACCATCACAAGATATCTTGATGATGAGACTTACCATTATCTGAAGTTGGAGTGGCACTGGTTTCGTTTATGTATTCGTCAGTTTCTTTAACCTCGGTCGAGGAAGAAACCCGTTCACGGTCATCTTCTTCTTGCTGTTGAAAATGTTTTTCCAGATTCCTCAACCTTTCCTCGAAATCGTCATCGAAATTCCTTTGCGCTGTTCTAGCATTTATTTCCACAGATCCACCACCACTACCACTACTGCTGTGGTCGCTGTTGCTTTTGCTCCTATCGGTGGTCTGAGTGGTGGCGACATGTTGATCTATGTCGTCGGTTTGTATTTCCTCGTTTCTGTTGTCGGTTTCGCGTTGTCTATTACTTATTTTGGCGCTGTAAGGTTGCCGTTCCGTATCGGTTTGCGTTACTTTGCAATCGCAGGAGATGCTGCTGGTTTGAACGAAGGTGTTTCTCGAAAACCTGCCCGGCGTGGTCTGAAGATTTTTGCCAGAGTACAGTTTTTCTGTTTTGGCAGTTGGTGGTGGTTTACTTGGTATAGGATCTGTACTGGAAGTGGACTTTTCTTCGACAGGAAAATTATCCTCCACTTCCTTAACAGTAAAATACTGCCTACTTCTGCTCGTAGTGGCCGTCCTAAAGCAGCCACATTCGCTGCACAAATCCTTCTTTTTACAGCTGCAACTTTTTGACGATTTCGCTTCATTCTCGGAAGAATCTTTCAGGTAACTCAAATCGATGCAAACGCAAGGGTTTTTTGTGCACCTCGTGCAATAACCAGTGCAAATGCATGGGTTTTTGTTGCACTTTGAGCACAGGGTGCAAGTGCAGTTGGTACAGTGGCAGTACTGGCACCTTGCGCTGACTCTTATGTTAGTGGTGCTGTTATCTGATACTACTTCGATTTCACCTGCAAAAATTGTTTTCTAACTTGACAGTTTCGGCTTAATATGTCTCTAATGTTAATTAATTAAGAGACAAAACGTCGCATACTAACAATTCCTCTGTAATGTGATTTTAGTTTAAAAATATAAAAAAAAAAAGTATTGGCCCATGGGGGGATCGAACCCGCGACCTTCGCGTTATTAGCACGACGCTCTAACCAACTGAGCTAATGGGCCGATGTTAACTTTAATAAAATTGCTAAAAAACAAATGCGGACTTGTCCATTTCAACCTATAAGCGTTGAGTCAAGGACATATTTAGATATTTAAATAATTTAATCAATGCTGATTATTTTGCCGTTTTCCGTCGTATTACACGGTACGACAAAATTTGATTTTTTTCCCTCCTATAAAAAATTCCTATAGATTTTGAAAATAGTCTTAATAAAATTATTGTGATACCACTATAGATTCTAAAGTAATGTATAATCGTCAAACTAAAAGACCAAGATTTGGTTTCAATATAAGTATATTGAATATAAGATAAATAAAAATCTGTCTTTTTACAAATATTTTTTTTTTTTTTAATTGAAATTATTTTGTGAACACATACATAATTTTAACAAAAAAATAATGTATAACAAAATAGAGAATTAAAAATCTGTATTCAAAATTTAAATGACGTAATTTTGTTAAACGGTGAGACACGGGTACTTTTTTTAAACCTTTACTTTTAAAATCTGTCCAAATTTTTCATGGGAGGAAAGTCGTGTTGAACTGTGTAATAAATACAATTCATCATTTTTTCCCCTGGAAAGTTTTTGTTTTGTTTCTTATTAAACAGGGTAAAACATACCTCTTATTCTTCCAGAAGTGGCAGTCCTGTTGGAATACCCGTCGTGGACGTTGTAAACCTGCCCCTCCAACTGAAAATCAATGTCCCCCAATCTGGCGGAACCGATTTCCGTCTCTATGACGTACTTTCTCTTCGAGTTTTCGGCGGCTTTAGTCACAGAGTAAACGTGCGTTTGCTTCGTAACCTCAATCTGCGACGCTTGAGGTTTGTTCAAGAGACTCTTGAGCTTGGTGAGGTGAGAGATCTCGTTTTCTATCCAGATCACTTGGTTCTCCCTCTCGCGTTTAGCGAACTGAGTCACGCAGTCGAGTTTTTTCCGTTCGAGAATCCTTTCGGACTCCGTTTGGTCTTCCTTCCAGTTGGGATAAGATTTATCGGACGAGGTATGTGGGGAGGGTTTGTCCCCGTCACCGTACGACCCAAAATTATCGCCATTTTCCGGAGCGAGGGAATCGTGGTTGATGTAGAGCTCGTTATTCGTCAACGTGAATCTACCCTGGGTTTTATGGAAGCCTTGCGCGGGTATCGGGATTATTTCCGGCTGACTACTGGACTCTTCCTTTGAGGATTGTTTCTTCTCTCTATCTGGAAGGATTTCCTGTACGAACGTTTTAGTTTCCAACTTTTTACTTTGCTGCACTGGATACCAGGGAATATTACTCTGCAAACTCATCCCTTGGTATTTTCTATCTGAACTCTCAGTACTTGACGTCACCTTCGAGACAGGCGCGGCAAATTGCTCTTTGCTCTTCTCTTTACCCTTCTTGGGAAAAAATAGCTCGGAACTAGTGCTACTGTCATCGCGGCAGTTCAACTCGATTATTTTGTTCATAATCTTCCTCACGTAACGCCTTTTCGTGGCTCCGTCGTATTTCTTGGACTTCACCAACTTTTCCAGCAACTCAAAGTTCTTCTGCAAGTCTTTGGACGTGGAGTCATCCTGATTGGCGGAAATCACCTCGCCCAGCGGACATTCTTTGGAAGACGAGTGAAGATGGTGACTCAAGTCTGGTTGAGTTTCGTGTCTTTTCATTTGGATCACATCCAAGTTTTGATTTGCCTGCGTAACTTTCAGCGGTACCTCAGTTGTTGAGATGGAAGACTTGTCTTCATTTTTAAAATACTCAAAACTGTTGCACTCAGATGCCACTATTTCTGAGTCAGTTTGAATAGCAGAAGTTTTGTTATTTTGATCACTGGGATGTTCATAATAAACTACTTCTTGATTGTTTTTATCCACTGTAACAATCTCTTTAGGTTTTATAGTGATAACTTCATTCTCAGGTAAATCATCAGTTTGTATTGCAATTGAAGATTTTTTAACTCTTGTTTGGATAACTTTGTTTTGCAACTTAACTTTGCCACTACATTCAATTGTTATAGGTTTGGTAATACATAAATTGACAACTTTTGGAGCAAAATCTTCCAACTTATTCTCACTTAATTTCCTAGGTTTTTTGGGCTTCAAATCCCTTCTGGCTGGTGTAGGTTTAATATCAGGCTCAATTTTATCTTCTTCAGGATACTTTGGCGTGGAATGGGCTTCAGGAAGCCCAATTTTACCTTTTAACGACGCATTATCAGCATAATTAATATTTTCCCTACTAGAACTGGAACTAGACACAGTCACCTCTGTTTTAAGTTTGTGTGATTCCCCTGAACTCCCAACCTCACTTTTATTTGATTGACTCTCAGCAGTAGTTGAGCTACTTTCAATATTAATCTCTATTGGCACATCTGACTCTGAATCTTCACTATCAAAATTAATGACAACAACTTGTATATTTTCTTTAACCACCTTATTTTCCTCTTCAGTATCGGTTATCCTAATGTCCGGCAATGAAATAGTTCTATGTAAAGCATTCCCGTAGCCTATATCAGCCCCGTTATCCCAAACTAAATTTTTATTCGACATGGCACTACTAGCCCTTGATATGTTTTTATTCTCGTGCTCATCGTGCTCAAATGAGAACTCAGCCAGAGTTTTCGAGATTTTTTTATTGGAATCTTTATCGTCACTCACTATTTCTGGCATGTATGAAACAGAGGTACCGGAAAAGTATTTTGGAAGATTTTTGTTTTGAGAGTACTTTCTGTAGTAGTCAACAACAGCATCAGTGTCTTTTTCTTTATCTTTAGACTCCATTTCATGGAAACACTACACCAAAAACAAAAGTTTCATTTAAATGATAACAGAAAGCTTTTAAACGTCTAAATATTGAACTTGTATATCACTCACCCTTTATTATGTATTAAAGAATAAAAACCAACTAAAAAGAAGCTATTAAACTATAAATAAGCAATAAATTAAATGTTTGTTTGTTTGGTAAATTTAAAAAACTGTCAACTGTCAAAACCGCAACGTTTTAACACTACTGCGTTCAGAAATTTTTTTCATTAACTGGGCCATTATGTAAAAGTTTATTAAATAAAATGTCATAATTTATTTATAATTATCCCGTACAGAAGTCTATAAACAGCACAACGGTTTTTGTATTGTTTATCTTTTACGGGAGGAAGGAAGGCAATCTATAAATCAAACTAAACATTTAAGTTTTCCCTTGAATCAGTACAAAGAAGCAAAATTATAACATACTATACTACACATAAATTAAATATTAAAATGTATATTATTAAATATAATGTTTTATAAACCAATTTCAAAATTAGTTATGTTTTTATAATTTCTGAACGATGTTAAACAAGTGCTGCCCTCTGTGTGCTGTTTAAAAACTCCTTGACAGAAAGAAATTTCTGGAAGAAACCACACATTTTTTCAATATACTCGATACCACCTTAATTCGTGTTTCACAAATAACTTTTATTATTCATTCCGGAAGAAATGGCAGAGGTGAGTGGGTTTAGGGCTGATTTAAACGTTTATTAAGGGTTATTTCGGTGAAAACTAACCACATTGTTGCCGTAGGTCGCCGCATTAAAGGATAAAGGAAATGCCGCTCTAGCTGAAAATAAGCTGGACGAAGCTATCAATTTTTACAGTGAAGCTATCAAATTGGACGGCAACAATGCCGTGCTGTATTCGAATAGGTCGGCCGCGTATGCGAAGGCTTTAAAGTACGATTTAGCGCTACAGGATGCAGAAAAATGCGTGGAAATTAAGCCTGACTGGTCCAAGGCTTTTTCCAGGAAAGGAACGGCTCTGGCGTATCTTGGAAGGTTGGATGAAGCTATCGAGACTTACGAAAAGGGGCTGCAAATTGATCCCAGCAATGCCCAGCTCAACGAAGGGCTCAGAGAGGTTAGATAATTTAAAAAAAAAATTTTTTGCTTATTAAGTTTTAGGTATTTTATGGACTTATTTTGGGATTCAATTACAAGGCAAATATGTTAATTTATGACTCATTATATTTGTTGTTTAAAATCAAACTTTATTTACTTACATTCTTATTTTTATTTATTTAATTTTATTTTTATGTAGGTATTACAAAAATCAAATAAAACAATTTTTTTAAATTTTAAAATATGCAAATCATAAATTAAATGCTAGAACCAAAGTTATATTTATAGATTCCTCTGGAATATTCTGGAATGTTCTTTTCTAGAAATCCTGTAAATTGTGGAAATAAATTTCCAATTAAGAAACTTCACATTCTTATTTTTAAGTATATGCTTTCAATAAGGTCTTTGTGGCAAAGGAGAAATAGGTTTATTTTTAATATTTCTAAAATGTGATTGAAAATTTAAACTGCATTAAATATAATTAAACTGTAAACTAAAAATTTCACAGGAGTCTACCGACATAATTTTTTCGACAAAATTTTGTGCAGATGATAAATTTTTAAGTAATTTTGAAAACTAATAGAAATAATTTTTCATATATTTATTAAAACAAAAAAACAATTTAGGAAACTTATGTAATTTATCATCAATTTTTATAAAATTTTAAGGGTATTTTTTCAAAATAACGCTTTTTTGATTGCATTTTACAGTTTTTCTAAATCTTCTAAATACCAACATTTTTCCAAAAATAATGACACCCCTACATTGTTCATCACATAACTTATGTAATTTATCACCAATTTTAACAAAATTTTAAGGGTATACTTAAAAAAACGCTCTTTCTATTGCATTTCAGTTTTTCTAATTCTTCAAAAACATAAAAAATACCGACATTTTTCCAAAAATGATGACACCTACTTTGTTCATTACTTAACTTATAATCAATTTTTGCAAAATTTGAGGGCATACAAATACCGTTTTTTTATTGCATTTTACAGTTTTTCTAAATCCTTAAAAACAAAAAAAATACTGGCAATTTAAAAATTAATAATACATACATTGTTCATTACATAACTTATCACCAATTTTTACAAAATTTTGAGGGTATTCTTTCATAATAACGCCTTTTCGATTGCATTTTACAATTTTTCAAAATCTGACACATACATAAAAATTTATCACCAATTTTTACAAAATTTTGCGAGTAAACTGTCAAAATAACGCTTATTCGATTGCATTTCAGTTTTTCTATATTTGTAACAACAAAAAAAATCCAAAAAATAATGACTTTACGTTCATTACGTAACTTTTAAGGGTATTTTTTCAAAATAACGCTTTTTTGATTGCATTTTACAGTTTTTCTAAATCTTCTGAATACCGACATTTTTCTAAAAAATAATGACACCTACATTGTTCATCACATAACTTCTAATTTATCACCAATTTTAACAAAATTTCGAGGGTATACTGTCAAAACAACTCTCTTTCGATTTAATTTTACAGTTTTTAAAAATCTTCAAAAACAAAAAAAATACCTACATTTTTCCAAAAAATAATGACACCTACATAGTTAATCACGTAACATCACCAATTTTTACAAAATTTTGAGGTTATTCTTTCAAAATAACGCTCTTTCTATTGCCTTCTATAGTTTTTCTAAATTCTTAACACCTACATTGTTCATCACGTAACTTGTGAAATTTATCACCAATTTTTACAAAAGTTTGAGAGTAAACTGTCAAAATAACGATCTTTTGATTGTATTTCACAGTTTTTCTACATCTTCAAAAACAAAAAAAATAACGACTTTTTTCCAAATGTAATGTCAACAAACAACTTTTGTAATTTATCACCAATTTTTACAAAATGTTAAGGATCTTTCAAAATAACGCTTTTTCGATTGCATTTTAGTTTTTTTAAATTCTTAAAAAATATAAAAATACAGACATTTTTACAAAAATAATCACCTACATATGTAATTTATCACCAATTTTAACAACATTTTGAGGGTATACTTTCAAAATGACGCTCTTTCTAGTACATTTTACAGTTTTTTAGAATCTTTAAAAACATCCATCCGTTATTTGTTATTTTACATGTTGTTTTCACCAAATTTTTTTTAAACCTAGTATCAAATGTATATTTTTACGTTTTTACAAAATATAGTAAAACTTTGTTTTCATAAAAAATTGTACCATATTTTTCTATATTTCTTCATGTTCTATATTATGTTACATATAAAATTGGCATTACGACATTTTGCAGTATCAACGACGATATCGCAATTTTCATTATAATATTTAATATATGATTTTCTCGTAAACTAAAAGTTAAAATTATGGCATCTGCAAAAAAACGTTTTTTTTACTCTACCTTCAGGTGAGGGTACAAAAAGCGCGCGCGACCAGCTCGTTCCCCAACCCGTTCAAAGGCCCCGACGTGGTCACCAAGCTGCGCAACGACCCGCGCACCAAGGACTACTTCAACGACCCCAGCTACTTGATGCTGCTCGCGCAGCTGCAATCCAACCCGAACCTGCTCACCGATCAGCTGCAAGACCCGCGCGTGCTCACCACTCTGAGCGTCCTGATCGGCCTGGACGCCGGCGACGAGCCGATGGACACGACGCCGGCGCCGAAGAAACCCGAACCGCCCAAGCCCGCCCCGCCCAAGAAGGAACCGGAACCGGAACTCCCCGAGAACAAGCGCCTGGCTAAAGAAGCCAAAGAGCGCGGCAACGCGTTCTACAAGAAGAAAGAGTTCGACGAGGCTATCGCTCACTACCGGAAAGCCATCGAGCACGACCCCACCGACATAACCTTCTACAACAACTTAGCGGCGGTGTATTTCGAGCAAAAAGAGTTCGAGAAGTGCATAAAGGAATGCGAGAACGGCATCGAAATCGGCAGAGAAAACCGCGCCGATTACAAGTTGATAGCGAAATCCTTCATGAGAATCGGTAACGCGTACAAAAAGTTGAAGAAATACGAATCGGCGAAAACTTACTACGAAAAATCCCTGTCGGAACACAGAACGCCGGAAGCGAAAAGCCTGCTTTCCGACGTGGAAAAAGTCATCAAAGAAGAGACCAAGAAAGCTTACGTCGACCCGGAACTCGCCGAGAAAGAAAAGGAAACAGGAAACGAACTATTCAAGAAGGGAGACTTTGCAACCGCCTTGAAACACTATTCTGAAGCTATCAAACGCAACCCGGACGACGCGAAGCTTTACAGCAACAGGGCGGCGTGCTACACGAAGCTGGTTGCGTTCGATTTGGGATTAAAAGACTGTGATAAGTGCGTCGAGTTGGACCCTAAATTCATCAAAGGCTGGATCAGAAAGGGACATATTCTTCAAGGTATTTATCCAACTTAAATTCTCCATTTTCTGTAAATTCAACTTGAATAACTTTTGAAAGAGTAGATTTCTTATAAAATGATAAGAGACCTTTTTGTAGGGAATTGAATGCTCTCATTTAAGATAAAAGTTGAATTTACAGTAAATTTTATGATTTTTTCATTTGTAGAACTTTTATTTCCCTCAAATTATCTCTAACAAAGTTTTTGAAATACCTGAAGGATCTTTATTTAACAGTGAGGATTTATTAGGAATTTAGAAAACTTTTTCCAAAAAATAATGAAACACTGTTTGTCATGTGACTAATGTAATTTATCACCAATTTTCAGAAAATTTTTAGGTTATACTTTCAAAATAACGCTCTTTCAATTGCATTCGACAACTAAATCTAAATCCTTAAAAACAAAAAAAAATTTTTTATCACGTAACTTGTATAATTTATCACCAATTATTACAAAATTTTGAGAGTTAACTGTCAAAATAACGATCTTTTGATTCTATTTCAAAGTTTTTATAAATCTTCAAAAACAAACAAAATACCGACTTTTTTTCAAAAAAATAATGTCATCACACTAGTTTCGTAATTTATCACCAATTTTTAAAAAATTTTAAGGGTATACTTTCAAAACAACTCTCTTTCGATTTCATTTTACAGTTTTTAAAAATCTTCAAAAACAAAAAAAATACCGACATTTTTCCAAAAAATAATGACACCTACATACATTGATAATCACGTAACTTATCACCAATTTTTACAACATTTTGAGGTTATACTTTCAAAATAACGCTCTTTCTATTGCCTTCTATAGTTTTTCTAAATTCTTAACACCTACATTGTTCATCACGTAACTTGTGTAATTTATCACCAATTATTACAAAATTTTGAGAGTTAACTGTCAAAATAACGATCTTTTGATTGTATTTCAAAGTTTTTATAAATCTTCAAAAACAAACAAAATACCGACTTTTTTCCAAAAAAATAATGTCATCACACAACTTTTGTAATTTATCACCAATATTTACAAAATTTTAAGGGCATACTGTCAAAACAACTCTCTTTCTATTTATTTTTACAGTTTTTCTAAATTTTCTAAAACAAAAGAAATACCGACATTTTTCCAAAAAAAGGACACCCACATTGTTCATCACGTAACTCACGTAATTTATCACCAATTTTTACAAAATTTTGAGGGTATACTGTCAAAACAACTCTCTTTCGATTGCATTTTACAGTTTTTAAAAATCTTCAAAAACAAAAAAAATATCAACATTTTTCTTTTGATTGAGTAGTCTTTTATTATTGCTATTGTTAATAAGGTATGCAGCAACAGAGTAAGGCCATCTCTGCCTTCCAAAAAGCCCTGGAAATCGACCCAAACAACGCCGAAGCCCTTCAGGGCTACAGAGCGTGCACTATTGAGAATTCCAACTTGGGGGGAGACCCTGAAAAGATCAGGCAAAGGGCCATGAACGATCCCGAAGTGCAGGCCATTTTGAGAGATCCGGCCATGCGCATGATCCTCGAGCAAATGCAAAACGACCCGAGAGCCTTGCAAGATCACCTAAAGAACCCCGATATCGCCGCCAAAATACAGAAACTGCTGGAATCTGGTCTTATTGCTATACATTAGTTAGGTTTAATTGTTTTTTTGTATTTACTTATAGTTTATAGTTTGCATTGAATTTTATTTCATTCACACTAATTATTTTGTATTTTAGTGGTTAATAAACTATAGGCTTCTTTCCTTTTGGCGTTTTATTTATTTTTCAGAACCTAGAAAAAAATTGAAAAAAAAATAAAAAATCAAGGTAAAAACTGGTATTTACAAATTACTACTTAAAATTTTGTTGGTAGGCAACCAGTTAACAAAACTTTGTTAAGTTGGTTGCTTTCCTACATAAATTTAAAGTGCCTTCTATGTGAAAATTGCCAAACTACCATTTTTTAACCTTAGTTCATACATACATGGATAGATGTCGCTGCTAATAAAATTTTGTAGGTTGGCAACTACGATAGAACAAGTGTGTTAAATAATTGCCTACCTATAAAACTAAATTAGTGACAAATACAAGTCTTTTATCTATGGACAAATATTTGGTCAGTATTTTTAATGTTTTCACGTAAATTTTAAAGCATTTAAATATTAAATTTATTGATATTTTTGACACAGCATTAATATTTTGATAAATTTTATTTACACACTAATTTTTAATCAAAAACTTAAGTTTCTTAAATTTAACATGTAGTTATTAATTATATATAATCAATTAAGTTTCGCAATAAAAGATAAAATTATCAATTTTGTAACTACTGTATTGTAATAGGTAATACCCTCATTCTAATTAACATTTGTAGTAACAGATAAACAGCCTAACATCCACTTTCACTAAATATCATCTAGTACCTATACTAACTAATGCTTCATTCTCGTTATTTTTCTTATATACAGGGTATCAAAAAATTCATGGACTTTTTGTTTCATAAGTAATTTTAATAAAACATGATTTTTATGGTAATCATTTTTATTTAAATTATGAATCATTTACCTTCATTTTTGTAATGGTGTGGGATTTTTTTGTTAAGTTTCAAGGTTTTTGGGTCGCTGAATCCAGATTTTCCACCCAAAAAGCTACATCCTTTTTAACTTCTGATATATTTACTTGTAAGCCCATCAATGTTACTTTTTAATATTCACTGTTGTTTTTTTTAGTTTTTTTGTTTCATGAACTATTTAAATAAAGTATTTTAACGTCAACCATTTAAAGAGTTCTGATTTTGAGATAATTTCCATTTTAGTTGTGAATCCTTCACCTTAAGTTTTGTTATGGTGTGAAATTTTGTTGTACAATTTGAAGGTTTTTAAGTCGCTAAATCCGAATTTTCCACCCAAAACTCCACCTCATTTTTAGTTTTTGGGATGGTAATATATTGACCTAAATTGATTTTATTTCATTAATTTAGTTTTAAACATTTAAACTATTAGTGTCAATGTTTTAAATGCTAATTTGTGATAAAATGTTGTGTTAGTAACCTACATATTACTTAATTTATTTGTAATAAATAAAAATAACAATATGGGTATCACTTACCAATACCATTTTTACTAAAAAAATTGTCTTTCAAATTTGTGTTTAGTTTAAATGTTATTCAACCTTGTCTTGTTACAAATCTTTCTTCATTCAATGTTAACATATTGTATTTACTTTTTAAGATGAAAGATAGAAAGATAAGCAAACTTTAAATAAATTTTGTATAAATTAAGATACTACTGTAATTACAGGAATACTACAATTAAGTACGTGCGGTAATAGTAATTTTAAATTACAATAGCAATAAGCACTTCAATTTGTTAAACTTAAAGTAAAAACGACAACCTTGTAGATCCCATCACTTTCTTCCATACCGTTAGCTCCGAATCTGTTATTAAAATTGGGCAATAGTAAATTTGTAGCGAATTATTATTTAGGTTTTGTTAATTATATGTTTTATTGTATTTCAAAATGCAATGGTTTTGATTATTTGAGGCCTGTCAGAGCAAAGTCAACAATCTCCCGTCAGACTAAAACTGAGTAAATTGAGATAATTGATTTTTGTATTTTTAATTCTAGATGTGTAATTTTTTTTATATATTATATTGAAATATTGTTGTTGTTAGTCTAGTAGCCAACTACAAGGTCTCCAGGATGCATAGTATAGGTGAAATCTATAATTATAAATTGGAGATTGCTGACTTTGATATGAATTGCTGGAGATTGCTCATTTTGTTGTAAACGTTTAAGGAGATTTAGAAAAGTAAACAAAAAAATAATTTTATTTTTCTCCCTTTAATGGTTATAAAATTTAACTATACTATCAATGTGGGAAAATTCTGAACTGGACCACATTAATCTCTAAATCTGGAACCAGCTTACCTCGTGCAAAAAAATTTTTATAGTACAACTCATCATCTCCTTCCCACTTTGCTCTATAATGTTTTACTTGCATTGTTTTGACATTATCAGCCTTTTCTTGCTTTACCTTTTCGTCTTATTATGCTATAATAGCACAAAATAAACAAGATAACTTTTTTATAATTTTTAAAACAATAAAACGTAGATTTACATATTTTAAATATATTTTTTAAGTGCAATTTACTGCAATAGTAAAAAAAAACACAAAATTAAATCTCTAAAGTACGTTATAACATCAAATGTTAGGATATCAGGTGACACAAATTACTAATTTCTAATGGTGGAATTGGAGATTGTATACTTTGCTGCAAATCTATCAGTGGAGATTGTCGGCTTTGCACTAAATGTCATTTTTAAAATAGGATTTTAGGCAGGATTTAGCTTCTTTTACAGCACATAAACTTTATCATCTTATAGATAATTAGTTGAAGTATAGTCTCCGCCAAAAATCTAATTTTTGAGCAAAAGTGGAGATTGTCGGTTTTGCTATGACAGGCCTCATTTGTCGTTAATGTTCTAGGTAAGTAAAATAATACTAGTATACAGTAAACTAATATTTGACAATAGACAATATATCATTTATTAAACTTGACACCTAATATAATATTTAAATTATGAAAATAAACGACATAAAAGTAATTTATTATTAAAAAGACAATGCATTTAGCGACCTTGGGTATTATCTATGCAATTAATGAAATACGCGAATTTTATGCGGTTTTGCATACAAAATAAACATATATATATTGATAATAATTTTTTATTTTAATGTTTTGTTTTAAACACATTTTACTTTTATACATTCTGTTATTTAATTAATGTCATAGGTATATTAAAATGGGTAGGTTCTTAAGGTACATATACTTTTTTATAGATAGGTAACAAAATGCAGATGCAAGGAGATGAATTAAATAAATTACGGTTGAGCAACTGCCCATTTTAATTAAACAATAGCCCAATTTACATACATTACGTATGAGCCATGATTTTCTTTGAAATTTTGATGTGTAATACGGATATTTATAGTTTTTACTTTAAAAAATGATTGAGAAACCTTAAAATGTACCCTTTCCACATTGCCATCAATGGTATTTTTATTTTCAAAGCAAAATTCTTCTAAAAATGCGAATAAAAAAGTAAAAATGCTTAAAACTTGGTAAAATTTATATCCAGCCTGTTGACATGTTGATATGTTACCATTGAAAGGTTAGCTTTTTTTCGCAAATCAACCAGACTACCAAACCCATTCCATGGGCTTTACAATCGACTTCCGCAATGCCTTTGAGAGAATTGTGTATACCTACCTAGTCGATATACTGCATAGAATAGAAAAAAAAGATCTCGAACTACATTAGCCATGTATTGTGTTAAGGTTGAGGTTTGCAATACGTTTTATAATTGCCGAATTAGTTTTGCATGACCAGTCATGGACAAATTGCTCGACATCGCTTATATTAGGTGCAGGTGCAATTGTTCTACAAATAGGCATAACAAGCATATAGTGAAAATGATTTTTTTTTTTTGGTTGTTTCACTGTTAGTCTAGAAGTGTTAAAATGATTAAAGCGCCATCCGTTGCATAAAATTTAAAGAAAAAACAGATTCACGGAGGATAGAATCAATTTTTGTAACACCTACATAAATGGTTATAAAAATTATTTCTTTTAATTTTTAATAATATTTTATATTTGATTCAATTGCTTTGGATGTGTTTAATTTACTTAGTGAACTGATATTTTTAATATGCCTTTACTACCTCAGATATTTGAAAACATATAGGTTAACCTAGAAAGAGTAACAGTCACGGAGGATAGGTTTTATACTTTTAAAACATTGTAAAAAATAATTAGTTGCGGTTAAAAATCTGGAACCTGAGCTGTAATATCTACTTAATTATGAAAGATCAAAACACAATAAAACTCATTTAGTTTTATTAAATATCACGGGGTAACACCATAGGAAATTATCTTTTAATAACTAATTTTTCAAATAATAAGATACCTATTTTTGAATGATTTGCATTATCCCGGCGCATCCGCCATTTTTGCAACTTAAATTGAAATTTTATTTCTATATCCAGAGTGCCTTGCATTGGCTTTTCTGCTTCATGTTGGTCCAAGCAGTCTGGAAAAATTACATTTTTATTCTTTTTTTGCAATGCTGAAATTGACTTAAAGTGGTATATAATTACCAATAAATGTCCTTTATGTTGTATTATTAGCAATAAATGATGCCATTGTTTTAATATCTATTAAACAAAGTGTTTAACTACCTCCAAGTTGTGAAATAAGTTGCAAAATATGACGATAATTCCATGTTATCAATGGTATTATAACATCATTATTTCAAGAAGCTTTAAATGATATTAAAAATATGATATTTATGATATAATGTGGTACCAATAAATTCAACATTAGAAGTATGGGAACTATGGGACATGAAAATATATGGACCAAGGTTAGTTACGCAACACAATGACCAAGTCATGGTGCACTCCAGAGTACCCATCAGTGGTACCAGAACCACGATCCTGGTACCATCGTGCATACGGAAAACGTGTAGTGTAGTGTAGTGTAAGATCGCGCAGTGTGCAAGTGACAGTCAATTATCGTTTATTTTTTTATTTATTTAAGCATGATTGTTTGTTACTATGATGTTGCTGTTAATTTGGTGTTTTGTGTTTTTAATTAGGATAATAACAGGTAAGTGCAAGGACTTGTGCATTTTTTTGGTTAAGCATTTTCATATAAAAATTAACAATAAAAACAGTAGTAAAAAAAGACTAAAATAAAAACCAGACAAATATAAGAGATTAAGAAAAAATCTATTTTGTTTTATTAATTAAAATCTCTAATTAAAATAATTAAAAATATTTATTATTGTTTTAAGAATAATAATAAATTATGAATAAATGTATTCAAGGTTTATTCCCAATCAAAAACGCATAATAAATAGATAATTAAATGATTTTAAAAAATTAATAAATAAAATCAGTTGGTTAATCTCACTTTTTCCAATTTTAAAGTTATAAAAGTAGAACAGTTTTTGAGATATAGTCAATTTTTTATATAATATGGAATTGACTATAGATATATAGTATATGTATCAAAAACTGCTCTACTTACATAATTTTTGACGGTATACCATGGTATAAGTAAAAAAGCAGCCACTAATAACTGTAATAACTAGTCAATTTTTGACTAATTCATTTTTAGAGATTAGAGTTTATTAATAGTATCTATATTAAAGAACTAATGTCCTAAGACATCATTTAACATGAGTTCTTTATGCTATTTTATCTATTTTGCAAACATTCTATAAAAAAAAATAATTTTGTACCTTAAATTTAATTTGGTCGAATTTCACTTTAGATAGTTGGTATCACAGTCATTGGTTTGACAGTTAATGTCAAAATCGATTCGCCATGCCGTCCTTAATTTACTTATTTACAATAAGCGGCTGTTAATGTTAAAGAAGAAAAAAAGGATTTTCTTTGGTGTTAAACAAAATTTATTGACGGAAAAGTCTCGTAAGTACTAGAAAAATCATAAAAATATTATAACCAATATGCAAAATATGCTGTTTAAAGTATAGCCAACCTGTAAAATCAAAATTTTGAGTGTTATTATGAAGTCATTATGAACGCAAAATAGATAAAATTATATTAAGGCATTTAAAATACTACTACTTAGATAAAGTGCAAAATATAAATGTTTTTATTAGGTAGTTACCCAGTTTACTTATTTTTACAAATGTACATGTAGATAAGTAGTTATTTTAAGAATTTTACTATTGACATATTAAAATAAATCAACAATCAACAACAACTTTTAGGTAAATTATTTTAAGTGAAGATAACAATTCCATATTAAAGGTGAGTCATTTGGTTTAATTATCATATTTTGCGCAAATTCACAAAACTTTAAAAGGTGTAAAAATTTAAAGGATGCAACAAAATAAAATCCTTTTTAGCCAAAATTAGGCAATATGCTATTACGTCAACAATTTTTTCTAAATTTCAATAAAATTTATAAAATTTGAAGCATCATCCATCTGCTTACACCTAGCGCGCGGAATTGTGCTTACGCGCTGAGACACTTATAAAACCTTAAAAAAACGCAAATTTATTAAATTCGAAGGAAAATTGCAAACATGTCTTTTCAGGTGCTCAATTAACAAACTGCCCTTCGACAGACGTGAAACTGGAAAAAATCCTCGGTCTACGACCGCCAAAATCTAGTCATCCTCTAGTTTTATACCAAGAGAAAAATCACAGCAACCCTATCACTATCGAGTGCATAAACAGATGCATCAAAAATGACGAGTGCCTTAGCTTTATCGTCTACTACAACGTGTCTTCGTGCTTTTGGCTCAAAAGTTCCACGGATGGAGAGCAGGAAGCGGAAACGGAAGTCGATACTGACGTCGATTGGTTCGCGAAAGTGTGTTTGACAGGTAAAACGACAAATTTAATCTTTTACTTTATTAATCTTAACGTATTTTTAGTGAAAGACCCTTGCAAGAACCTCTGGACTTTCGAGAGGATACCAGGGGCTATTTTGATAGGGAACGACACGAAAAAAATCGGAAAACCCATTTCAAGAACCGAATGCCAGCAATCCTGCCTGAATGAGACCGAATTTTCGTGTAAATCGGCCAAGTTTAGAATTAAAAAGGCCAATTATGGACCTAACGCGCAAACTCTAGGTTTGTGCACACTCAGTAACACTGATAGGCATCTAATGCCCAACTCTTACAGAGTTTCCAGTTTCTATGAAGAGTACTTTGAAAATCAGTGTGGTGTGGACGAAAGTAAACCAGGTAGATATTATTTAATATAAGTCTGCTGAATCTAATACAAACCCTTTTAGACTTGTCTCAATTTTGTGCATACGAAGAGTACATAAACTCAACTTTGTCACACAGTGACGCATACTACGAAAGCAAAACCAAAGAAGAATGCGAAGATTTGTGCGAAAAATCAACGCAATTTCATTGCAGAGGTTACAGTTTGATGAAAACCAAATCCAGGGTGGATAGGTTTCATTGCAATCTCCACAGCGAAGATACAAAAATACACGGCCCAAAACTTCTGGACCAAATCCCTGGAGGAACGTATTTTGAGAAAGCACGCTGCATTAACAGTAATATTAATATTACCGAACAAAAATTTTATTTATTAATACATTAACTTCTAGTTAGTGTGCAGTGCAGTGAAACTTATATGACGATAAAGTACAACCCTGAAACTGAGTTCCAAGGTCGAATTTACATGCAAGGGTATTCGGAAAATCCAGAGTGCTTTGCCAGTGGTGAAGGAAAAGGTACCATGGTTACCCTTAAATTACAACTGCTCACCAAACAATGTGGTATCATCAAAGCAAACGGTATGGGAAATAGGTAAAAAATAAAAAAAAAACTATTTCTAATAACTAACACTCAAAACATTATAGAACTCTACTGGCGGGAACCATGGTCCTCCAATACAATTCCTTGATTCAAACTCAGGGAGACAGACTTATCAAGGTCGGTTGTATTTTTGGAAACGAAAGCAAAATTCTTGTAGGAACTGGAGTGACAATTTCTTCGTGCGTAGTATTAAATAAAATGTAATAGTGTGTAATAAAAATAATAATAATTTTAGATCACTCCCGAGCAAGGGCAGCGTTATAGTCAACTCGGTAACGAATGGTACCACAAACCCAACAGTGGAAATGAGAGTGGTAGATTTAAATTCTCACAAGGAAGTGAGTGATACTCAGATTGGGCAAGAATTGCAATTAGTAATTGAGGCTAGAGTCAGCGGTAAGTCTATTTTATAGATTAAGACCAATTTGTTATTTTTTACCATCAAATGTTAGTACTGGATTCTCGAGATTATCCACAAATTATACAGTCGTGTCAATGCTGTTCTCTTAAAATTAATACCAACTTTGACGGTATGTAGTTTTGATATTTGTCAACCAATTTAAAAAATATTTATGTCAAATGTTAGATAATTTCATCTACCTTTAGAAAATGTAAACATCTTAATATGCCCCACTACTAATTTTTCGAGATTATCCGCAAAATATCAAGTCGTGTCAATGTTGCTCTCTTAAAATTAATACCATTTTTAACACTCTATACTTTTGTTATTTTTCACCCAATTTAAAAAATATTTATATCAAATGTTAGATAATTTTATCCAGATTCAGAAAATGTAAATAAATTCATATGCCACAGTAATGATTTTTCGAGATTATCCACAAAATATCAAGTCGTGTCAATGTTGTTCTCTTAAAATTAATACTATTTTTAACACTCTGTACTTTTGTTATTTTTCACCCAATTTAAAAAATATTTATATCAAATGTTGGATAATTTTATCCACATTCAGAAAATGTAAATATCTTAATATGCCACAGTAAAGATTTTTCGAGATTATCCACAAAATATCAAGTCGTGTCAATGTTGTTCTCTTAAAATTAATACCATTTTTAACACTCTGTACTTTTGTTATTTTTCACCCAATTTTAAAAATATTTATGTCAAATGTTAGATAATTTTATCCTCTTTAAGAAAATGTAAATATCTTAATATGCCACAGAACTTATTTCTCGAGATAATCCAAAAAATTTACAGTCATGTCAATTTTGTTCTCTTAAAATTATTACCAACTTTGAAGGTCTGTAGGTTTGTTATTTTTTAACCAATTTTAAAAATAATTATACCAAATGTTAGAATGACTCATCCACTTTGTAAAATAAATTAATTTTCATATGATTATTGCGTTAAATGTGATAAAACACTGATTAAACTTTTTTCTCTTATTTTTAGAACCCATGGACATTTGGGCGAGCCACTTGGTAGCAATGACGGAAAAAAGCGACGAATCCATATTTTTACTGGACGACCGCGGTTGTCCAACGGACCTGGCACTTTTTCCGGGCTTGGAAAAAATTAAAACCAACAATACGGTTACATTAGTCGGTACTTTTCAGGCTTTTAAATTTGCCTCGTCGTCGATCCTAAGATTCAGCGTCATCGTGCAGTTTTGCACAGAAAAATGCATGCCAGTAATTTTTTTAAAACTATTTAATAAAATTGGAAATTATAGGGATATTTTAAGGTTGACTGTGGCAATGGATTGAGATCCTTTGGAAGAAAAAAACGGGATTATGTTGTTCACAGGCTGCAAACAATAAATGGAACAGCCATTGTGAAAATGAATCGTCCCGTTTTTCAAGGGACTGCTTCTGTTATAAATCAGATGCCTTTAGAGTTTGTTATGGTGGTAAGAGACCCGGCAACAAAATCTGACAGGCTAATTTATGGTGAAAATAAAATACTAGTTGCTGGATATGGTAATTTTTATTTATCTCTTAAAATATTAATTTCAGAAATTCGACATTTTATAGAAAATTGTTATTTACTTTTTTCTTTTGTCCACCATCTATAGGTATAGTTTAGTATTTCAATTTAAATTTCAAACTTAAAAAACATTTTACAGCAAAACTTTAACAATATTTTTTTAGACTATGTAAACAATGAATTTTGCCTAGACTACTCCCTGGTTATTGGTTTGATAGTGACCTGGGTAATAGTGCAAATATTGTTTGTAACATGCTGTATAATACTCGTAAGAAAATACAAACGGCACTATGAACATGAATGCACAAGACAGTCATTGGAAGAGCTGCATAAAAATTTTGGTATTGGATTTAGCAACCTGGAAAACCGAAGGGTGCATTGGGCAGATAACGAGGAGTTTACATAAAACTATTTATTTTAATTTTGTAAATAAAATTATTTTATTTTGACGGTTTTTAAATTAAATCCACGATTTACTTGTATGTATGTACAGTTTAATAGAATAAATAACTTACTACTTACAAAATAACAACCTATTTGCTAAGGCTTATTTACAGGTTATGTTACATTTCCAGAATCTTGTTTATTCCTAATTTCCTTGGTCAACTCAATTTGTTTCTGCAAATTATACACGTTTTCCGCTTTTCTTTTCTGCCTTCTCTCAACATCTTTTATAACGCCTTCGTGCATCTGTTGCCTGCAATATTTCAAAAATTCAAAATACGACATAACCTAAAAATTCTCATACCTATCGTAATATTGCCTGTAATGCACGTATCCTATGATTCCTAGGGAAAATGTACAGGCCCCGAACAAAACTGATTTTGCTAAAGTGGACATTATCGCACAATAAGTACAAAATATCGCATAATATATGTACAAAATAGCTTTGGATAAAATGTGACTAACTTCATAGCATAGCAGTGTTGCCAGGTTGTCAGAGCGCCATAGAACTAATATTTCTATGCAGAACGCTTTCCCAAATGAACCACATATTTGGAGATTATGTGAGATGAACAAAGAGTCTATAAGGCTCCATGTTCATCTGTAGGCCCTACATAGCTGAACATGGCCAATGTCTGTAGAAAATCTTTGTTGGCAACACTGATTTGAAGTTCAAATTTTGAACCAATTTTATTAGATAAAATGTGACTAACTTCATATTTATTGTCGCAAAGATTTTTATTTTTCTATGCAAAGAACTTATATATATATATACTAGTAAGATAATAATAGTATCTTTGTGTCTTTAAATAATATTAGGCAGTGTTAAGTTTTAAAATTGTATTGGTTTTGAAAATATGGAGTCAGCAATTTTGAAAGAAAGTCCACCAAGAAAAAAGCCCAATTCTTTAGGAGAAATAAACCCAACCAAAATAAATCTTTGCACTTTACCAGTAAGTAAAATTAACACTAAAATTTCGACATAGTTTATGTTTTGTATTTTAGGATGACATACTCATAGAAATTTTTTCATATTTGGATTTAAAATCTATCTATAATTGTGCCATGGTATGCTCAACATTAAACAACATATCAAAATACAGTGCACTATACAAAACAATACACTTAAAGGTAGTTGCAGAAATTAGTCTTAGGTTAGGGGCCTAAAAATCTTTGTTTTTTGTTGGTTGTAACTTGTTCCAACTGACAATGTATCTACTTCAAACATTTGAGTTGTATTATTAATATTACACTTATTTTTAAGTTAAATGGTGAAAATAATTTAATTTATTTTTAGTATTTTATGAAGTCCCATATTCTTAAATCATTTTTATCCAAAGCCACCTCTGTAAAAAGATTGCGTATAGAATATAATAATTATGAATACTACAAAGACCAGAATACAAAACAATACAATGAATTTAATAAATATGTTATAATGTAAGTTTTAAGTTACTAAAGCTAAGCTGTATTGGTAGTTTACTTTCTTTTAGGTTCTTAGAAAAATCGCGGAATCAATTAAAAGTTTTGGAAGTTAAAAACTGCATAAATAATAAGGATGTAATGTTAAGTTTATCAGAATGCACAAATTTAGAAGGTATAAGATAAAATTAAATTACATACTTTTTTGGTTATTTATTTAATTTAAAATTCATAAAATGTTAACTATTTATTCTAAATTTTTGAGTGTCAAAAACAATTTTCTTTTTATTTTGTAAGGTATCCCAGCCAACAAAGTCAAGGTAGTGCTACTAGTAGCAGAGGGTAGCGCTACCCTCTGCTACTAGTAGCACTACCTTGACTTTGTTGGCTGGGATGTAAATTAAAATTCATGTTATTATATAATATATATCTATTTTAGAACTTGTACTATATAGATGTAGACTATATAGATGTAGACACAATTGTGGATGTAGAGGTTCCTTTGAAGGAATGCTTTCACTTGGTAATTTGAAAAGTATACAATTTCAATGGTGTAATTTTCCAAAAAACACAGTAGTATATCTTATACAAAAAAATCGGAATTTAAAAAATATATATTTAGGTAAATAATCACATAAAAAAATTAAGCAACAGAAATAACATCATAGCACTCTAAAATTTTATCAGCTTGTAGGTTATATATAACTTGTGAATGTGTATTGGAAAAGGTGGGAGTAGAAAAATAATTTAATAGATATATCTATTAAATTATTTTTCTACTCCCACCTTTTCCAATACACATTCACAAGTTGTGACTTTATGGCGCTTTAGTCACGGGCAGAAGTTAGTTTTAAGTTACTTGACAGTTGTCAAATGTCATACAATCGTTAAAATAAAGTGCCTTTCTTGTAAAATAATACTAAATGTGAAATTTATTTTATTATCTCAATACAAAAATACAAAAGTATTAAATAGTTTCTCAACGCCAATATTTAAAAAGTTTATATGAACATTGTACTGACCTTTTAATTTCGCCGGCAGTAAACTATAACTTAAATTCGGGCACGGACTCCACTGTAAAGTGCTCATAAAACATTTTCTTTACTTTCACTGTGAAAAACTGTCAATTTTCAAAAAATACATTTAGATTTATAACCTTTAAAATATGTGTTTATAAAATATAAAAATTTGACATTTGACGGTGACACACAGATTCCCCTATTGTTTCATAGATGGCGCTCTATACAAATTTTTGATTTAAATCATTTTAAGATAATAATAAGTATTTTTCGTAGAAAAAGTATAGTATGCACCTCGTTTATAAACTTTTCTATACACTCATGGCGTTTATCAAACTTGATACATAATATACTATAAAATAGTATAAAATTGAGTTTTAATTAATTAGTATAGTAATTTAAAATAAAAATAACCATACCAATATATACAGGAGCTACCAATAAAGTTTTGGACATTTTATTTATTGAAATGTTCATTTTTTATATTATTAATACATAACTTCTAAGGTTTTGGGGTGTTATGTTATTTTTAGTGCTTAGTTAGTTTACTAATAAGTGTTTATAAATATTGTTGTTAATATATTATAGCGGATAATGACCATGTGGATGTAAACGAAATATGTGAAACTTTGTCTCAACACAATTTACAAGTAACTAATATTCTTTTAAATGGAAGAGATAAAATCAAACTCGATAGTTTATGTACTTTAAAAAGATTATCAAACCTGAAATCTTTGGAAATAAAGTTTATTTGCAATATGAAACCTAATCAGGAAAATTCTCTAAAACAATTGGCAGCTGGATGTTCAAAATTGGAAAAGTATTTTATATCAACTAAACTCAATAACAAAATTAAAACGTCATATAATGTTTTAGGTTGTTTATATCTGGGTGGAGGGAATTAAATGACGATAATTTTATACCCGCCCTACCCATGTTAACACATTTAACCGAATTAAAGTTATCGCGTACAAATATTACAATTAAAAGTTGCAGAGAAGTTGCCTTTACGCTGCCACGACTTAAATCAATGCATGTTATTGGTAATCAAAGGGTGAAAATAGATGAAGTAAGTAAAAACAAAATATTCCTTTATTTTTTAAACTTATTTTGTTTTTAGTTGGATAAACTTCAGAGTGAGTTTCCAGAAATTGATATAGCTTTGTACAAGTACAAGTAGTTTTTATACTTATTAAGCATTTTACATAATTTTATGTATTAAGTATAAAATGCAGTACAACAGAGATGCAACAGTAGGATTTAAATATGTTAATCCTGTAATTGTAAATTCAACAAAATAATCTCATCTTTTTTCATATGATTTTTGTATTTACTTAATAAATAAAAAAAAACTATAGAATTCTTATTTTCCTTTTTGTTAAACATTTACAAAATTTCCTATAATATAATATTTATTGGGTTTTATTAGTGCTAGACCTAAAATACATAAGGTGTAAAAGAAAAATATTTAAAAAAATACACACTTGTGTTAAAAACTCATTAAATACAAAAGTTTTATGCCCTTAAAGCTCTAATACCCCTCTGTATTTATTTACTCATCCAGCTATTAGCTTAAGCAATGATTGAAAAATTTAGTACCTATTTTAAAAACTTCATAACCACAAAATTAATTTTTAAGTTAAGATATTTACAATTTGAGCACAACCTAAAATTTGATTGGACCAATTAGAATTTACTATTGGTAACATGTCAATTTATTATATTGTTGTTTTAGGTGTTTAATATAAAAATTACATGTTTAATTTTAAACTTAATATTTATTAAATAAAACATACATAATATTATGTTATAAATGCCTAATAAATACATAACTACTTGTCCAAAGCAATATCAATTTTGGGAAACTCTTTCTGAAGTTTAGCCAGCTAAAATAAAGGAACAAATTTAAAAATATATTTTTTATTTTCTTTTTACTTACTTCAGCTTTTTTTATTGGATTCATTTTAATAACATCCATTGATTTGAGTTTTGGCAGGGTAAGGGCAGCTTCCCTGCAACTTTTAATGGTAATATTAGTGCCCTTTAAATCTAACTCTTTTAGCTGAGTTAACATATGCAAGGCAGGGATAAAATTATCGTCATTTATTTCCTTCCAACCATATATTGCCAACCTAAAAACGTTTAAACAGTTCAAGGCATTTAAACGTTTTTATTTATGTAAAATACTTTTGTAATTTTGGACATCCAGCTGCCAATTGTTCCAGGGTATCTTCCAAATCAAATTTACTTTTGGATATGCAAATTAATTCCAAAGATCTTAGATTGGATAAACTTTTTAAAGTTTTCAAACTTTTGGTTTTTATTTTTTTTCTTTCACTTAAATAAATACTAGTTACTAGCAAACAATGTTGAGACATAGTTTCACAAACTTGGTCTACATTCACATTTGTATTATCAGCTAAAAAATATATCAATATATTTGTACATAAAATAAGTACATTTTATGCCAATATTTACCTAGAGATATTTTTCTTAAATTACCATTATTTTTGATAACGTCTACTACCGTGTTTAGTAAAAAATCGCACAGTAAAAAATGTATACTTTTCAAATTACCCAGAGAGGGCAGTGTTGCAAAGGTACCTTTACATCTATATAATTCAAGTTCTAAAATAGTTATTATGTAATATATGTATATTAATTTTATTTTTAATCCCTCAGGTAAAAGATAACAAATTGTATTTTGCTTTAAAATTTGCAGAACATACAAAATAAGAAGACACTAAAAATTTATTTTAATTGATTTTTGTAGAAAAAAAAATTAATAATAATAAGTGGACAGTTAAATAAAAACCATTAGGTATAAATAATTATTCTCAACATACTTTCCAAATTTCTGCATTCAGATAAACTTAATAATACATCATTACATCTGCAGCTTTCGACCTTTAAAATCTTTAACTGATCTCCTGATTGTTTAAAGAACCTAAAGCAAGTAAGTAAACTACCAATAGACTTTATAGCTTTAGTAAGCCTAAAACTTACTTTTTAACATATTTGTTAAATTCACTGTAGTCTTGAGCTTCAGAATCGTCTGAATCTGAATAAGGATGCTGAGTATACCACATATATTCTAGAACCAATATTTTTGGGCAGGTAGCTTTGGAAATTAATGATTTAAGAATATGGAAATTCATATTGTACTAAAAACATATGTTAATCACTTATTTTACCTAAAATAAGTGTGAAAAACTGCTAAAAAATGTAAACAACTTAAAAATGCATTTTGGTAGTTTAACTAATGCTAAATAATTTTGATTTTGAGAAAAAATAATAATTTGCTTACAAACCTTTAAGTGTACTTTTTTATAAAGTGTACCATATTTTGATATATTATTAAATCTTGAGCATAACATAGCACATTTACTTATCGATTTTAAATCCAAATATGAAAAAATCTTAATTAAAACATCATCCTAAAATACACAATATTAATTATGAAGTCAAACTATTTTACAAAGATTTTAAACTTTATATTTATTAGCCTGTCATTAAATTATGAACACATTTTAAGTAGGCCTTGAGCCCTAGGCCCTGCCAATCTATAGTATACTGTAAACTCTTTAAGGGTCAAAAACCTTTTAAAAAACTTACAGGTAAAGTGGACAGCCCTTCCTCGTCTGCGCCTTTTTCCCTTAAAGATTTAACCTTTTTTCTTGGCGGACCTTCTTCTATAGTAGTCGAATCCATATTTTTAAAATTCAACACAAATAAAATCGGTTTGTTTTCTTCTTTCTGTCATTCAATGGCGCCAAATTATGAGTGACAGTTAGTATGCAATGAAGTTAGTCACATGAAGTTCATGAACCACAAATGCATTTATTTAAATATTTTACGGTAAATTAGACGTATAGTGTATTACAAAATAATCTTGTATATAACTTTCCACATTATTTATATTAATTTTGTGTTTATTCGGTAATGATTCGTTAATAAAGTTTTATCATGTTGGCACTCCACTTTCCTTAGGTTGAGCAACCTGTAAAAATTTATCTAATCTAAGCTGTAAAATCAGCTGATTGTCAAAAAAGTTGGGTTGGGTTAAATTCTCCGAAATGGGTTTACATCGCGAGCACATCAACGGATACGACGATTTTTGTAAATTTTTCGAAAAATTTGAGAGCAAAGGAAAAACCGTGCACGTTTATTTTTCCGGATCGAAACTGGAAAACGGGGAAAGTTGGTGCGACGACTGCATCAGAGGTGGTTTGTTTCACTAAAATCCAAGTTTTGACAGTACAACGATTTTTTTCTAGCGTGGCCTGTTATTGAGGGAGTCTTGAAAAAACTCGAAGGACCCAGCCAAGAACATGAAGAAAGTGAAACCAAGAAAATAGAAGAACAGGTGCTGGAAACAAAAGAAGAGAAGCCAAAGGAAGCCAAGAAAACAAAAGAACAAGAAAATAAGCCAAAGGAAGCCAAGAAAACAAAAGAACATGAAAGTAAACCAAAGGAAACAAAAGAACCAGAAAGTAAATTGAAGAAAAAAAAAGAACAAGATGGGAAACCAGAGGTAGCCATGGAAACAAAAGAACAAGAAAGTAAAACAACTGAAGAATCAGCAGAGAAAGAAGAAAGCAATGAATCATACTTCATTTATGTGGAAGTTGGAGATAGACCTACGTAAGTATTACAAATAAATGTATTAAAATAAACAATTTTTTTATTTTTTTTAGTTGGAAAGATCCAAAGTCTTCCTTTAGAACGGATAAAAGAACAAAAGTAATGGTTTTGCCAAGTATAATAAGATGGGAAGGACACCAAAGATTAATTGGGGATCAATGTGAAAACCCAGAACTAGTAGAAATGCTTTTCACTGATGAAGATGATTAGTTTATAAAACTTAATTATTCCACATTTTTTATATTAATATAATAATAATTTTCTAATAATATAGTCATATTTTTATATTCATACCCGCGGCATTGTAAAAGAAATAAATATAAAAAACAAACTTACATTAGGTATTAGTAGGATTATACTTGAATAAAAATTCAAAACAAAATTTTATTTTATTTAAAAAATCACCTATAAAAATATACACATTTAGTACAAACTACATTCATTTTACCAATTCCCTAGAACAAAACAATGCACGCAAAAAACATTGGTCAATTGGGTAAAATAAATATAGCCAACAAATTATACAAATTTAATACTTTTAATGTACAGCTTCTATAATATTGGAATGCGTTTTTTGAGATTTATCTTCCTCTTTGTCTGCAATGAGATCTTCAATTTTGGCGTCCTCAGGTGGTATTATGTTGAGGGTGCTGATTGGTTCAGTTACATACACAGAGTATGTGAGTTTTTTGCTTCTTAGAAGGCTGTATGAGTTATCAAAAGTGACGGTATCTAAAAAATATGAAGATTTCGAGATTTCCACAACTTTGACAGCTTGTAGTTTTGTTATTTTTGACCCAATTTAAAAATTAAATATATCAAAAGTTAGATAATTTCACCCACTTTAAGAAAATGTACACTTCTTAATACACCCGATACTAATTTCTCGAGATAATCCACAAAAAACAAAGTCGCGTCAATTTTAGTTCCCTTAAAATTAACATCAACTTTAATCGCCTGTAGTTTTGTTATTATTTACCTTATCTTAAAAATAATTACATCAAAAGTTAGATAATTTTATCCACTTTGGAAAAATATAAATTGGAAAATCATTATTAATTAAATAAAGGTGGAGAATGTAGGTTAAACTTACAGGTGGCAGGTGCCTGGCACGCTAAGACACCGTTTTCTGCCATTTGGTGCGCCGCTACTCTGCGATGGTGGATTGCGGGGCTCACATTTCCATCGGCATCTTTCAGTGTCACTCCGAACCTAATGTCGTGCCCTTCGCTCTTAAAGTCCCACCTACAAACAAGGTAATTTTAATTCATTATTAGGTAACCAGTATACGTTTGTAAATTGCGATTTATCGTTATCTGTGTACTCTATTTTTTATATATTGCTACATTATTTTATGGGGGAGGCGACTTAAGTTGACAAATAATCATACAAGTTGACAAATATAATTACCTACATTAAGTTTATGAACATAGACAATTTGTTGATTGCTTTATACATACAATTAATGGAATATTTAATAGTATTTTTTTTCTATTTTTAAATTATGGCAGCTGCACTAGTGCATAACTGAGGTAAATTTATTATAATAATATTATATTTTTAGTATATTTTATACCTTAAAAAGCATCCTTCCTCGGCCACTATAAAATCTAAAACCAGCTTTTCGCCTTTTTTTACAGTTGCTGTTACATATTCCCTTTGATGGGTAGTTTCAGGAGCTTGTAAATTTTTCGTGTAATAGGATTTTGGAACTTTTCCACCTTGTTTAACCTAAAAATAATTAGTTTGTTGGTAAAATAGTTTATTATGTACCAAGTTTGATAAAGGAGTTGCATAATATACTTTTTCTAATACAAATACTTAATATTATCCAAAAAATTATTTAAATTAAATATTTGTATGAAGCGACATCTATACGAAAATAAAGTAAACATTTTTGACGTAATTGTAACCATTAACATTGCCCGCTATTAATTTTTATAAGACTTAACAATTATTGATATTTTAAAATAATATTAAAATATAATTGGAATATTGAAAAAGCCTAACATTTTTCAATACTTAAAAAAATGGCGAATGAGCCGGGAATAACTGTTTCAACCTAGTTTTTTAGTCAGTCAACTGTCAACTAACTTCAGCCCGTGACTAAAAACCTAGGTTGAAACAGTTAATCCCGGCGCATTCGCCATTTTTGAAAGTATTGAAACATGTTCGGTTTTTTCAACACATCTGGCAACCTTGGCAATACGTTTTTTACATCTATAAATTTTGTATGTTTAAACAAGATAATTATGGTAAACTTTTAACTAAAATACCTAGTTGACCTCTAGTTTTCGATCCTGAATTAATTTGATGCAATTGAAATTAAAAACACTTATAAATAATAAATTTATGGTAATTCTTACTTTTGTGGTATACTTTGGATTTCCATCAGGATCACACAATTCCCCACCAAAATGTTTAGGTATATTTTCGGCGCCTATATTTTCAACCAATATTTTCTTCCACTTCTTTGGTTCATTTTTATAAATCATAATTTTCCCTAGAGTGTATTCGTTTAAAAACTTCTTGACCACGTTGAAAGCTATGGCAAATACTCTGGGTGCTAAAACATGCAAATATTAAATATTATGAAAAATATTTACGCAATTTTTGCTGATGCACTACAAAAAATATTAAATGAGGCGTCAGCCAAATATAGGAATGTGCAAGAAAAGAATTTATATGGGTGAATCTCACGAAATGCTTTAAAAGTCTAAGACCTATCCTCCGTGACTGTTACTCTTTTTAGGTTAACCTATATGTTTTCAAATATCTGAGGTAGTAAAAGCATACTAAAAATATCAGTTCACTAAGTAAATTAAACACATCCAAAGCAATCGAATCAAATATAAAATATTATTAAAAATTAAAAGAAATAATTTTATAACCATTTATGTAGGTGTTAAAAAAATAGATTCTATCCTCCGTGAATCTGTTTTTGCTTTAAATTTTATGCAACGGATGGCGGTTTAATCATTTTAAATAAGCAAAAACCTCTGTTTACGACATTATAGATGCATGTGATTCCTGAAGGTCAGTTAGAATTCATATGCAGATGAGAGTCCCACTGAGCAAAAAAACGTAAAATATATGTAAAATTGACGTCAAAGGTTGTAGTGTGACGTATAAGAATCTTGTAAAATAAACGTCACATAAACGTCGCTGTGATGTGCCTATGTCCGGATCCTGGGCCGTGAATTAGCCCTAACCGTTACGTGGATAAGGAGACGTAAAAATTACGTTTTTAAAAGGACGTAAAAATGCCATTTTATTATGGACGTATAGGTTTTGTTTCCACTTGTACTTATTAGTTACGTTTTTTTAAATAAAACTACCACTTTGGAAATATTTTTTTTTTATTAAAATAAATTATAAAAATAAAACATAATAATTATTATTTTTATTATTTTTACCAGACTAATTATTAGTCTGGTAAAAATAATAAAAATAAAACGTACCGCCTAATTAATTTTCGGCCTCATTCTCATGTCCAAATTTGGCCAAAAAACGTTATGAGCGTTGCTTGGCGGTTTGGAACAACTCCTTGCTCTCTTTATCGAAATCACTTTCAGTCAGACGAAATAATTTCATACTGGCTTCTAAAACAAACATTAATAACTTAAGTTATCTAAGTATACTTAATAATTATAATTAAGTATATAAAACTTTTATAACTTGCCTGTCGCTCGGCGCAAAATTTGTCTCCCATGTTCACTGGTGTATTAACTGAAAAATCAAATTGATTAAAAGACTTTTCTTTAAGTCTAACAGCATTGATTAATATTAGGTATACCTAATATTAATCAATGTATACTTCTCACTCAACGCTAACATTTAAATCAACAAAATTCGATAACCACTAATAGCGCCATCATGGACAATTAATTAATTATATTATAACTGTATGGTTGCAAACAAATGATAAAGCCAACTTACCTAAACCGTTCAGTCTCGCCTATGGAGAACAATGCGTTTTCTATCACACAGCAACAAATAGCAACACACTGTGTTGAACACAGAACAATGGCAGTCGCAACGCAAACAGAGTATGCCTGTTACAGGGCCCCTTTTATACCGATATATCGACTGGAAACGAAATTACCCGAGTCCTTTTTTACGTAAATTTTACATAAAATATACGTTTCTTAATCTCACTATGCGATAATAATAGAATAATTATTATTTTATAAGCGGTAATATTAATTAATAAATCACTCTGGGATTTATAATAAGTCATTAAAATAATAATTGTACCTACTTACATTGGTTTGGTTTAATCTAAAATTATGAATTAAATTTGGTATTTAATTATACATATACATATACATATTAAGTATACACTCAAATTTCCAACAAAAATGTAAATGTGGCATATATTTTAATGTTTATCATTGGCAAACCTATCCCATGGAATGCATTCATATTTATATATATATATATATACTTTTTCTATGATATTTATCATGTGTCACATTGGTGACGTAAAATGTACGTTGTGTTTTGCACCTAATACGCTAAAGTAAAATAAAAGGCATAGACTGGACGGTATAGTGACGTGCTCGACAGCACCTTTTATTTTTTAGCGTAATTTTTACGTAAATTGAACATCACAAAAAAACGTAGTTAATGTGCCTTAAAATTGACAATTTTTAAACGTCACTGTGACATCACCACATCCAAAATGTTCAGTGGGGTGTTGCTGTTTTATAGTTCAAAAGTATAAGTTCATTAATTTGCTATTTAAAAACCGTGAAGTGTAATATCTCAGTAATTACTTAAGTAGATTTTTTTTATAAATATTTTATGTATGTACAATTGTATTTTTAAAAAATATTAAGGTGTAAAGATACAATAACTTAAATATACAAAGGGATGTTAAAAAAAACATACGACGGACATCTCAATATATTCACCCATATATAAGATATAATTTCGTATTACAATTTTTATTTAACCCACCAACGTATAACAATAACATATTTGGAAAGTTATTTAACAACAAATATATTCCAAGACACGTTTATACCCATTATGTTTCAGATCACTTACCGTTTACTATGTAACACGCTTTCAAAATTTCTGGGTAGTTTGCTTCATACATCTGAATTAGGGATATAACTACCTCGGCAGCTTAAAATAAAAAAATAATATTTTTATATTGCATAGGACAATATATTTGTTTTTTGGTACTGGGTATTATGTAATGTTTATAATTAATAACGAACGTCAATGTTTTTTTCTGCTTGTAATTGGTTTGCTAAATAAATAAAAAAGTTGATGCTATAAAAAAAATTAATTGGTTTCAAAAACATGTTTGGTAACAACATAAAATCTATTTATTAAAACTAAAATTAAAAATATTATTATTTACCTGGTCTCCAGGCATATTGCCTCAAATTAAAATCTTCCATATCAAAAACAACAACTACCTGTCTAGCGCCAGTTTCTTGCGCCATTTCTAAATTGTACTCCAGCACTTGTATGGTAGTTCTTACCAAATCTTGCCGGGAAACTGAATTTAAAAGACCTATTATATCCAAACCAGCGAAAGGTACAACGATTACTATAAAAAAACATTGATTATAATATTTAGAATTTAATTATTATTATTATTAATATATACCGGGTGCTCCCTCTCTATCGGTACCACAGGTACCACTTGGATGGTAGAGCGCTACAGCTTCAGGAGGATTCCATGTTTTTAGAGCTCCATCTACCTCCCATTGGGTCCTCCATTTCATAGACTAAAAAAAATGTAAATAAACATAACAATTTCAAAGCTTTTTTGTGCTCGAACAATACGTTACACAAAAAAATTATAGGGACATAAATTGTAGGTTTTTTTCTTATCTTTAATTTAATAAAGAATAAATTTTCCCGTAAAAAGCTTACTTTCCAAGTTACAAGCCAATATGTTAGTTATGTTCGTAATGCTACCTGTAGTCTTCCTTATTACCTTTTTGTGCTAATGCAAACAGAAACTACTTAAGATTTTCTCTTTCGTCAACTTACATTTCTCAGCATTTTTTCCGCCGCTTCGGGATTCCAAGATCGAGCTGCAAAAACATGAAATAATTACATAAGTTCAATCTTATGTAAGCGGTCAAAGAAAAGGAAATAAACCAAAATAAATCTTCGAGTTATTTAACAAAATGTATGGGTATCAAATCTAGCGCAGACGTAAATTTTAGTTGCACAACTCAAGTGAATGGACATGTTATAAGATTAGAACGGTACTGGCTACAAATGGTGTACCTATACCATGCAATACAGAAAGTAAATTATACACGTTTATATATAAAAAATGTATACATTTTTTCCAAAATCATATTTTAAACAAAATAAAAATAGTATTATGTACTACTTCATCAAAAAAAATGTCCCATTGGTTTTTCCCTTAAAAAATGGTACTTATGCTGAAGACCTTAATTAAATGTCAAATTGACAGTAATATTTATTATTTATAATTTACTTGTTAATTATTACATAATATCGATATAAAAAGATAACTATGCCAAAAATAATATCGGATTCTAAAGTGCAAAACTTCATTTCGATGAAAAAATTCTTTTCAAATAAAATACACCCACAGGCAAAATAATCGATCCTCACAAATTTTCGATGAATTTCAATCACAAATAACTTTTTTATTTGATGTCGGATTTAAACGAGTTTTAAAGAATATTGTAGATAAATAAATGGACAATCGCCCACATTTTAAAAAATTACTAAAAAATTGACGTACGTTTATAATATAGAGGTTTAAACAAAAAGATGTTTTTTACAATAAGTTTAAGACACTCTGTAGAGTGGCAAAACCGTATATTGTTCTAAATTAAGTTTTATTTATTAAGTCACATATATTCTTAAATTTTTTTTTTTGGTTCACCTCGATATATTTATTTTTGTGGAAAATATGGATTTCTTTAGAAAACATTGCAATTTTCAATATTTTTCTGTATGAAGAATTAAGGTTGCTATGGTCCATCCATAGGCTATGGAGGATGACAGTGACAGTTTTGTTGAATCACTGTCACTGTCATCTTCCATAGGCTATGGATGGACCAAAGCAACCTTAGTTCTTCATACACAAAAAATATTGGAAATTGCAATGTTTTTTTTAAATATCCATATTTTCCAGAAAAATAAATATATCAAGGTGAACCAAAAACAAAACTGTTAAAAATAGATCTGACTTGATAATTAAAACTTAATTTAGAACAATATACGGTTTTGCCACTCTACAGAGTGTCTTAAACTAAAAAACATCTTTTTGTTTAAACCTGTATATTATAAACGTACGTGTATTTTTTAGTAATTTTTTAAATGTGAGCGATTCTCCATTAATATATCTACAATATTCTATAATATTTGTTTAAATCTGAAATCAAATAAAAAAGTTATTTGCCATTGAAATTCATCGAAAATTTGTGTGGATCGATTATTTTGCCTGTGAGTGTACTTAAATAAAAGATACATTGATATAAATTACCTCTAAGCCATCTAAGAAGGAAATGGTCGTCATGGTTAGGTTGAGCAATATCCATTACGCTTCTTCTAAACTGCAAAAAAAATAAGTGGTTAGAATTTGTTTATTTCAATTGAGATAATAATTGTTGCATAAAACATTGTTTCTTTTGACAGATAAAACTCAAGGTTGCCAAAAACCATGTTGGAAGATGAAGTAGAACCCCACGAAACGAATAAAATAGAATTAAGGGAAGTTATAGTTGCCGATAGGACCGATAGCGATTCATCAAGAGACGAAAGGTAAAGTTGGGAGGTTAAACCAAAAATGCTGATTTAATTGACAATCCCTTAGTTCTTCTTCAGATGAAGATCAGAAATATGAAAGACCAAAAATCGATCTTCCACCAGAATACTGGCACATACAGAAGCTGGTAAAATACATCAAAACTGGAAATCAGTCTGCAACAGTTGTAGCCTTGTGTTGCTTGAAAGATCATGATCTATTAGATGAAATGAATCAGCTGGCAATTCAAGTAAAAAATACTTCTAAAACATTACCTTTTTTTAAACTGAATTACCTATATATAGGATGTAGGAGGAGTAGAAACACTAGTAAATCTACTAGAAGGAAACGACTTGAAATGTAAACTAGGTACCTTAAGCGTTCTAACTCAACTATCCCAGACTGAAGATATCAAAAAAGTGATCACCAATCTTGGTGGTGTAGACTTACTGGTGAAAAATTTATCCGAACCTGCCAGAGACCTTCAAATTTTGACAGCAGAGACCATACATAATGTAGCACAGATCAAAAAAGCCAGAAAGCATGTCAGAAGATACGGAGGTATACCAAAACTCGTTGATTTTTTGGACATCAGCGAAACGTATCTGCAAACTCCAGCTGATCAACTGACACCTGACGAAGTGGAGATAGTCAACATAGCAAAAGCCGGAGCCAGAGCCCTATGGTCTCTATCTAAGAGCAGGAAGAATATCAAAATTATGATGAAGAGTGGGTGTGTGCCCTTATTGGCTAGACTACTAAGGTAGGTCCTGTCTACCCAGAGAACCATGTTTTGGGAAAGAAATTAGTCAACTTTAGACTTAAGTAGATCTATTTTTGGCCAACTTTCTTTGTAATGAAGTTGGTCGAAAATTAGCTAAGCCAGGTGTTGAATGTTAACGTTAGCAACCAAGGGAATTCTTTTAAGGTCTGTTCACATAGATGTAGTTATTCCCACAACAGGCACCATATCAATGTGCGCTGGAGATCCCTCATATCAATTGGCCATCCAAACTGAAGGCATGATTAAGGACATAGTTAAAAACTTAACTGCGGAGGTAAGTATTAACAAAGAAGAAATATTGGTAATCTTAATATAACATTTTAAGGACTACCCGGTGCTAAGACAATACTGCGCGGAATCTATATTTCGTTGTGCCCAAGATCCAATCATCAGAGATCAGGTTAGGCAGTTTGGAGGTTTAGATCCATTGGTGAAGATGCTAACGAACCCAGAAACGAAGGAAGATGCCCAATTGAAAGCTGCTGTTACTGGGGCGATATGGAAATCTGCTGTTAGCACTGCCAATGTGGAGAGACTGGATCAGCTTGGATGTGTAAATGTAATACCTTAATTATATCTACCAACAAGATATATGACATATTTCCCAGCATCAAAAGAAAACACAAAGTGCTTAAAGTACTTTTCGCCAAGGATGTTGGCATCTTCAGAAGCGAAGTGAAACTGGTTACATCGTTGGCGAAAAGTACTTTGTGTTTTGTTTAACATATCACCAAAGGTTTGTTCAATGAGTGGACTGGCAAAAAATCATTTTATTTATTCAATAGATCCAGCGATCTTCTCACATTTTGATGCCTTTCACTTCTTCATTTTGATCTCCCGATAGGATTTTATAGACTTTTCGGATGATGTTGCCTTATTTGCGTATTTGTTATTTACTCGTAGGTTTTGGTCAACATCCTGGAAAACATAGACGAAGATGAAAGAGTGTTAAGCAATTCGGTTGGTGCTTTGTGTGAGTGCCTCAAATTTGAGCACAACCGAGAAACTTTGCGAAGAGCCAACGGTATTCCACACTTGGTGAACTTGTTGAATTACACGTATCCGCCTCTGTTAGAGAATGTGCCCATGGTGCTAAGAGAGTGCGCTCAAGATGAAGCCTGCATGAGGATTATTGAAGATTTAGACGGGGTCAGATTGATCTGGTCTTTGTTGAAAAACGATTCTCCTGCGGTAAGTTCCCAGGTAGCTGACGTTTATATGACGTTTATATGATGTCATTTAAACATCATATAAACGTCATATAAACGTCAGCGAACGTCCTTTGGTATTAGCTTATCAAATCAATCAAATTCTTAGGTGCAAGCCAATGCAGCGTGGTCTTTGGTGCCTTGCATCCAAAACGCGACCGATTCGGGCGAGATGGTTCGTTGCTTTGTCGGGGGTTTGGAGCTGATAGTGAACCTGCTCAAGTCGAAAGACAATCGTGTTTTGGCGTCGGTTTGCGCAGCCATAGCGGAAATAGCGAAAGATATTGAAAATCTGGCCGTTATAACTGATCACGAGGTGGTTCCGTTGCTCGTGAACCTCGTCAACACGGATTGCGTGGAGCTAAGGGAGCATTTGGGTTCCGCAATTGCTTACTGTTGCGCTTGGGGGTCCAACTGCAAACTGTTTGGAAGGTAATCACAAAATGCAACCCCAATGTCCATTCTTGAAAAATGACAACTTTGGGGATATGTAAAGTACTTTTTGCCAACGATTTTGGCATCTACAGAACCCATACAGCACAAGATGTCCATTGGACGTCAAATGGACTTACATTGGACGTTTGGATGTACAATGGTCGTCCGCTGGACGTACAATGGATATATGTGCTGTCTGGGAAGCCAGAGAACCATTATTGACATATTTTAGACTTGGTAGAGTTATTTTTGCCATGCCCAAACATTCCCAAAATTAAACCAACGGTAAACTACCAATCTTAACCCAAACTGCTTTTGCATATTGTTGGCCATCGCGATTGCACAAAAATCATAGGAGTATTAAGTTCTATATTGTATATTTATTGGCCAAAGGTGATTTCTTTTAATGTTCATTACTTATGTTCTGTGATTTATAGATTGGGCGCCATAACACCTCTAGTCCAATTCATGAGCGATCAAGATCCCAGTGTGCACAGGACTACAGCCCTGGCACTCTACCACTTATCCAAAAACTCTTTCAACTGCATCACAATGCATGAGAGCGGTGTTGTGCCCTTCCTTTTAAAGGCAGTTTCATCGACTGATTATGCTTTGCAGGAAGCTGCTGCAAACTGTCTTGCCAACATAAGAAAGCTAGCTTTGAAAGCTGAAACGACTCACTTGATCAGAGACAATGATGATGATGATTTTGGGGATGAAGATGACTATATGTGATTTTTCTTTAGGTATATTTTATTATTATTATTATTATATATAAAGTTCATTGTACAATATTACTAAATATATTAAATATGAATACAATGTCTGTTTCTTCTAGAGGTCAATGAACCTTCAATATTTTTTCCACATAAAAACAGTAGGTAATTTGATCTTGCGCCAATTTCAATTTATAAGCGAATTAGAATCTCTCAGATACCTTTCACTTAATTTCTCACCTCACGAATTTGCAATAATTGCTTTGGGTAAGTAATTTTATTGGCATTAAAATTTATTTTATTACTTAACAGTATAGTAAAGTTTCATCTAAATGTTTTATTTTATTTGTCTTTTAAAATTCAAGGTAGTCTATCTCATTAATAATTATTAATTGTTTACAAAAACAAGCAAATGTCTTTGGGTTAAATTATAAAAACTTGCAAATATATTAAAGATTTTAATTTTAAATTTAAACATCTTATAACTAACCGAAAAAATATTTGTTGTATGTGAATGTAATTTTTTTAAATTAATAAGCATTTAATTGAAACCATTAAATTTAAATTATTTCCAAAAGAGGGTCAGTGGCACTGACTTTTATTTGATAGAAAGTTTTTTTCCAACAAATTTAAACTCACCTTTTTTAGGGGCAATATTTATTTATTATTTGGTTACTCCATTATGAAAAATTTCTTCTATATTACAATTTGTTTTCAAGATTAAAAAATATTGCAAAAGATTATTAATTTGATAGTGAATTGACAGACCAATAGGCAACATTTTATAAACTATGATTACAAATCAAATATAGCCCTAGTTTTTTTTTTATAAAACTTATATTTTAATATATCAAATCAGTTATTATTATCAGTTACTTAGGTAGTTTAATATGCAAGAGAAATTTAATTAACTGCAAAATTATTTCTTAATTATTTTTATAAATTGCCAATAAATTTAATTAAATATTATTTTATACTGGTTTTTAAATTTATGGGGCAAGTTTAAATACACTCACAGGCAAAATAATCGATCCACACAAATTTTCGATGAATTTCAATCGCAAATAACTTTTTTATTTGGATTCGGATTTAAACAAATATTAAAGAATATTGTAGATACATTAATGGACAATCGCTCACATTTTAAAAATTACAAAAAAATACACGTACGTTTATAATACACAGGTTTAAACAAAAAGATGTTTTTTACCATAAGTTTAAGACACTCTGTAGAGTGGCAAAACCGTATATTGTTCTAAATTAAGTTTTAATTATTAAGTCACATCTATTTTGAACAGTTTTGTTTTTGGTTCACCTTGATATATTTATTTTTGTGGAAAATATGAATTTTTTTTAAAAACATTGCAATTTCCAATATTTTTCCTGTATGAAGAACTAAGGTTGCTATGGTCCATCCATAGCCTATGGTGAGTGACAGTGACAGTTTTGTTGAATCATCTCATACTTGGACATGTCATATACAGCTTTCAAAAGGTATCAAATTGTATTTTGTAAATTAATGTGTTAATTTTGAGGTGTCTTCTTACTTTTAAAAATGTCTCCGACTGATGTTGCCCTTTGTACTTTACTTCTTGTGACGTTTAAAACACTTGCCACGTAATACTGTGACCGTCCATCCTGGATTAAATTAATGGCTCTGGCAACATCAGTCGGAGACATATCCATTTTTTAAATTAAGAAGACACCTCAAAATTTAAACATTAATTTGCAAAAAACAATTTGATAGCTTTTGAAAGCCGTGTATGACATGTCCAAGTATGGGATGATTCAACAAAACTGTCACTGTCATTCTCCATAGCATATGGATGGACCATAGCAATCTTAGTTCTTCATACAGAAAAATATTGGAAATTGCAATGTTTTTTTAAAAAATCCATATTTTCCACAAAAATAAATATATCGAGGTGAACCAAAAACAAAACTGTTAAGAATAGATGTGACTTGATAAATAAAACTTAATTTAGAACAATATACGGTTTTGCCACTATACAGAGTGTCTTAAACTTATGGTAAAAAACATCTTTTTGTTTAAACCTGTATATTATAAACGTTCGTCTATTTTTTGTAATTTTTTAAAATTTGAGCGATTTTCCAATAATTTATCTACAATATAGTTTATTATTCGTTTATATCCGACATCAAATAAAAAAGTTATTTGCGATTGAAATTCATCGAAAATTTGTATGAAATTATAAACAAATAAATATTCACTAAAACATAAAAAAATTATTTATAAACATTATTATTTACAAATAAAACGCAATCTTTAAAAGCGATAAAAACAAGCATAAAAGTCATTTGTTTGCAAAGGATATTATACATAATTGAGCAACAAAACTACAGGTGGATAATTTCTTTTATCCTCAATAATTTTTAACATTTTATGGCGTTAAATTGCCCAATACATTTAAACCAATTTAAAATTTAAGAAAACTAAATTGCATATTACAATATATTCGACCTAGACTTAAGCGTGTTGTAAGGTTTGTTGTCATTTTTATTAATGTTTAATTCATCATAAGGTTATGTTTTGTGGACAGTTTTCTATTGTATTAAATATGTTCTTCGGAAAGAAATGTTAATTTATATTTAATATGTAGCCATAAAGTTTTAAGGTTGTAGATATTAATACTTTATGGTTTATTTAATTGCAAAGTGTCTGGTGGGAATTAAAATTATAATTTACCTCCCAACTTTCTAACTTAATTTTATTGTTTTTTAATTAAATTACGTAAAATACGAAATATAATTAATTTTTGTGTTTTGCAAAATAACAATTAATATTTTTTTAATTTTTAGGTTTACCTGGTAAATAATAACTTTAATTTGAATAATTTAGGTGAACAAATTTGTATGATACAACATGTTGTTAAACTAATTCGTGCCTGGGATTAAAAAATCGACCTGAATTAATAGGATGATTTATATGCATATTATAAATACTTTCTATTTTTTATGTGCCTCTTAATAGTGTTGCAAAAATTGACAGTTAATATAAGTAATTTTTTAATACTTTAATACCTAATAAACACCTATAGACATAATTCAAAGTCAACAATACATATTCAAATATTTATGTTTTATAAGTTAAGTTTTATGGATTTTTTTCAATAAATAAAAAAAAATGGTAAACATGATTTTTTATTTAAATTAATTTTTACATTATTTAAAAAATATATTAGTAATTAATACTTACCTTCATCAACATAAATTTCTTATCATCCTCCAAAACAATTTTCGCAGGCGATTTTCCTGACATTCTGTAATCCCTAAATCTGTAATATATCTAAACAAAATAGTTAAAATCACGCACGATATCGCGAGTTGACTTTTATAAGAAGATACGCGTTTTCTCGCTCTAAACAAGGGAGTGTAAATAAATAATAGTCTTGTTTGGTTGAACTGCTATAGCCTAGCGAATAACCTTGTCCGAATAAAAAAAACGAAGCGTTATCTAGGGTGGGGAACTAGAATCATGGTTGTTAGAAAGGTAGGCAACTTACAAACAAGTTTGTGTATTTTTAATAGAGGAATTGTAACAGCTGATTGAGAAGTCAACCACTGATTTATCTGGTCTCCAATTATTAATAATAGTTTATTTGTTATAAATTATGTATAATTTATAATAGGTACTTTGTAGTTTGTAGAAATGATATGTATTTTTTTGAATTTTGCTTTGTAAACATATTATTTGTGAAAATATTTATTTTTTTGAGTAAATTGATGTTTTAGTATTTTTTAAAACTAAAATTTTAAATCAATATTTTTTTAATTTAAAATTATATATCTATTTATTAATAACTAAAATACAATTTAATCAAATATTTTTGCAAAACACTATGAATACATTAATAATAATTATTAAAAATAAAAAAATTAAATTGTAAAGCTAAAAAAGTGTATTTTTTCAATATACCTTTTTTAACATTTGTATAGATAAAGTACTATTGTTAAAAACAAATAGTGATTTTTTATGCCCAAATAATTAAATAAAGCGCCTTAAGCTGTAAAAATTGTGTTTTCTGGTGGGGAACACGATTTAACACCAGTACACTAGTGGGTATGGAATGTGGAATTTTTATAAAAATAATTTTATGGAGACATTAGTTTTTTTGTGTTGTCAGTGTTTTTTTTTGTTTTTTTTTTGTGTTGTCAGAATTTTTAAAAACATTAGTTTGCTTTTGAATATTTTTTTTTGGGTTAATTTTTTTTCAAAAAATTCCACAACCCAGGAATTTTTTGCAACGTTGCCAAATTTATAAAAAAAAATCCCAGAATTTGTGATTTTTGCAAAATCTCAAGGATACCTTCAGTAAGTTAATATTGCACTATTTAGCTGTGTTGCCAAATTTATATATATATGTATATATACTTATGTGTATATACTTTTATTTTACAAACATTTTTTTTGCCAAAAATTCAAAAAGACAGGTTTTTTGTTTTTTGCGGTTTTGACAAATTTCAAAACAATCTTAAAACTTACATTTTTTTTAAATTATGGTTATTAAATATTATTAAAACAATTTCAAAAAGTTACTTGATCAACAGAACCATTTCATGGTTCTGGATGCGACATTGAAAATTATTTCCATCAAAATTAAAACAAACCTAATAATATCCGTTACACACCACTTACTTAAAAACACAATTTCGGATGTTATTATAATATAAAAACCTCAAATTCGTTATGCTCATAATAGTTATTCGCCTATAAAATACAAATTACTCACCGGATACTAAAATTTGTGATTATTAACACGTAGGATATTATTTTTATTATCGTATTAAAAAATTCAAAACATGGCGCGCTATGAATCATTTGAAACGACCAATTAGATAAGAGTTTGTGGCCAATACCGAACGCTACCGGAAATGGTCGAAATAAATAAAAGAATTTAACCTTAAAATTTGTAATAGTTGCTTATATTTATTTGAAGTTCTTGAAGTGATACACTTTAGTGTGATCCTAGATATCTTTGATTGTGATTGGAGAAAGTGTGAAGTTACATTAAGATGGTAATCTACAAATTTTTAGATATGATTTGTGTTTGTGTGTTAATAAAATTTTTACTGTTGTTGAATTTCCGGAAATGTTTATTTATATATCCATAATAATTCGCCATTAAATTAGCAGCACTTTTAATAGATCCTACTTAATCTTATAACTTTTTAAAGTAAACATAATGATACTAAAATAAACAATTCTCCTTTTATGTTTTGTTTACATTTAAAAACGCAGATTAACCTTGTTTGATGAGAACTTAATGATTTTATTTTAGATACTTAATTTAATAAGCGTAAATTGTTACAGGTTTTCAATAACTTATGTCTGTTTGGAGTACAAACTCAGTAAGCCTCGAATTGGGCAATAATACTGGAAACCATAGGCTTAACTTTAGCAATACAAAAATTTACAACAGAAATCATAGGGTGAGTTTTTTAGTATTATTCTTATCATGTTGTGACTCTTATCACAAAAATTAACATATGTTTTCAAAAGCACTTTGCATGAAATTATATAAAGTTTTGTACTAAAAGCAAATGAAACGAAGTAATTAGCACTTTTTCCCCATTAAATATTTGCCATTGCTATACAATTGCTTAATCAAATGATGATTTGACCTTTGTTTTATACTGCACACATCTTGTAGGTTATGGGCATTTTTTGGCAAAACAAAACAGTTGAAATCCACAAGCTAAAAAATGCCCATATTTGTCATTGGCTGGATTTTAATTTGTTTCCTAAATATTTGCAGAAAATTCAGAAGGTTTCCATGAACCCCCACTAAAAAGAACCAAACAACTGAATTTAAAGTAAAACTTCAGATAGAACCCCCCCACCTAAGCAAATGTTTTATTTTTTTGAAAAAAATACATTTAAAGATCGAAATGTAAGTACTTTTTGTTAAATGTTTTAAATTTGTGTTTATCATTTGCATGTATAGATTTTGGAGTAAAATGTTTTCCCCTTTAGTTGATAAACATACCTACTTAAACTTTTTTTTATTGTAAGCTAATTAGGTTTAAACCTTTACCAAAATATATAAAGTTACACTTTTTTTTATTAAATTATACATTAAAAATTATCAAATTAAATTTGTAGTAGGAAACATGAAAGTTTTAAGTCACTTTGTAGAATTAGTTGCATAACATTTCCATTTCAAGAGTGTAAATAAGAATGTTAGCGTTTTTAATTTAAAAAAGTTCTTTTTTGCTAATGCAAACCCCTACCAATTGGCCTAAAAGTGTCAAATTATTTTTTTGTTGACCAATGGTGTGAGTGGGCCAAAAAATTCAATTATTTTTTTTCTGTAAAGTATATTAAAAATATTGTTTGGGGTGACAAAAAAAGTCCATAATAATAATAATCGCATTTTTTTTCCTGAGCGAGTTTTTGTCTCAGAACTCCCAAACCATTGAGTTTAACAAAATTGACTTGAAAATATTTTATGAAGGAAATTGAATGCTCTATAAAAAAAGTCTCTTAACATTTTTAGCTAAATTCACTCAATCAAAAGTTATTCAAGGTTAAAGTTGAAGTCAAAAGGAAATTCTTGTTTTTTCCTATGTAGATTTATTTTTTATGGATGATAATTTGATTTTACTTTATAAATGTGTATTATATAACTAGTGAATAATTTCCAATAAAAAAACAACATGATTGTTATTATTTTAACGATTAAACAGTGAAAATGATATTTTCTAAAGAAAATAGCTTCTTAAAGCTAAAAAATTTGAATTTGTTATAATTTTTTTTAATTTTCAGTAATTTTATCAATAACATAAAGATTATCATCGATAAAAAAATTCAAGTTTTTAACTAATCCAAAAAAAAATCTGCTGCAGAAAAAACAAGAATATCGTTTTGACTTCAACTTTAACCTTGAATAACTTTTGATGGAGTGAATTTAGCCAAAAATGTTAGGAGACTTTTTTTTTAGATCATTTGATTTCCCATAAGAATATCTTTCGGTTTTTTTCGGGTAGTGATTTTTATATGAATTACAAAATTCCAAAGTTAAAAGATCAAATTGTAAAACTATACCAATTTTAAAGCATGATTGTAAGGAAACGGTTCATCTGACGAAAAATTTCAATCTAACCTTTTTTGTAGAGTATTCAATTTCCTTCAAAAAATATTTTAAGTAAATTTTGTTAACCTCAATAGTTTAGGAGTTTTGAGACAAAAACTCGCTCAGGAACAAAACATCTAAAATTGCGATGATAGACCTCTTAAAATTAATATTATGGACTTTTGTCCCCCTAAACAATATTTTTGATATACTGTACAAAAAAAATTATTACAGTGCAAGATGTCTGATCACGGCAATGACTTCAACACGCCCAGATATGTGTCGTGGAAAAAGTTGCACCTGTCCAGGGCAAAATTAAAGGCCTCTAGCAAAACGTCAGCACTTCTAGCTGGTTTCGCTATGGTGGCCATGGTGGAACTTCAGCTGCAACCTGACAGCCAAGTCCCATCGTCTGTTTTGGTGGTGTTCGCGATAATTACCACACTTCTGGTGGCAGTGCACATGCTAGCCTTGATGATAAGCACTTGCATCCTGCCCAACATTGAAGCCATTTGCAGCCTGGACGCTATCAACTTGGTGGAGGAATCTCCGCACGAAAGATTGCACTGGTATGAAAAAATATACATTTTCTCAAAGCGGATGAAATTATCTAACTTTTGATATGAATATTTTTTAAATTGGGTGAAAAATAACAAAGCTACAGACTTCCAAAGTTGTTGCTAATTTTAAAACTTAAAAATTGACACGATTTTATATTTCGTGGATTATCTCGAAAAATTAGAACTGTGGCTATTAAGATATTTACATTTTCTTAAAGTGGATACAATTATCTAACTTTTGATATAATTATTTTTAAAATTGGGTAAAAAATAACAAAAGTACAGAGTGTTAAAGTTGGTCTTAATTTTTAGAGAACCAAAATTGACACGACTCGATATTTTGAGGATAATCTCGAAAAATTAGTAGTGGGGCATATTAAGATGTTTACATTTCCTTAAAGAGGATGAAATTATCTAACTTTTGATATAAATATATTTTAAATTGGATAAAAAATAACAAAGCTACAGACTTACAAAGTTGTTGCTAATTTTAAAACTTAAAAATTGACACGATTTTATATTTTGTGGATAATCTCGAAAAATTACCAGTGGGGCATATTAAGATGTTTACATTTTCTTAAAGTGGATAAAATTATCTAACTTTTGATATAATTATTTTTAAAATTGGGTGAAAAATAACAAAACTACAGAGTGTTAAAGTTGGTCTTAATTTTAAGAGAACCAAAATTGACAATATTTTATATTTTGCGGATAATCTCGACAAATTATTTGGGGGGCATATTAAGATGTTTAAATTTTATTAAATAGGATAAAATTATCTAACTTTTGATATAAATATTTTTTAAATTGCGAAAAAAATAACAAAACAACACAACTGTCAAAGTTGGTGTTAATTTTAAGGTAACTAAAGTTGACACGACTTTATAATTTGTGGATTATCTCGAGAAATTAGTACTGTGGCGTATCAAGATATTTACAATTTCTTAAAGTGGATAAAATTATCTAACTTTTGATATAAATATTTTTCAAATTGGGTAAAAAATAACAAAACTACCAAGTGTTAAAGTTGGTCTTACTTTTAAGAGAACCAAAATTGACACGACTTGATATTTTGAGGATAATCTCGAAGAATTAGTACTATGGCTATTAAGATATTTACATTTTCTTAAAGAGGATAAAATTATCTAACTTTTAATATAAATATTTTATAAATTGGGTGAAAAAAAAAACAACAAAACTACAGACTGTCAAAGTTGGTGTTAATTTTAAGGTGACTAAAGTTGACACGACTTGATATTTTGCGGAAAATCTCAAAAAATTAGTAGTGGGGCATATTAAGATGTTTACATTTTCTTAAAGAGAATAAAATTATCTAACTTTTGATATAAATATTTTATAAATTGGGTGAAAAATAACAAAACTACAGAGTGTTAAAGTTGGTCTTATTTTAAGAGAACCAAAATTGACACGACTTGATATTTTGCGGATAATCTCGAAAAATTAGTAGTGGGGCATATTAAGATGTTTACATTTTCTTAAAGAGCATAAAATTATCTAACTTTTGATATAAATATTTCTTAATTTGGTTAAAAAATAACAAAACTACAGACTGTCAAAGTTGCGGTTAATTTTAAGGGAACCAACATTGGCAAGACTTTATGTTTAACATTCTTTGCAGGTACATAGAGACCGCTTGGGCGTTCTCCACCTTGCTAGGGCTGCTGTTGTTTCTGGCGGAAATTGCGATTCTGTGTTGGGTCAAATTTTACGATATCAACAAAACGGCGGCCTATTCCGCATGCATCATTCTGATACCGATTTTGTTTATTTTTCTCGGTTTCGCCATACACTTTTACAGGTCTTTAGTGGCTCACAAATACGAAACGACGATGTCGGGGATAAGGGAGTTGGAAAAACTTAAGGAACAGATCGAGCAGGGCGATATGGACCATTCCAATGGCATAAACGACCTAATTTCCGGAATACACGTAGTTTAGTCGTTAATACGAGGCTGTGTTTTTTAGTGACAAAAGGTTTTACTTAAGAGAAATTATCTCGGTTTTATTTGAGATTTTGGGTGCAATGGGGATGTTGGGAATATTAAAAGCGACTGAAAAAAAACAATTAAAAAAAAATAAACTTTGTTGTGTTTGTTTGTTCATTTGTCTTCGGGAAAATGCACGGTTTCTGTGGGATAAAACCCGTAACGCAACCACGTGTAACCTGGGTTGCCTACATTCCTAGTTGTGTGCGTACTTATTATTAGTTGTTTTTTTCGGTTATGCATTTTCCTAATTACTTAATTTTCATATATTTTTATATAATAACCAAAACATTAATGCATTTTTGCTTGCAAATCTCATTATATTTATTTTATCTTCTTAATAATTTAGCAGTTTTACTAATACTACATATAAAGACTGCATGGGTATAATAATTAAAATAATCAGTGTCTTAAAAGATGTTAAAGGGTCAATAAAACTACTAGGTACTAAATTTCTGTTAAATAATTTTAAGCTGTGATTTAATATTAGTTTCCAAGATTAATATATGTATTTTATAAATATGTTTACAAAGTAAATGTAATAAAGCATATTTTTACTAAATGACGTTGCTATCACTTTCCAACATATACCATGTAGTCAGCGACATGTCGGTAATACTATTGTTTTTTACGCAAGCCTGTAGGGCAGTGTAAGTCGGGCTTTGCATCAGATTCGTCATGTCGCGAATTAAAACGTCATCGTCACGTAATTCAGCCTAAAAATAATAAAAGTTATAAAAATTAGCCTTAAAGTTATAAGAGAACTAAAATTGACACCACTTTATATTTTGCGGATTATCTCGAAAAATTAGTACCGTGGCTATTAAGATATTTACATTATCTTAAAGTGGATGAAATTATCTAACATTTGATATAAATATTTATCAAATTGGGTGAAAATTAACAAAACTATAGACTTCCAAATTTGTTGGAAATTTTAAAAATTAAAAATTGACACGACTTTTTATTTTCTGGATTATCTCGAAAAATTAGTATTGTGACGTATTAAGATATTTACATTATCTTAAAGTAGATGAAATTATCTAACAATTGATATTAATATTTTTTAAATTTAATAAAAAATAACAAAGCTACAGACTTCCAAAGTTGTTGCCAATTTTAAAACTTAAAAATTGACACAAATTTATATTTAGTGGATTATCTCGAAAAATTAGGACCGTGGCTATTAAGATATTTACATTTTCTTAAAGTGGATGAAATTATTTAACATTTGATATAAATATTTTTCAAATTGGTTAAAAAATAACAAAAGTACAGACTTCCAAAGTTGTTGCTAATTTTAAAACTTAAAAATTGACACGACTTTATATTTTGTGGATAATCTCGGAAAATTAGTAGGTATAATTGAGTAACCAAAATTAACTGAACATTTTGAATTGCGAATCTAGTTGGATCGGTGCTGGTTTGTCTAAACGGTATATCCTTCATGGTGCTAAAAACGCAATAATTTTCTTTCCAAATTCCTTCCTGCATTTGTCCAGAATCCAAGTGGAAATAAAGACCTTCCCCGTGTTTTAAATCGTCAAACCATTTTCCTTCATATCTATTTCCATTTGAGCACACAAACATACCTAAACCTTGCCTTACATCCTTAAACCAATCACCTGAAAACAGGTTTGTAGCGCGCCAAGAATATTTTTTAAACACTAACCGCTATAAAACGAGTCATCTGCGTACCATATTTGCCCAAAACCGTGTCTTTTCCCCCTCCGAAATTGCCCTTTATAAAAGCTACCATCCGGGTAGACTCTAAGTCCATCTCCGTCCATAAGTCCATTTTTCCAGTCACCTCTGTACTCCAAACTGTAGACGTTGTTAATTGGTAACGGTAATTTTCCAGCTAGCACTCCAAACCCGTGTCGGTAGTTTCTTTCCATATCGCCCTCGTATAACTTACCGTGGGCCGTCCATATTATTCCCTTTCCTAAGGATTATGCGTATTTTTTTGCTGGTTATGAAATGAGGGACTTACCGCATTTTACATCGTCTTTCCAGTCTCCAATATACTTATCATTGGCAGAATTAAATATGGCATGTCTTAAACCCTGCCTATAGGTGGCCATTTCGATTTTTTTGGACCTGGGAGGTTCATTGGATCTTTTTTTAAGAAAAGGCATCCTCAAAACCTATCAATCCAGCGAAAACGTAAAAGTTTAATCGATAAATGCCGAACTTTCGCTGATTATCGACATGGATTTCTTATTTTTCATGCCAAATAACTTTTATAAAAGGATTTTATAAATAAATTGACATTTAATACGCAAATAACATTAAAATTTAACCTAATAAAATATTTTTACATATTAGTTAACTTTTCTATATGGTTTTGACAATTTTCAGATATATGGCAACACTGTATGTCTGTTATTTTGAATCGCCTAAATTTGTATAATAAATTGTATATTTAAGGTTAATTTTTGTTCAAATAAATATTTCAATAATATCCTGGGATTTTATAGTATAAATATTATTTGGAACGTAAACAAAGAATAATATTCTATATTATATCATGTTGACTTTTGTGACATTTCGTTCATGACTAAAGTCAAAGGCTTCTTGATTCGCGTTAAACCAATGAAACCGCTTAAAATCGAACGCAAACGTGCGTTGCCTAAAAGTTCGGTCAATGACCGAGATTCGAATTTAGCGGGTAAACTTTCGAACGCGGTCATGCGCAGTGCGTTTGCGGACCAAAACAAAAAATGGAGACACGTCAAAGAAAAAAGCGAAAAAGCCCTTCTAACGACATCATTTTCGAAGTGTGCGACAATGACATGTCTTCGGGAAACAGTTCCAATGACGAGGGCGAACCGGAACCGAAAATTTCCAAAATGGTGGAGAAGGAGGCTCAAAATACGAGTTCTAACCTAGAAAAAATCTCTGAGAGGATTCTTTCGGCGAAAAATGCGTGTAAAGAGGAGAAAATGGAAGGATGTGAGGATAGGAATTCTGCAATTCCTAACGAAGATGGTGTTTTGGAGGAATCTGTAGTGGACATAATCGAAAATGCGGATTCTATTTTGAGTATGGAGGAGGGCGAGTTAAATGAAGCTGTGCTACTTGAAAAGACGGTTTTATTGGAAAATGATGAAACTGTTTTGGTAGAGAATGAAAAAACGCAAATCCTTGATGAAAGCAAAAATGAAAATAATGTCGCCAATGTCAATGATTGTGACACTGCTATAAATGAAATGACTGAAACTATATCAATAACTTTTTCCAACAAAAATATATCAGACCTGTACAAAGATAAATTCATCCAATTTATCAAAAACTTTGTTGAATTTGATGTTCAGTCAGATGATTTATCGATTCAAATTTCCAAAGATCAATTTTTGAACCCCTCGGAATGGGTGGTCTTAGATGAAAGCTTATGCAAAGAAAATAAAGACATAAGTGTTGTTGATTTGGTCACCCCTGTTAAGAAGCACAAGAAAAAAAACAAGAGCAAAAAGAATCTAGATTTATTCATACTAGATACAACACCTTCAGAAGAAGACAGTGCAGTGCAAATGAAATACAATAGCAAGTTTTTGATTGACGCTAATGGAGGCGAAAAGGAGGAGGAAAAATTATCGAATGTTACCTGTTTTAATTGTGGAGGGGGTCACTCTTTGAGAGACTGTAACATTCCCAAAGATTTTGCTAAAATTAACGCCGCCAAAAAGAAGTACATGCAACCAAAAAACGCGTAAGTAAACTCAATTGATTATAATTATTTAATTATTCGTTTTTATATTAAATGAAAAGGTTTTATAAGAGGCCAAGGTACTGACCTGAGCTACCTTTAAAATCTTATTAATAAGTTGTATGTTTAATATATAAATATATAATTTTCCTGTGCATTAAAAACTTGAGCAATTGGAATCTTTTTAGCCGTTATCATTTGGAAGACGACCAGCGTTTTGGCCACATAGTGCCTGGCCAAATATCGGACAGTTTGAGGCATGCTCTTGGTTTGAACAAAAATCAAGTGCCTCACTACGTTTACTACATGAGGTTTCTCGGTTATCCGCCAGGTTGGCTTGAGGAGGCGAAATTCGTGCATTCCAATCTTGACATGTTTGATATTGATGGGAAAAACGTTCAAAACAAAAAATCCGCCAAAACTGGACTGGATCCGGACAAAATTGTGGAATATGTTGGATTTAATGCTCCTTTTGAGAAAGGATTTAAAGATGTAAGTGGAATTAAATTAATTTTGAGTTTTGGTTTTCTTAAAAATGTTACCAAGATTTTTTACCATTTCACATATTTTTGTGATTTCACATAATTTATTTAAAATTTTACTAGATTTTTTACTATTTCACATTTTTTATGACTTCACAGGTTTTCTTGAAAATTTTACTGATTTTTAACTGTATCACATATTTTTTTGATTTTACTAGATTTTTTACCATTTCTCATATTTTTGTGATTTCACAAGGTTTTCTTAAAACGTTACTGGTTTTTTTACTATTTCAATTATTTTTATGATTTCAGAGATTTCTTTAAATTTTGCTAGATTTTTTACTATTTCTCATATTTTTGTGATTTCACAGGATTTCTTTAAAATTTTACTGGATTTTCAACTATTTCTCAAGTTTTTGTGATTTCACAGGGTTTCCTTAAAATTTTACTTGGTTTTTTACTATTTCTCAAATTTTTTATATTTCAAATGATTTCTTTAAAATTTTACTGGATTTTCAACTATTTTTCATATTTTTGTAATTTCACAGGGTTTTTTTTTAAATTTTACAAGATTTTTTATTATTTCACATATTTTTGTGATTTCACAGAATTTCTTTACTGTTTCAATTTATGATATCAGATTTCTTTAAAATTTTGCTTTGCTTTTTTTACTATTTCTCATATCTATTTTTGTGATTTCACAGGATTTATTTAAAATTTTACTTGATTTTCAACTATTTCTCATATTTTTGTGATCTCACAGGGTTTTCTTTAAATTTTACTTAATTTTTACCAATTCACATATTTTTGTGATTTTACAGAATTTCTTTAAATTTTGATGGATTTTTTACTATTTCATATATTTTTGTGATTTCACGGGGGTTTCTTTAAAATTTTACTGGATTTTCAACTATTTCTCATATTTTGTGATCTCACAGGGTTTTTTTAAATTTTACTAGTTTTTTTTACTAATTCACATTTGTTTGCGATTTTACATAATTTCTTTAAATTTTACTGGATTTTTTACTATTTCTCACATTTTTGTGATTTCACAGGGTTTTTTTACTGTTTCTCATATTTTTGTGATTTTACAGAATTTTTTTAAATTTTACCAGATGTTTTACTATTTCTAATATTATTATTATTTCACGGGGGTTTATTTACAATTTCAATTTATGATTTCACAGATTTCTTTAAAATTTTACATGATTTTCAACCATTTCTCATATTTTTGTAATTTTACAGGGGTTTCTTTAAATTTTACCAGTTTCTTCCAAGTAAAATAATAGTAAATAATTGAAATAGTAAAAAATCAAGTAAAATTAAAAAATAAAACCTATTAATCGCAAAAATATGAGGAATAGTAAAAAATTCAGTAAAATTTTAAACAAATCCAAGGTTTTCTTTAAATTTTACTAGATTTTTTACTATGAGAAATTTTTGTGATTTAACAGGATTTTGTATTTCACATATTTTTATGATTTCAAAGGATATCTTTAAAATTTTACTAAATTTAAAAAAAAGTGAAATGGTAAAAAATCCTAATTTAACATTTCACATTGTTTTATGATTTAATTATTAATTTATTTCTTTAAAATTTTACTAGATTTTTTACCATTTTACAGGATTTCTTTAAAATTTTACTTGATTTTTCACTATTTTACATATTTTTATGATTTCAAAGGATTTCTTTAAAATTTTATGAGATTCTTTACCATTTCACTTTTTTGTGATTTTAAAGGATAACTAAAATTTTCCCAGAGTTTGTACTATTTCACATATTTTTGTAATTTCACAAGATTTCTTTAAAATATTACTAGATTTTTAACTATTTTTACAATTTCATTTTTTTTATGACTTTTAAGACTAGATTTTAACTTTTAAAATTTTTTATAATTCCAATGGGTTTTTGTCAACTTTTACCCAGATTTTTTACTCTTTCAGATATTTTTATGATTTTAAAGGATTTCTGTAAAATTTAACTTAACTTTTAATAACGTTTAACTTAATAACTTTACCTTGTTTTTGATTTTACACGATTTATTTAAAATTTTACCAGATTTTAACTTTAGCATGTTTTTATAATTCCAAGGGATTTGTTTAAAATTTTACTTGTTTTTTTTTAACTATTTCACATTGTTTTATGATTTCAAGGGATTTCTTTAAAATTCTACTAGATTTTTTACATTTTTTTTTACAAGGTTTTTTACAATCTTAAATTTTTTTACCGTTTCTTACAAGCTTCTACAAGATTTTCACTTTTTATGATTTTTCTAAACATCAAAAAACACTTATTTTGTATTTTATTGCAACAAGTTTATGGTAGGCTTTCTGAGACAAAAAACGTCTTATTTTCAGGAATACAGAAAATTTAACACTCCGCCTTACTCAGCCGAGTGCAGTAAACAGGCAATGTTGGATTATTTCGAAAAAGAGTGCGTCAAAGATAACGACAACTTAAACTCCACCGACATGGACTTGGACGAATCGGAAAGAGACGAAGAAGAAGAAGAAGAAGAAGCTAAAAATGCACAAGAGAACGAAACGTTGCCTGTTAACGAAAGCTTGGTGAACAAATCTCTGAACACTCTGGAGGAGCAGAAGATAAAGCTGCTGGAAGAGCTGAACAACAGCATGGAAGAAACGGAAGAGTCCAGAAGCGAAAAGGTGGAAACGCCTCCGTTGGTGGTAAAAACCGTACTCGACACGAGTTACGGGACCCCGATTCTGAAGAGCTCCTCGCCCTACGTGAGGCTTCCGAACGCGGATAACTTTTCCAAGGACGTGAGCCCGGTTATAAACTTCGAAAACTTGCCGAACTCGACCGGAAAGTACGAGCAAATGACCGGGGTCATACAAAAAGTGCGCACCACCCTGAAAACCTTGCAGAGCTCGTGAGGGTCTTTTATCGCATACATACATGGGTCTACATTTGTACAAATCTTTTACACTAAACTTTCAAGCTGGTACAATAAATTATTTGTATATTTTCATAGTGTATTATGTACGGGTTAACATATTAATTATGTTGTAAATTTTTTATTATAAGTATGTAAACTGTTTATAATACTTGACTATCTATAATTGTCTATAGAGATTTCCGATGATTGATTTATGTAGGAGCCGTAGTCACGTGGTTTTCAACCTGTTTTTATTTTACTGTTATTAATAAAATTATGTCCAATTCATAGTTTTGAAATAAAATTTTAAGTAAGTCTTTGTCTTTTTTTTCAAACGATTTTATTTATTTAGGTTTAACGCTGCCTGACAATCAAATCTTGGAACTGAAAGGGAAGATAAAAATAAATATTTTTCATGTCAAGCGCAACGGAAATTCAAATTGCCGTCTTTTTTTATAATTTAAAATTTTACTTGGGTTTTTACTATTTCAATTTATTTTTATGATTTCAGTTTTTAAAATTTTGCTACATTTTTTTACTATTTCTCAAATTTTTGTGATTTCACAGGATTTCTTTAAAATTTTACTGGATTTTTAACTATTTTTCATATTTTTGTGATTTCACAGGGTTTTCTTAAAATTTTACTGGGTTTTTTACCATTTCAATTATTTTTATGATTTCACAGATTTCTTTAAAATTTTGTTAGATTTTTTACTATTTCTCATATTTTTGTGATTTCACAGGATTTATTTAAAATTTTACTGGATTCCAAGTATTTCTCATATTTTTGTGATTTCACAGGGTTTTCTTAAAATTTTACTTGTTTTTTTACCATTTCAATTTCTTTTATGATTTTACAAATTTCTTTAAAATTTTGCCACATTTTTTACTATTTCTCATATTTTTGTGAGGGTCTTTTATTGCATACATACATGGGTCTACATTTGTACAAATCTTTTACACTAAACTTTCAAGCTGGTACAATAAATTATTTGTATATTTTCATAGTGTATTATGTACGGGTTAACATATTAATTATGTTGTAAATTTTTTATTATAAGTATGTAAACTGTTTATAATACTTTGACTATCTATAATTGTCTATAGAGATTTCCGATGATTGATTTATGTAGGAGCCGTAGTCACGTGGTTTTCAACCAGTTTTTATTTTACTGTTATTAATAAAATTATGTCCAATTCATAGTTTTGAAATAAAATTTTAAGTAAGTCTTTGTCTATTTTTTTCAAACGATTTTATTTATTTAGATTTAACGCTGCCTGACAATAAATCTTGGAACTGAAAGGAAGAGGAAATAAAAATAAATTAATTAATATTTATTTTTCATGACAAGCGCAACGGAAATTCGACTTTCGCTGTATTTTTTTATAATTTAAAATTTTACTTTTTAATTATTTTTATGATTTCACTGATTTCTTTAAAATTTTGCTATTTCTCAAATTTTTGTGATTTCACAGGATTTCTTTAAAATTTTACTTGTTTTTTTACAATTTCAATTAGTTTTATAATTTCACAGATTTATTTTAAATTTTGGCAGATTTTTTACTATTTCTCATAATTTTGTGATTTCACAGGATTTCTTTAAAATTTTACTAGATTTCAAGTATTTCTCATATTTTTGTGATTTCACAGGGTTTTCTTAAAATTTGACTTGTTTTTTACCATTTCAATTATTTTTATGATTTTACAAATTTCTCTAAAATTTTGCTAGATTTTTTACTATTTCTCATATTTTTGTGATTTCGCAGTATTTCTTTAAAATTTTAACGGATTTTCAGATATTTCTCACATTTTTGTGATTTCACAGGGTTTCCTTAAAATTTTACTTGGTTTTACTATTTTAATTATTTTTATAATTTCACAGATAACTTTAAAATTAGCTACATTTTTTACTTTTTCTCATATTTTTAACAGGATTTCTTTAAAATTTTACTGGATTTCCAACTATTTCTCATATTTTTGTGATTTCACAGGGTTCTCTTAAAATTTTACTTGGTTTTTACCATTTCAATTATTTTTATGATTTCACAGATTTCTTTATAATTTTGCTAGATTTTTTACTATTTTTCTTATTTTTATAATTTCAAAGGATTTCTTTAAAATTTTACTGGATTTTCAAGAATTTATCATATTTTTGTGATTTCACAGATTTCTTTAATATTTTGCCACATTTTTTACTATATCTCAAATTTTTGTGATTTCACAGGATTTCTTTAAAATTTTTACGGATTTTCAGGTATTTCTCATATTTTTGTGATTTCACAGGGTTCTCTTAAAATTTTACTTGTTTTTTTACTGGTTTAATTTTTTTTTCACATATTTCTTTAAAATTTTGCTGGATTTTTTACTATTTCTTATATTTTTGTAATTTCACAGGATTTATTTAAAATTTTACTGGATTTTCAACTTCTCATATTTTTGTGATTTCATAGGGTTTTCTTAAAATTTTACTTGGTTTTTTATTATTTATATTATTTTTATGATTTCACAGATTTCTTTAAAATTTTGCTGGATTTTTTACTATTTCTTATATTTTTGTGATTTCACCGGATTTCTTTAAAATTTTACTGGATTTTCAAGAATATCTCATATTTTTGTGATTTCTTAGGGTTTTCTTAAAATTTTACTTGGTTTTTTACTGGTTTAATATTTTTGTGATTTCACAGGATTTTTTAAAAATTATAATGGATTTATTAACTATTTCTCATATTTTTATGATTTTACAGGGTTTTCTTAAAATTTTACTTGATATTTTACTATTTCACATTTTTTATGATTTCACAGATTCTTTAAAATGTTACTATTTCAGATTTTTTACTGTTTTCACGTATATTTCTTTAAAATTTTACTAGTTCTATTGTATTTCATTAAACTAAAAGTTTGCATAAGAGCCAATAAAATCTTATTATAAAAAAACATATTCATAATTAAAGTATTCAACATGATGTATTTAATTGGGACCCCTAAAAAAGATTTGTCAAGGGCGAAATGATCCTAAAACCGGCACTGTATTTGTTCAATAAAACTACATTTATATTTAAAATATAATTAATATATTAATGCTGTGTTAAATTCATAAACCTTTATACAAAGAAAAAAATAAAGCTTTGAGCATACAAATTCATGTTAGACAAAATGTCCAATCTCAAAAATTGGCAAGAAAAGGTTTTTTATAACCAGGTCATATTTTTTTGTCATAAAATTTAATGTCATGTTAAAATACAAATAAACGATTTTTTGGTAATTAATTGTGTAAATAAATTTTTGAGATAGCACTTTTCAGCATAACACTGCAGAAGAATGGTAGGTGGGAATTTAAAAATATATTGCCAAAATTTATTTGTACAGGAAAGTGACGAAAAATGGAACACCAGCATTTTTCATATTAGGGTAACTTTTTGTCAAAAATACAGAATGGTATTCCATATTTGGTCACCCTCATGCAAAAAAGTGCAAAGGAATGTCTATGTAAATAAAATACTTTTATTAAATAACTATTACTTGCACCAGATAAAAAAATCACAGAAAATGTGGTAAAATAAAATCACACAAAACATAAATATCCCTCAACCAGTAAACATATGATTATATCAGAAAAATTGTATTTAAAATGCCAAAATTCGACGGGTTTTGGACAAAAAATAAATTAATTTAAAGTTTTTAAAACAGCAATATAAAGATAAAATTAGTTAAGCCGTATACAATACACTTAATTGTATAATGTACATTTTCTATATACAAAATATTGTGAATTAATAAATTTGTTTGGAGATTTATCTTAGCCCTGCTAAGACTGATTACTTAAATCTTACTAGAATTGAATATTAGATTTTATTTTTATTGAAGGTTTGGCAATTATTATCCAATTGGGTTAATTCAATGCTGGAGGGGGGGTAGGTGGAAAACCATTTGAGTCCTAAAAATTTAGTAATTCAATATTTGTTGTATTGTATTATTAAAAAAAAGTATTTTTGGAAAAGGCCCAAAAACAATTTTTTAATTATTTTTATAATAAATTATCTTTGATTATCACCTCCTTCACTGTATATTGACAGAAAAATGTTAAACTTGACAAAGAATATGACAGTTTTAGAAGTAAGTGTACCTAGTGCATAAAAAAGGTGAGAGTTTTTATCAAAATTTGTTGTTCAAAATTTTAAAGTGAAGATTTCAAAAAATTGTAAAAACACAGTTTTTGTGTATGTTATTCAAAAATAGTACATTTTGAGCCTTTCCAGCAAAAATAAACAATTTTTTCGAGAAAGACGCATTTTCCATACACTTACATTTCCTTTACTTGGTTTAGAAGGACCATCAGTAATTCTCCTGACATTTGGTCTAAAATAGCATAATAATAATGCAGCTACAACCATAAAGCCCATCAACATTACATTATCCGGTGTCTGGTTTGGGTTTGGACTGGTTCCTGTTATACATACATTTTTAGATAAAAATTATTATTGATATAAAGAAAAATACTTGAAAAATGCATACAAGTTTCAATAAATTTAAGTTTTAAACTCACAAAGTTTAATATTTTCCGTTTTCAGATTTACACCAATGTAAAACCAGATGTAAAATATTTACTTTTTAAAATTTGATACCTATGCAACCATTATACATTAAAATAATTCATTTAAATATTATGCTTATTCTTTATTTTGTTTTAGGTACATATGAATTTTATATATTATAAAAAAAAGATTTATTTAATAGATTATAATAATTATACAATTCAAATAAATAAATAAAAACACTGAAATTATGTATAATCTAAAACAACAGGAAATTATATACTTTGATAATATGATTACTAAGCCCAAGGCCAAGTGAAGTTATTGATAATAAAAAACTAGTTGCTTAAGAATGTACTACCTTTAAAAACCTATAGGACTAAAGAAAAATGAATATAGTTACCATCATCAAAACAGGTAGTGTCTGTACAGTAGGATTGCGAGTTTCTCAGCTATAAATATAAATGTTGTGGAAAAAACAAACACAAAAGAAAATTGCACATACCAGGCTTAGTAGACGCCTCATTGCCATTTCGTGCCCCCAAATGCATTCGCAAGGGTCCATTTGGTCCGGATCGCCCATTTTTACGTGTGGTGTTATAAAATCTTAAACAACATTAAAATTAGAACTATTCCGCACTTTTCTTAGGCATCATATGCCAACCTACATATTTCTTAGATTGGTGTTATTTATAAGAAACTCGACGCCGTTTTGGTGGTTTTACTGTTAATTTCTTACAATATAATAATCTAAAAAGTATATTTTATATTTCTGTTTATTTGTTTATTGCTTTATTTTAATCAGAACATTTTCACATCTGTCAACTACACAATAATTTGACAACATACAGATGACGTATGTAATGGTGGGGGAAGGCAGTGGCGCACTGTATGCGTTAAGAATTTAATCACAGAAATCTTTAATGTAATACGATCGAGCGCCGAGAGGTGGCGCTACTAGTGAGAAAATAAATTTTTAAGAAATAAATAAAAGTGGCCGAGGAATTTGAAATTTGGTAAGTATATGGGCCTAGATGATGATTCTAAACAACTTTTCTAACTGTATGTCAAATAAATTTTTAAATGTTATGATTGGGCAATGCGAATTTTTATTAAAAATTTTTTAATCTATAAACGCGCTAATCAAAAAAAAATTTCAAAAACTACCAAAACAGTCACATACATGTGGGGAATATTTATGGAGTTTAGATAGATTTTTTAATACAAATTTTAATCATATTTAAACATTAAAAAAGTTTAGTATTATTAGTTTGCTGGTTTCTTTTTTGTTATAGAGATGTTAACTGTTGCATGTTTGCTCACAAAATACATATTTTCAATTCTTTTAAACCTATCAAACGATTTTACACAGGCATTATGTTTTATTATTGACCATTCCCCTTCAGGCTTTATAACTTCTACTGAATAAATGTAGGAACTGGGATTTTCATGGGAGCAATATAATTCAGTAACCCAGTTCATAAATTCAGGGTGATGAGTAAAATATGTTATTATGAATATCTTTGAATCAAACAAAGTCCATTTTCTGGTTGTTTGGTCTCGAAGTCTAAAAGTTAGTTGAGGTTTAAGTTCATCGTACTTATGAGCACTATTTAAATGTTCCACTATGAATTTGTAGTTACCAGATTCACGGCATGACATTGGACATTTAAAAATATGTAATGGACAAGATTCTTCATGTTTGCTAACTTTAGGTTCAAGGTCAAATTCTTTGCATCCTAATTCCTTATATCGGCATGGATATTTTAAATTGTTAGTTAAACCTTCTATTAAATAATTTCTTGCCCTAGTCCATGGTGCATTGCATGTGGGACATTCCTTTACTTTTTCATGACACACAATACAGATACTGTGTCCATTTGAACACTGATAAATTGGTGGTCTCATTGTGTGAAAACAGACAGGACATTCCAGTAGTTTTAATGTTTTTTCATCAATACCACTTGGATTTAAATTAAATTCATTGAGTATTGAATTATTTTCATCTGCAAAATGTTCCAATAACTCCAAATCTAGAACGGTTGCATATGGGTTTTTATGGAGGTTTGATTCATCATACATACTATTTAGCTTAGTAAGAGTGCCTACAGATTTTGAATAGTTTTGTGTTTCTTTACTTTTGTGTTTTACCAAATATTCAATGCTTTCTACACATGGATCAATGTGATTCATGACATAGTAAAACCTATTGTCAACAATTAAAGTTTTTAGGAGACAGCTTTTGTAGTCATCAATCAATAATTTTATGTTGTATGTTTCAGATAAAGACATATTAACTTTAAAAATGTTGGTTTCACTGTTTATCACATGCTCTGTGTGGTCTGCTGAAATATGTTCAGGTATTTCCAAATTATCTCCATTCCATTTGCAATCTCCATAACTTACCATCGGACAAGATTTTACTTTGTATTCACAAACATTGATGTGGTTTGCATAAATTTTACATGTCAGTTTTTTGATGCAGCCTTTAAATTCGTATTTGCATGGCAAAATAAGCTGTGACATAACAAAGATAAGAGCAGAATTTAACTCTGCTCTTGATTTATCATCATACTTTTCATAGCATTTTGAACATACGTTTCCTTTACCAATTATTAAAAATATATCGGAAACGCAAAGCTCATCGCAAATCTTGCAGTTAAAGATTTTCCGTTTCAACAGACTATCGTTTAAATTGTTCGCCATTTAGCCTAAAAAGAAAATCAAACAATCATTGATAAGATTAAAAATCTACGGGATTCCCTCCTTTCATACAAGGCTACTAGATAAATTTATTTGACTGTTTATTTTTTTAAATAGGCACATTAAACATATAACAAAAAATGACACTTACCTGGAAGAATTATCCTTAAAATCTTGAATGATTTTGAGAATGACAATTAGTTTGAAACTCACCAAACAAGATAAACCATCAAAATCAACCAGATAAACACAGATTATAAAATATAATTTATATTATATAAATGCAGGTAAACAATTTGACCGGCAACGTGCTTGATATTACATACAACGTTGCCAAATTGTGACCATCCGCGCTGTTGCCAAAAGTAAAGTGTAGTTTTGGTCAAATGTTTACAAAAGCAATCAACTTTAATGTATACTTAATAGTTTTTTATTTAAGTAATGGTAGTTTAAACAACGATATTTTCATAAATAATACTAAAATGTGTAATTTCACTAATTTTAGACAAAGTTGTAGGCAACTCAGATTACAGTCGTTTTAACATAAGAAATTGTAAAATAAGATTGTAGGTAACTAAATTACCAATGTATGATAAAATCTGGATGTTTGCAAACATATTTTATGTGTCATTTGTAATTTGATATACCAAATCATAAAATATTTTATAAAAATACTTACGTATACAAAAAATCCTATGTTTTATTTATAGTTTAAAAACAATTGTGTGTGTTAGTACTTTTTATTAATTAAAAAAATGAACTATAATTAAATAAAATTTTAATGATAATAAATAAATAGGTATTAACTTACGAAAATTAGCAACACTTTTGAATTCACAAATTTTGTTGTTTGTTTGGTTTCGTTTCGTTGTGCGACACTGAATTCAACGTGAATGCTCATGATTGGTCGAAAGCAAACGATGATAGGTATGCTTGTTAGCGCTTTTATCTTTAAATTCTTGTAGATACGTTAATTTACAATTTTTGGTATAGATATGTATCTATTTGTGTACATTAAAAACAAATAATTAAATATACCTAGTTGTTAAAATGATCATGTATTGTAGGATATTTTCAATAAATATGTTAATATTTTTTTTTGTAACAATCTGCAATTATTGCAGATTGTAGGTATTATACCTAAACTCTAATTAGGATATTTTCTTAGTTATGAATCATTTTCCTTTATTTTTGTGATGGTGGAAGATTTCTTTGTTGATTTTTAAAGTTTTATGGTCTGTGAATCCAAATTTTCTATCCAAAATGCGACATCCTTTTTAATTTTTGATAGGACCCAATAAATTGTTATTGTTTTATTTGTGTGGTTTGTTTATTTTTTATATGTACGATTTTTTTATTTTTTGTGGTTTCATCAACAATTTTAATAAAATTTGAATAATTTTATTGCAAGTCATTTTTATTTTAGTTATGAATCATTCACCTTAATTTTTGTAATGGTGAGATATTTTTTTGTTAATTTGTAAGGTTTTTGGGTCGCTGAATCCGAATTTTCTACCCAAAAAGCTACATCCCCTTTAATTTTTGATATATTCACTTGAATCCCATAAATGTGCATTTTTTAATATTCACTCCATTTTGGCTGTGAATCATTTACCTCAATTTTTTTCATGGTGTACATTTTTTTTTGAAAATTATTAAGGTTTTTAGTCGCTGAATTCGAATTTTCTACCCAAAATGTCACATCATTTTTAGTTCTCGGGTTATGTCCGGTTCTGAAACAAAGGATGATTTTTTATACCGTTTTAACACATAAACGCAGATTCTGCAACCCTAAAAAATAAAACATATTTTAGTTCATTTCGCTTTTCAAAATTGAAAATGCAACATCCAGTGTTCTTAATTTAATTTCTATATACCCACATCTTTTATTTAAAGAAGATTACCAATCTTCTTTATAATATCAAATTAAAATACGTACTTTGTTTGCATATAAAAAAATCAAATGGACTGAACTGTATGAAGTTATTTATTTTTCCAGTGATAGCCGAAATCAATCAATCGGGTTAAAATATTAATGAGATTTATGTAGATTTATGAAACAGCATTTTTATGTTCAATCTGGATTAGCATTTTGTTTTAATTTATAATTAAAAACATAATATCAATATTAAATGTTGTTTTTCAATTTCAAATGAATTTAAATAAGCGCTCAAACCAATATTATTTTTTTTGATACCTATGTAAATTTTCGAAACATGATTTGTATAAATATATAGCTATACTAATTTTTTAATATTTTGAGTGAAAACGAACTAAACTAAACAGAGATTTTAAATGATGCATTTTAAACTATGTATATTATAGAATTTAAGCATTTGATTAAATGAGAATGCAATTTTTTGCAGCAAAAACTCGAAAAAAACGTTTGTTCATTTGTGAGTTGTAGCAAAGAATATATCATTAAATGTACATAAAATGTTATTGACTAGGACTAAGGGATTTAAAACTGAAGCTGGTGAGTAATATGATATAATTTATTGATTGTACTATTTTAATACACATTTTAGAAATCGACTTAGACGTACTAGACACAAGTAACGCACCAAAAACAAGTGAAGAAGCACCAAACAAATTCACCAAGCTAGTTGATTGTTTTAACTCCCAAGAAAATTGTGATAATGAAGGAACGTGGGTAAATCAAGAGCAGTGGCTTACTTTGGCGGAAAACATAATAGCAAAATATAAGGAAAATGAGGCGAAAAAAATGGAGGCCCTACAGGAACATTATTATTTCTATGCAGCGGAATATTTTTCGGCTGACTTAATACAATTTTCATTGGAAGAGAAGTGTAAAATTGTTGAGATTTGGGAGAAACTTTCAAAAATTACAGGCCCTTGCGGCGAAATTTTTGAATACATTAATAGTGTTGTGAAAAAGATATGTGAAGAGAATAAACTCCAAAGTTGTGGTAGTGAATACAAGGAACAATTTAGTAAAGACATTTTGGAAGAAATATTTTGTAACTAAGTAATATTATGTATTATTTATTATTTACCCATATGCATATAATTTTAATTGTTTCATTGACAATAAGTCTTCTGTTATTAAATAATAAATTTGTCAAATTTAGTACCATTTTAGGATCCAGGGGTTTAAAATTGAAGATGCAGACTATTTGTTTAATATTTAAAACTTAAAATAAATGAAAATATATACCTACCAATTTAATTAATATTTTAATTTCATAATGTTTTTAAACAAATTTGGTTTAATTCGAATTAATAAATTAACACATTAGTAAGTTTTACTCAATTACCTAAATTTAAATGAACCAAAACCAATTAACCAACTTTAAATAAATTAAGCAAGAAGGATTTAACCAATTTGTAAACTTAACAAAACTGTTTGAAGTGTAAGGATATTTGCTCAAAGGTTATTTACAATCCTTGTCTTAATATAATTAGATATTAGATATATTAGATATTAGATATGCAAGAATTTTAAGAAATCATACATTTTGAATATTAGAGCTTCACGGAAGATAGCTTCACGGAGGTTAGGTTTCGTATTTTTTTAAACATCCCTTTGTACATTTGGAATAAGTTATTGTATGTTTTGACACCTTAATATTTTTAAAAAATACAACTTTTTTACCAGTCAAAAATATTTTAAAAGTGAGTAAAAAAATCAACAAACTGCCAGCAGACTGCAAGATTATGTAATTTTCGTCGTCGGGAAATATTTTAAGACAGAATCTGCTGACTAAGTTAAACAACGTTTTGCTTGCATCCCCTATAGAGAAATATATTTGGTCGCTTTTTTATTTACTTACTTTAAAGAATTCCCTGATTGAATTCAATGAAAGATAAAACGTCAAAGGAAATATTTATTAAGCGAATAAAAACGTCGTAAAATCCTTTGGAAATTTTGGTTTGACTATTCAATTACACACATAGATAAAAGACTTAAAAAGTAAAAGAATATTTGTTAATTTTAACCAAATTTTAACCAGATTTTTTGTTAATCCTGGACCTTTATATTGAATAATACACCATTCTAAAATCATCATTTTATAAAGAAATTTGGTAGAATATAATTATTAGTAAGTACTACCGCTCACTGGTTAAATAGGTATAAGAAAATGTACATGTTAATATAAAAAATTCAATTTCAATTAAAAACTTTCCATTGATATCCGAAAAATAGAAAAGGAAATTAATTAAAATTACCCAGTTTCTTGAAAGTTAAAGTTAAACTACCTAATCACATATTATATATTGGTTTAATTTTCGATAAAACGCATTTCAACTTCGAAACTTAAAAGAGTTGAAATTAATTGAGTCAAGTGCTCTGAACGATAAGAAAACTAAAACTTTATGAATTCTATATAGAATAATCTTAATTATAAGAAATCTTATAATTAAGTTTACTATTGCCCATATATATTTTTTTTAAGCCCATTTTTGATCTTATCTGGGTTTTTTTTTTCAAATTTTTTGTATTTTTCGTAAAACTTTTTTTGCGGAACATTCATAAACGCGACAAATTTTGTTCAATTGCACAGCTAAATCGCGCACGTTATTTGTGTTTTACCTTGCAAGGAAAAAATTAAAAAACTGTTTTAGTATACTCGATTTCGATTGATTATTCCTTATATCATTTATTAAGAAACTCAGCGCTTAAATGCTTATATAGTTACGTTAGTGTGTGAATTTTATCTAAGGGATCATGGTGAATTATTGTGTTTTTAATTGTAATTAAAAAAATCAGGAACTAAATCGTTGCATTTTCATGTTTTGCCAAAGGATCCAATTCGGTAAGTACATTTGTTGGTGCAGAATTAACTAATGATAACTTTATCTAATATAATTTATATTTAAGTTTGGACATTTTTAAGAAATTAGTAAAAAATCATTTTTGCACAAACATAACTTTAAAATCAACCATTTTTATATTTGAGTTCTCTAAAAAACCCCGACAACTGCATTTTAAACAACAAAATATACCTACGAATTCATGGCAACATAATATTATATATAATACATAATATAATGGTATTTTACCGTTGAGTGGAGACTTTCTTAATCAACGCTTTTAATAATGCTAAATGCTGTTTAAATTTAGACGACTTATTTGTTTTACGATTTTTATTGAATTGAAATGTTTAAACTTCACGTTAATCACTACTAAAATGTGTATTTATTGTACCTAATAGGTACAATTTATATTTACAGAGACTGTATGCAATTTATTTCTTCATTCAGATTAACACTGTTTATTGGAAAACCGGTAAAAACTCAACCCAGGATTTCCTCTCGAAATACACCCGACAACACAACAAATCGAGCCACGGTTTTTTCCGATATTTTTTAACATTTTTCG